GATCCATTTCAATAATACAAATTATACTCTTCACGTTAACATAGTTTAACGTGATTTTAGTCAGGTTTCAAACACAAACATACACACAGAAAAATGTTCATTTGGGTCCCCAACAAATGAGATGCATATAAGCATTTCAGCTCTCTCTGCTTCCTTCAATTGGCATTTTCCATATGCTTCCACCATCTTCACCTTCTCTTTATCGTGGGAAAGACCCCTAACAGGTTTCATCCCAGGCATGAGGCCCTTTGTAGCCTGATCTTTCATGCCTTGACTTTAAAATGGGCTTTCTACCGCTCTCTCGAGTTGGAGAGTGTGTGATTGTGTTTGTATATTAAATATAAAATATATATTTCGAATTAAGTCTTTCTGTTTGCATGAAAATATAGTTCTAGTTGAACGAAAGGCCAGCACAATGCATCAAGACGTTCATGTATATATGAATAAACAAAATCTAATGACCTTTCACGAAACTTGCAATGTATCTGCAAAATGTAGGGGTAAAATTTAGTTATTCATTGTCTAGATGATTGGGATGATATAATTTAAGTAAAGATTATCATCTTTACGGCCACCGCATTTGAATTTAAATGCGTTTATTCATTCACCGTACAATAAAATATAAGTTTAACGGTTAAGTTATCTAGTAATTATTTTGAGATTAATTAATTTAATTATAAAATTATTTAATATATATTTTTATAATTATATATATTAAATTTCACATAAATTTGTCTAATAATTAATATTTATTTATAATTTACTAACACATTATAAATTAAAATAAAACAATATAATGAAGTATTATTAATTTTATTTTTATATAAAGTTTTACAAACTTAAACCAATTAATAAAATGTTTCAAACTAACAATTAAATTAATAAAGTCTGCATTGTATAAAAAGTTATTGATATAAGTATTTAAATTTGATATTTGATTTCAATAAATTTCAATCCTTATTAATTAGTTAAAAGGGAGTATTAGTACTCTTTTATGTGAATTAATAAATAATACATAGATATATTTTTATAATCTAATTTGAGTGACATAGAATTAATGACATGGTTTATTATTATTTTTTATTTTAATTGCTAAATGACTCTTATACACTAAAAAAGAAAAAAAATAAAAATATTATTTAAAATTACCTTTTACTTTTAATATTAATCATTATTAATTTTATTTATTTATTTATACGATAACAATAAATTTATGTTTAAATGATTAGAAAGTAATTTAACATGACATTTATCTTCTATAAATTGTCAAGTAAAATATATTATTTATTTTAATTTTTATTAAACATATAAATTATATTATATATATTATTTTTATTTTAACCTTTTAACAATATTATTAAAAAATTTATAGATAATTTTTACTTTATTTTATAACTAAAAATATATTTTATATTCTCTCACATGTAACATAATAATAATTATTAATTTTATACTAAAATATATAATAGAGTTATTAATTTATTTAAAAAAACATAAATATCATTTAATTTTTAAAAATAAATTATAACTGTCAATTTAAAAAATATACAATATCTTTTTAAATTTATTGGTATAGTAGCAAACACTAATTATAAATTTATTAATTCTATTTCACTTCATTTTAATAATATATTTTTATTTATATAAATTAGTTTTTCAATTTAAATATATTTTTTTCCTATACAAAGGGGCTTAAAAGTTTGAAACAAATAAAAACTTAGGCTAACGACCTAGAAAAGTCCTACGAACTAGAATCTAAAGAAAGAAAAGGCAAAAGAGAAGGAAGGAGCACCTCAAATTGAGACAAGGAGCTAGGAGAAACCAAACCTAACTTAGCAAGAAAATCAACACAAATGTTGACTTTTCTAAAAATATGAAAAATCTAACAAATTTAATAAATTTTAGGGCATTCCTAATATTACAAATCAAAGAAAAGAGAGGATGAGAAGGAGGTTGAACATGCAAGACCAGATTAATAGCCTCTTTTGAACTACTCTCAATCTAAAGAACCTGAATCTTTATAGAAATAATTAATTGAATACCTTGAAAAATGCCCCAAAGTTCAACAGAGAGGAACAGGGAGCTAAACTATTGCAAAAGCCCATTCTAAAACTACCACAACTGTTGCGAATCAAGCCTCCACAGGCAGACGCACCACTAGCCCCAGAAACAGCCTCATTCACGTTTAATTTAAGCTGGTCAATAGAAGGAGGAGTCCAATTGACTATACCAAAATTAGAAGCTAGACTAGAGAGACTCGAAGACTTGGACCTGTTACAAGTGTAAAAATAATTAGCATCAATTAAAGATTTTTGAGTTAAATAACAAACCCGAGAAGAAAGTTATTGAAAAATGAACTAATTTTGATCTTTCGAAAGGTGGCAAACAACAAAACTAGAAATAAGATTCTAGTTGTGAAATATATTCAAATTATTCTTTGATAAATTTGAAAATAACCAATTAGAGATCTCAGAACTAAAAAAAGGAACCCATTGGTTAGGAGAAATAAAATTATTCTCAATTTAAATATATTATATCTATGTATGATTAAATTTTTATAACAATATATTTTCTTAACTTTAAAAATATAATTTAGCATATTTTGTTTTAAATTTAATTTACTATGCAATACAATAGATCTGATTTAATATTTTAAAAAAATACATCTCATAAAATCCTTTTACATTAATTATAAAATTTATGACACCATTAAAATCAATTTTAGCAAATTGATAATGTGATTATAATATGTATATACAATTAAGTTTTATTGATTTAAATAAAAAATACTAGTATTCTCTGAAATTCGAAGTCCCAGGATACTCCACCTTACCAAAAAACACACGTTGATACAAACCGTCAACTCTGAACTGAAAAATGCTCTCCGACGATTACATAGTAATAAGATACCTTCTATTAATATACGACATTTCTCTTACTACCAAATCAGTTTAATATAAACCCTTTTTTCTTGATTTTGTGTTTGCAAATTCTTTGTTAAGTGTTGGAATCAAGTATCCACATGAAATTAAATATGAGCAAGTTAAGAGTATAAAAAAATAGACCTAATTTCTTGTTGCTTTAAGATTTTGGAATTGCATTATGGTGTCATACTTATTATAAGGTTCTTTATCTAAACTCTTCAACCTAATAAATTGGTATTAGAGCTGGGTCAATCTAAGTGATCAGCTGAGTTATAGCAGAGAGAGCTCCAACATTATAACACGCATGATCAATGTGAAAGTGTAATACAGAAGAAATGATAACATTAAATAAGCTCTAGCAAACAGCTAATAGCATCCACATATAAATATGGAGGACAAAAAGCGTCATTGTATTCACACTTGAAGGAGAGTATTAGAATTAATAAGAAGGTAAATCCAAACACTTATTACGTTAAGAATTTGAAATTGCATTGTGATGTACTACTCATTATATTATTTTTTATCTAAATTTTTCAACCCAACATTAAGAATAGTATAATAACAAGATGAATGATCGGAATGTATTGCTACCTACATAAACTCCAACCCAACGTTAAGAATACTATAATAACAAGATGAATCATCGGAATGTATTGACTACACTGTATAGCACCAATTTTAACAAACATATGGATCGGCTATATTTTGATTGAAGTACACAACTTTTTTCATCCCAACGACAAGCAAGAGAAATGCTACCGATACATTTCGAAATGAAATTGGAAGTCATGTCACAAGCATTCAAAAAGCTTGGTTTTCTGATACTAATACATTTTATGGATTATCCTTTCGTTCATACCTTAATTTGTTTTACGGATTGCAATTCTTCTCATACCCATTTTATCTTTGTTTCTTTTATATTTATTTTGTTTCTCTTTTCATCACATCATCCATTGCATTTTATTCTTTTCATACTTCCTTCCAGCCATCTCACATCCCATAAAAGCCTGGAAAAATATTTACCCTTGATCAGATATGCACGACATAACACGGTAAACAAGTTTTTATGGTTGGAGCCTTGGAGGAAGAGAAAAACATTACACAGTGGGTTCAGCATCTTGCACTCAGTATATGGACGTCATTTAACATTTGCTGATACGTTAGGATATTTTTTTATAATTTTAGGGATACTTGTGTACACATTCAAGGAAATAATTTACACAAGACCTAAAGAGGTAAAATGTATTTTAAAATAAAAAGCACGTTATTTATATTTACTGTAACACTATTATTTATAACGTATTAGATTTATGTTGATTTACAAAAAAAATTAACGTATTTCTAATCACATTTCTGTTCTATCGTGAGACTTCAGCGCTCCTCAAGGGAAAATGCTTTCAAGTGTCAACTAAATCTAGCCATACTTGGACTTGGAGGAACTTGCCATTTCCTCAAAAGAAGACTCTGAACTTCATTTATGGTCAGTCATTTATTTAAGCCAAATTAATTAGCAAACATTTTCATTTGCAAGTGTATGTGGGTAATGCCAAACACATGTCACTGTCCTAATCATTTTCCCTCAATTCTCAACTAACACGGAACATATTGTAGCTCTCTGGGTATGCCCCCACCTCATCACCACTTAATAAACAATGGTATTGGTCCTAAACTACGGGTCCAATTAATTATATTATGGGCCAATGGCAAAACCATGTGCCGCATAAAAGGCCTGGCACTTGGTAGCAGCCAGCAATAATTACAACAATAAAATGCAGTGTTTCATGATAATAATAATGATAACAAAATGCAAAGTCGACTGTAGAGTCAGCTGTTTGAAGACAAAAGCGAATCAATAAAGACAAAGGAAAGGAATGTGGCAACTTAGTTACGGCTCTAACACGAATGAAAAGAAAAACCTTTGGCTATCCACGCAGTCCAAACCACCAGTAACAACCAAAACCGTAGTATCTGGTGTTCCTCCCAAAGCAGAAGTCTTGTCACCACACTTTAATCTCTATATAATACCAACCCATTTCTTAGCTCACACTTACAGTCATAGTACCTTAAACTCACCAATAACATGTGTGCAAATCGAGGAGCTTTTGTTGTTGCAACCACTGTTGGAGTAGTTGAGACCATGAAGGATCACGGGTATTGCAAAACGAATAACACCATGAAGTCAATAGCTCAACATGCCAAGAACCAAATAGGGTCGGCAACTCAGGCCAAGAAGCTTTCTTCTCCTCTTCCTTCAGCAATTTCGAAAAAGCTGAGAGATGAAAAGAATAGGAAATCAGAGGAGTCTCTGAGAACCGTAATGTACTTAAGCACATGGGGTCCCAATTCTTAGAACATTAACTAGATTAATGATAAATGTTGGCATAATTCAGCATGGCACAACAATATGGCGCCATTGATCAGCCACATAGTTCTATGAAATTAAAGGGCTCAGTGCTCATAACTGCACTTTTGGTGGACTAATTGTGCAATGTTTTGATCGTGGTGACTGCTGCTTTTTGTGTATTCGATCAGATATGACTGTAAATTGCCATATCAATAAAAATTTACGTGCTTTGGCCTCGAAACTTTTTGTCACTTCATTTTTTTTTTCCAAAGTTTTCCTCCATTTTTGAACGGGGATTTAATGCTATATTTGAATATTTAGCTGTAAGTGAAATACAATAGAATAAAATATTCATTTTTTATTAGATATTTTTATGATGAGAAAAAAATGTTTCCACTTCATATTTAGTAACGAGGAGTAATAGATAAAACAAATTAGAATTCAGTTTATCACGCATCATAACACTATCTTATTTTCCATAATTTAAACAATAAAAAGTCTAAATTTCATTTCACTCAACCCCCCCCCCCCCCCAAATCTAAAGCTCTTTATGTGAGAAAATACTATTTTAGAGGCAAATTTGTTTGCTTGTGATATGTGACCAGTTTTTAATAACTCATAAGAAATTTTCTTTTAAAGCGGGATATATACTTTAAAATAGAAGAGAAAAATCTGAAAAAGAATAATAGATATAATAAGTAATATAGTAAAAAAAGAAAATGTAAAGTATCAGTCAATTAATTCCCTTGTCCCCCCAAACCGTCAATTAATAATCAACATGAGAACAGCTACAAGGTATCAGTACCTAAATTAACATAAATTTTGGAGAAGGAATCTATCTAACTAGTACTTTAAAAATATTAATTAAGAATATGATAAATAATTTTTATTAAAAATTAAAATATGGATATATTAAATTAAAAATTATATTGATAAATTTTCATAAAAAATTTATACCTTTAGTTTTTTAATAAATATTTTTAGAAAATTCATTAATATTATCTTTTAAAAAAAGTAAGTGTCGTATTTATATCTAACAGATATTCACATATTCAACCCTTGATTCATTACCCATAATTTACTTTTCATCTATGATTATAATAAAATTGTTTTTTATTTCCGACGAGGGAAAGTTCGATTGGCACTCAACTCCAAATCTTATTACTTACTTCAAATGAAACCTAGCAAGAATCGAGAAACAAGAGGGCTTATCTTAGTTATTATATGGAATAAATAACCTTTATTATTTAATTTATATGTATTTTCAGTGAAATAATAATAATAATAAATATTTATAATAATTATTCTTTGTTTAATCATCACGTCACTTAACATCATCTATGAATTTTTTTGCCTATTATCCACATCTTATCCGCGCCCACATACATCGGTAACTATAATCCATATATATGATAAAGTCTAGGTACTAAATTTAACATCATCATCCCTTGGCTATCTACTACGAGTTACCTTCCAAGTTCAACCTTGGAATTAGTGGTTTTGGCTCCACGTAGTACTAGCCGAATTTCTCTTTATAAACAAACAACGTGCGCAGTTGGCGGATAGAGCACTACAAAACGGATAAGCATCATCATCATCTTTTGTCGTTTCCAATCAGCCATAACATAATCCATCGTTGGTAATTGCAAGTTTTGTCATGTGTGGTCCTACAACTACAAGTGAAGTCCTAGACACAACCTGTTTGAGAGATTCTTGGATGCCCAATTCAGATATTCGTCTCACAAACAAAAACCATGTGCCTTTTCCACCAAATATCGCCCACACTCCACTCCCCTGCCTCTGGTTTTACACCCATACTAAACTACTTTTTGTGCCTTCTATTGTCTCTATCTCACACTATATATATTAAGAACAAACCATTCACTCATCATCAACTCATCGTTATTGTCCAAAAGTTCAAACACACATCCAAAACCACTAGACACTACCTTGTTCTTACATTCCACTAAAAAATTAAGATAACTATTAGCACCGTTTACTTTCTAATCTTTGTCAAGAATGAGTTCAACGAGCCGTGCATGGACATGGACAGTGGCATGCAGCGTTGGAGTGGTGGAGGCCTTGAAGGATCAGGGGATATGCAGGTGGAACAGTGTGATAAGGTCAGCACAACAACATGCTAAGCATCATATGAGGACTTTGTCTCAGACTAAGAAGCTCTCTTATCAATCATCTGCGATGTTGAAAGATGAGAAAGCTCAGCAATCAGAGGAAGCTTTGAGAACCGTCATGTACTTGAGCTGCTGGGGTCCCAACTAAACAATGATTTTATGCAATTCTCTCTGTTTTTTTTTTTTTTTTTTTAACTTGGAGCATGAATTGAAGGAAGATAAGAAATTGAAGACCCAGAAGGTGTTCCAGTCAGAGAAGTCTCTCAGCTAACTTGCATGCTAGCAGAAATTTTTAATTAAGAACGAGATCTGAACCTGCCTTTAGCTTCCTTGTATATACTTGGAAGGATGCACCTGTGCAAAGTCGTGGCAATCGATTTAATTTGATCGATTGAATCATTATTGGAATGATGAAATTTTAGACAGAAATTGCTATATGTATAGGAATTTTTACGATGACCAGGGTTTGTTATGCTGATAATTGTACGATGTAATTTCTTTAGCCAAACAAGTCAAATGATTTTTTTCTTAAATTTTTCTTGTGTTAATTTTCGCGGCATCCCCACCTTGTTAAGATAATATTCAAAGGAAGTTAATTAAAGGAAATAAGATTTGCAACCTTGTAAAATTTCTCTGTTTATTCACGTTTCAAGTGTTGCAAGGTAGTATTGTAATTATATTGTTCAAGTTCAACATGTAATTTTAACTCAATTATCTGTTCTTTCCAATTCTGGATGTGGAGTACTCAACTGAATAAAAGAAATAAAATTCCTCAACCTTATTCCAAGCACTTTAGATTTGCATCCCGTAAGCACAACGATATACTAAATAACACTTCATGTAAAACCAACTCTGTTTATTCCTATCCAAAGAGACAATCAATGATTGCGAATTTTTAGTTTGTGTGTGGTGCCCTTAACGAGGATTTCTGTTATATAATGGTAAATGTCGTTGGAGAATATATTTTTATAAATACGATTAAAATCCAACCTGTTTTTGGACAAAATTCATCTCAGCAGGGAAAACCCTGCCCAGGATATGTTTTACTCTGTTCATATTTTAGGACCTTCGGGGATCCCAATTCCTAATGATGTTAGCTTCATGCCAGATTTCCTGTCCATATTTTAGGATGTTTTGAACTTCATTTATTAAACAAAATGTAAAAGTAAAAGTAATGTAATTGTCGAAGTGCAATGAATCAAAATCCTAGATACATTTTTTAAAGTTAATTTAAAATATTTAAAAATAATGGGTAGGGTATGGGTAGAGTACTATAGTATCCATCCCCATACCCGTGTTTTAAAAAAATACTCATACTCGGCTCCATACCCACATGAGTATGAACATTAATCCCCGTACCCTTTGGGTACCTGCATACCCATCTTGTACTCATTACCTACGCTTGTTTGAAAAAAAAATATTTATAAAGAAAAATATGTTTATATAACTTCACATAAGTAGCATAATAATACAAAAATTTAATATGTAGTTGCCGAACAAGGTACAAAAATAGATAAAAAATAAATATTCAAAGATCATAAATGTTAAATATATCTTAATATAATAATTTTTTAAACTAAAATTCTTAGAAACAATAAGCGAAACTAAACACACAAGTTATTTGTTAGTGATAACCCTATTTTGTGTGAGATTTGATCGATTGGTAATGTCAGAGCGACAATAAAATAGATCTGTACAATGGTTGTCTCTTCGTATGGGATCACTTGGTGACGACATTGACAACTAACTCTAATGAATAACCTTTCATAATTGTTAGGTTTTAATAAGATTGACATTGAGGATAAGAATAGAGTTAGAGTAGAGAAATTTAATACTAACAACAAAAGGTGGATACATAAAATATTTTTTTTAACTTTTGAATTTGAAATTGTAAGAAAAATAATAGATTTAATTAAAATAATATAATATAATATATATATATATATATATATATTAATACTAGTATTTTTAACTCATATATTATACGAAAGTATTTTATCAAAAATAGAAATTTTTGAAAAATTATTTTAATGAATTAAATATTTATAATGTATATAAATTTTAAAAGAAAGAATTGGAATAAAAGATAAATAGTTACAATAAAATTTTATAATAAAGAAATATACGTGTATATTAAAAAAATTATATTTTTTTATTTAAAAAATTAACAAATAAAAATTAACAATAATTTTTTATATTTATACTTTTTCAAAAACTTCTTTGAACGTGAATAAATAGTAAGAATAATATTATTTAGATTCAATAGATTATAGTTGTGCTTGTAATACATATATTGTATAGAAAAATATTATTTTAAATTAAAATATAAAAAATAAAATTTAAATATTATTAATAAATAATAAGTTTACGGTAATAGTAGGTGATTAAAAATTTATAAAATATTTATAATATATTTATTATTTATCATTCACTTTATGATTTAAATATCAATATGATTTTATTAACAAAAATATTGTGTAAAAAATATATTATATGTGTCATATATAAATAATATTTTAAAAAAATCAATCTCATATTAACTATATAATAATTAAATTGTATTAGTCTAATTAAATGATATAAAATAATAAATAAATTTTTCTATTAAAAATATAAACTAAAATAAATTTTTTAATTTACTTTATTTTTAAATATATTTTTATACTAATTTTATATAACTTCATATAAATAATATAATAATATAAAAATTTAATACATAATTATAAAATAAAGTTTAAATATATATATATATAGGTATGGGATGAAGTAAGTATTTAATAAATAAATATCAGTATATTAGTTCATGTGTTTATCCACACCTATATCCATACCAGTATAATGAATAAATACTTTATTATGAGTAAATTTTGTGATATCATTTTCTACTGGCAGTTCCACAATCCCACATTCTGCAGCATTTATTTTATTTTAATCTCCAAAACCGCTTAGATACTGCCTCGGGTTTCTCCAAACAAGTTTGTTGCCTGTTTTATTCCCCAACTCTAGCCCATAGTAAAACACACCCTACTCTTCCCTATCCCTATAGACTATAAATAAAAGCTAAGATCCTTAATTAACCCAAAACTCTTCTTGATTGCCTTGTACGTGTTGCCAATTAAAACAACTCTAAATCTTTAATCTTAATATCTGTGAACTGTGATAATACCAGAGGATGAGTTGTGCAAGGAGCAAAGCTTGGATAGTGGCTGCCATTGTTGGAGGTTTAAAGGACCAGTTGGGTGTGTGTAGGTGGAACCATGGTATAAGGTGTGCTCAGTAGCACCTGAAAAACCAAGCACAGAATATTGGTTCATGTTCTTCTTGTGGTCTTGTTGCAACCAAATTAAAGGGCGAGAAGATACAAGCAAGCAGAGGAGTCCTTGAGGACTGTCATGTACTTATGCTGTTGGTGTCCCAACTGAAGAACAAAATTGCTTTATGTAAATAGAGATGATAGATTACATGAACTTTGTGATGTCAAAAGGCTATACTATTCAACGAAGAAAGAGTCTTCATCTGATTCCTGTGCTCCAAAAATTCTTGTAACAGAAACGCTTTAGATTTAGATAAACATTATAGCAATCTTATTTATTAACTAAAATTTATTAAAAAATATAAAAATATAAAAGATAATTGTATTCTACACAAATTTCACGCATGTTGATAGAGTTACTTTTATTCAACATTCTTCATAATGCATGAATCAATTCCAACTGCAGGCCATATTTCCCGTTGCTGCTGTAAAGGACAAAATTAGAAAATTAATCGGTGTACCATATTTGATTATTTAGAGAAAGAAAAGAGAAAAAAAAGTTTCTAAATTTGATTGTTTAATTGAAAATTACAGAATGATAAATTTAATTTAAAAATTAAATTTTAAAATGTTCTTTTTTTTTAATTTAAGTTTAGTAAAATTTTAGATTAATTTTATAAGAGAAAAAATTAATATAAAAATAAATATTTTTATAAGTTAAATATAATTTATTTTTTAATTTTTAAATAAATTAAATAAAAAAGTTTCTAAAATATTAAAAATATTAATTAATTCTGACTTATAAAAAGAGTTTGATTCATTATTCTATTTAATTTTTTATTTTTATAAATACTTTTAAATAAATTTATCTAAAGCGGACCTTAATTTTATTTTTAGTTTTAGTTTTTATCATTCAAAAAATAAATTTCTGGTGATTGATAAGTAGAGTAAAATTTATTATTTCATTTAATAATTAATCTCTATGCATAATTTTGTGAACAAAAATTTTAATAAGTTTCTTAAGGAAACTTTTAAAACAAAAATATTTTTTAAAATTAATTTTATTTTATTTTATCATAGCAAGTGATTTTTTCTAAGTTAAACATTAATTTTTAAATTTAAGATTAAATATGTTTAAAATTTTAATCTTTTTATTTAATATAATCATTATTATTAATTATTGTAATATTCATTCTTTGTAAAATATATCAATTTCTATATATAATTTGTGAGTATTAATTTTGTAATAATTAAATTTAAAAAAAAAATTCAAATATGAATATTTTTAAGAGTTAGTTCTTTTTCATCATTCAAGTAATTTTTTTACATAAATTATTTATTTTTAATTCAATATTACTTTAAATTTTGATAACTTATTTTTAAATCTTATTTAATATAAAAAATGATTATTAATAATTATAATATTATTTTTAAAATTTTATTAAATTTAATAATAGTCATACAATATATTTTAATTATTTATATAAAAATTATTTTAATTTAATAATACATGTGAAAAAATCATTAGTTATTATTATAATGAGATCAATGAAACTTATAACCTAGTACGAATCTAGCTAAATATTTACACTCAAAACAACTAAACTTTTGTTGAATTGAACTAATCAATTAATCCAATTCATGAGTTGTTAATAAACCATTAATTATATACTTTTAACTCAATTGATGATGTTATGTTAAGCCTAGTAATATATTTATTTATTTTAACCAATGTTTTGTATGGGAAGGGCAAGTATTACTATGAGTAATTAGGATTTAGAATTGCTCATTATCATGTATCACATTTGGGTTGGACTGGGTCAATGATCCAATGCACTTAAAGCTGGTTTAATCACCAAAATTCGCAGCCTCTTAAAATATTTCTACTTGAACTTAGTGCAATTATCGCTGAGTCGCCGTGGAGATTTGCAGCTCTCGTGATTGGTAATCGCCCTAGAGTTTCTGATTGTGTTGATTCATTTACTATTCTCTAACTTCTGTTTGGTTTTAATTCTTCTGATAATTTCATACAAGATGAAATTGAATTGTGTTGATGAATGCTTTCTAAATCTGTGTACCTTAAACATGGCGAAAAAACTTCAAGAGAAAAAGCCTATATTTGATTGCGTTTGTATTATTTTTCGATATGTAAATGGTGTAGTGGGGGGAGATTGGGGATATAGATACCTGTTCTAAACCTGAACTTTCTGTTTGGATCTAATTCGCATTCCCCCCCCAATCCCATATTGATCCTCAACTCAATCTACCACATGTTTCTTCCAAAATTTTCTTTAAACCAACCCAATCTTCTTTAGTTCTTCACTGAAACTATTGCCATATGTCCATCTTTTGTCACACTGTTCTTTCTATAGAGCCAATGAAGGTTTGTCCAACAAAATAATGTATAAGTGAAGTACATGGTTAATGATGTCCTTTAGGTAGTACTGCAAACAAAAACTTCTGATCAATTTTTCTATGGCTTGGATTAGTGTACAATACATGGTCCATCATCTTGACAATTGTCTGTTGAAGTGGCATAGCTGCTTCCCTGCAGGCATTGTTTCCTTCAGTTAGTCAGATTAATAACTCCAAAGTTAAACATGTTGGGTTCCTTTATATTCATTCATGAGACAGTAGGAATCTACGTACATTGTTACTTTGTTCATGATTCATATATAATTAAGTGGGTAAGAATCTAATCACTTATGCTATGTTAGTTGTTGCAAATTGATTCCATGCTTTTGGTGTCATATGATCTTGAATGTTGACTTCGCAATTTTTCCCTTTCATAACCCTCTTTAGGGATAAAGATCGTCTAACCTAAGTTTATTTTTAAAAATGAGAAATTAAGAAAGTGAATCATTACTTCTTCACTTACCATACATAATCACTTAGACTTTTTTCCTCTTATGAATATAGAAATGTCTCTCAACTACTGAATTATTGTGTGCAGCTAGCAATTTGATCATGGCAGCAAAGTGCATCATACCTGCTATAATAGCATCATTTGGAATTGCATGGGTCTGTGATCATACCGTTTCTGACAAAAAGATTTTTGGAGGTAAGTTGTGTTGTGCTTCCATAGAATTCAATTTAAGTAAATTATTACTTTAGTATTTAAAAGTATAGCTATTATTTATTTTAATCATTAACTTTATAAAAATTTAACTTTAACTCTTAATTTAATAATACATTATATATAACTTTTTATTTTAGTCTTTATTGTATCTTTTAGGGTTAAATAAAAATCATAGCGTTAAAATAATCATAATAATATAATACTTCAATTTAATTTGAAAAACTAAAATGATTTACTTAATTCAATTTTCTTGGTGATAGTTTCAACCACATGCAAATATGCAATCGTTAATTTGAGTAATTATTTATTTATTTAGGCACTATCCCTGGAACAGTTTCAACCAAGGAATGGTTGGAAGAGACTGAAAAAAAGTTTCAATCATGGCCCCGAACTGCAGGTTCACCAGTGGTCATGAACCCCATAAGTCGCCAAAATTTCATAATTAAGTCTCGATCTGATTCGTGAAGAACTTTTTTTTTTTTTTTCTTTTTCTTTTTCTCTTGTTAATTGATTTTGAGCTAATTGGTTCGCCCTAGCTGTGGGAGATCTCCTGTTAAATGCTTAATAAATGCTAGTTTTATTTTATGTGTTTATTGGGCATTGTCATTCATGTTTGATGTCTTATCAGGTGATTTTTTTTCTCATGTTTAAATAAATTATGTCACTCGAGACATCCTGAATTAAATGCTCTTCATTTAAATTTTATAACTTGTCTCTTTACCAACAATAAGTTATATCAACCCGTATTAAGTTAAAGGCGTTTTTTTAATATATATTTAGGGTATGTTTTTAAAATACAAATATATAAAAATGTAAAAAATTCAGGAAAAAATAACATATAATATTAATTTTTTAATGATTCAAATAAGAGAACTATTTTATCATTAGGGTGGAAACCAGTGGTTCTTAGAATGATTTGTGTTTGATCTTCAACAGTAACTGGCCTTGCTAGTGCGACCTTATCCAATAAAATTTTACTCTGTACGTAACAATTAAGCGATTAATTTCATGAGATTAAAAAGTTTAAATGTATAGGTAAATTATGAAAATTAAACTTTTTGAGATAAAAAAGAAAATGTGTAACGTGAGAAACCAAGGAATTATCAATTATTAATTTAAATTCAAATTATTATAGTCAAAAGCTTTGTGTTACTTTACATTTAAATACTTAAATTTAACTTTAAAATTAAAATTAACAATTAATTATAAAAATCATTAAAAAAAATTTGAAATTAAACTGTACGTACACTAGTGACATGTATTTTATCTTTTATAGTCAAAAGCTTCACTAATCACCCGTATTGGTTTAACTGAATGGGAGTTAAAATTTTCAATTTAAAATTTAAAATTGACGTTTTTAAAAAAATATCATCCAAAGAAGTTTTAATTTTTATTGCGTGATTATAAAAGAATAATAACATCGCATTTTCAACAAAAGGCTTTTCATAAATTATAGTAAAGAGAGATAAAATATATTATTATTATTATTATTTAAAGAATTAAATTATAAAATATGAAAGAGCATTGACATCTATTTTTATCTTGATTTGCAAAAGAAATTTTATTAATTATATAATCACTGCACCTATTAATCACATTTTTATTATTATTGCATAACAGAGCAGTAAGATATACACAGAGTTCAAATAGGTTGAAATCTTTAAAAACGTTATTGATACAAAATCTATAAAACATTTGCTAGAATGAGAAGAAAATATAAAATATTGATATAAAAAATGTTATAAACATAAATAATAAAAGGATTATATGAAATAAATTGCATCTGTGTTCTTAAGTCTGAATTGTTTTCGTAGAAAATTATAAAACTAAAACAGGATTATTAAAATATCATTATCCGCTGCCAACCTGGGTGCGTTGCAGTTGATTACCCTTTATTCGTCTCTTGGTACAAATTGCTAAGGTTGGATCACTCAATGCCTTGAAAAAAGTAACGTTGATTGATTTTATATAGTAAGATGTAAACCGGTGGCGGGTACTCATGTTGTCTCAAACCAGAATGTCCACGTGTAACACAATATTTGCTTGTTATACACCTGGGTGGCGCCGTGGCACATATGACTTATGAGACATAGACACGTGGTCCTGCAACATAACACTCCTACAAACCCACTTGACCATTCAGAAATCTTGGCATTACCGACTTTCGCATCCCTGTATATATCTTCACTCCATTTTCTTCATCAATCAATCGAAGAACATAAATCCGCTGGTATTCTTCTATTACATATACTGAGCCACAATACTACCAACTAGAGGCTGTGGAAAAAGGTAGAAAGACAAGAATATTAAGAGATGAGTTCAAGTAGCAGAGCTTGGAGTGTGGCGGCTAGTGTTGGAGTTGTGGAGGCCTTGAAGGACCAGGGTCTCTGCAGATGGAATTCGGCTTTCAAGTCAGCTCAACGACGTGTTCAAAGCCATGTTAGATCGTTGTCACAGGCAAAGAAGCTCTCTTCTTCCTCTTCTGCTATACTTTCTAACAGACTAAATGGAGAGAAGGTGAAGCAATCAGAAGAATCCTTAAGGACAGTCATGTACTTAAGCTGCTGGGGTCCAAACTGAAGGAGAAAGACAGAGAGAAAATAATTTTGTTCTTCAGTTTTAATATCTCGGTCATCAAAAAAAGAAAGGCCCCCAGAATGAGATTTCTGTGCCATATTTGGCTTGTATTCATTCATGTATATTGTGACGCATTTGATGTAATCATGATGAATGGCAATTCCAGTCAGATACTCAGATTTCAACGATCTTTAAAGTTCCCTTATAATGCTCATGACCTTAATTATTAGTTTAAATCTTCCTTTTTTTTTTCGCAATATCCTAATTCTTACCAGTAACCCCCGTTTTGACAGAACACACAACCCCAATTTATAATGTTGTAACTCTGTTAATGGAAAGAATATCACCCATTAAAGATCCCTTTTGAAAAAATATTTACGCATTTGAACGTGAGCTCAATCCAATTAGTTATTTAGTTTTTTATATTTTTTTTTTCAGTCTAGATGTATACCTTTTAATTTTTGAGTCTTTATTACTTTGCATTTTTTAGGTCTTTTTGTTTTTGTTGCCTTTTTTTAAATTTTTTTATACTGCAGGTCTATTTGTTTTTATTTTACTTTTTTACTCCTAAGCTTGGGCTTTTTAATTTTTAAAAAAAATGTAAATTCTGATACTATATTAATATTTTTAGAATGTAATAAGATCAAACGGAAAGTAAATAAATTATAAGCTTGAGCGGTTTTATTTGATTAAAATATTTAAACAATTTTAGAATTACATTTTTTTATTTATGTAATCTTTGATAAGCATTTTAAAACTAAAATTTTCTTACTTATATAGTCGTTCATTTATTGTTAGATCACTGATACGGGACTTATATCTGAACAATCTAGGCGCATGCACGAGTCATGATTCGTGAGGTGATTATGCTCCAGTGAGAGCCAATATTTCATTCCCAAAGGTAGTTAGTGAAGTCATGTACGTGTAAAATGTGATTATATGCAAATAAGGGCCTTGATTTATAAGAAGATTACCAGTTATATGATGATCTCATTCACATTTTCCATGATTCTACTTAAAGTAGAAAATAAACTATATTAAAACATAAAAAATAATTTATAAAAAAGTTACATTTTACTATATTCCTATCTTAATTTTTCAAAAAAATAATCATAATATTCACTTACTCATATCCATACCGTACAAGATAGCACGTGAAACTTGTCTTGATTTGCTAAGCAGCATAGCGACACGAAAAATGCTACTTGTATATTTTTCAGTGAGTGCGACACTTGTGTGACAAAGACACGTGGTCCTAAAACTATGGATACATTGAACTTGATTCCAAATCTTTAACACAACAAAACCATTGGCCTCCCCAAAACCAGTAGCAGCTAATCATGGCTTTTGGCCAGTGGTTTTTCTACTCTCTGTTCGTTTCCTCAGTTTATTAATCTTGACAAGTCAAGTGTTCCCCTTCTATAAAAGAAACACCTTCACAGCAATTGTTCCCTCAATCTAAAATACTGTAAGAGATCAAGCCCATTACACACAAAGTCGCACTACTATTATCAAGTATCAGTATTTTTTGTCATCTAGATAGCAAAGCAAAAGTTTCCTTCAAAAACAATTAAGATAATGAGTTCAGCAAGCAAAGCTTGGACCGTGGCAGCCAGTGTTGGAGTTGTGGAGGCCTTGAAGGATCAGGGCTTGTGCAGGTGGAATAATGCTTTAAGATCAGCTCAACATCATGTCAAAAACCAGGTGAGATCATTGTCTCAGACAAAGAAGCTTTCTTCCTCCTCTTCTGCTATGATTTCAAGAAGATTGAAGGAAGAGGAAGCAAAACAATCAGAGGAATCCTTGAGGACAGTGATGTACTTAAGCTGCTGGGGTCCCAACTAGAGAGTCATTTAGAAAAAAATTATGTCTTTGGTTGAAGCTGCCACAAGAAAAGGTGGGGCTGAGATTTCTGTGGTGCTTGTATGGTATCCTAAATTACTTTTCTACTGTGATAGAAATTGATGTAAATTTTGATCAATGAAAGATGGAAGTATTAAGCAATTCCAAATTTTATGTGCGTTTCTTAAGCATTACTCACCTTCATCGGCTGATGTGCGTCTTTTTCTCAAGTTATGCCGAGCAGATCAAAATAAACATAAACTATAAACGGGAATTAATCTCAAACTTTTTAAAATTAGTAACACTTCTTAAAAGAAGTATGTCTTCAAAATGGTTACAAAAAGTAATGACTTTAATAATATAATAATCAATCACTATTTCCACTTTTAATGTATCTTAAATTAATTCAAATAAATAATTGTTCCATGTAATAATTAACAAACAATTTGCCAGAAGGGAGTGCAGGCAAAAGGAATTGTGAATGTTTACTAACCTATCGTATGTGATCCTTCTCCTTGACAATTGCAACCCTATATGAATTATGTCCGTGTCACAACTGGCCCTGGTAAAAACATACCATGGCCTGGTTGTTGATTATCATAATGTTAACCTTTAATTGGCCATAGTCCAGACTTTAATGGAAATGTGAAGGGATGATAAATTTTTATTTTGAATAAATATTAATTATTATATTATATTGAAAATGTTTCATAACTTTTATTTATTTTAAAATATTATACAGCTTTCTTAATTAAAAAAATACATTCTTTTTTCTCCCAAAATTTTCTGTTTAAACATATACTCGCCAAATAAACATATCTAAATTGATTTACAAATATTTTCTCTCAACGGAGAAACCCACGGTTTGAAGTAATTTTTCTGAAAATAAAATTATTTTTTCTTTCACACATTCTCAAGATAGAAAAAAGTCACTTGGTCATTATGAACACTTCCTATATACAGTATTTGTGCAACCCAATATAACTCTGTTGGGCAAAAGTGGTATTTTCTTTTCCCTTAGTTACACGAACAGGCCCATAATGTTCAAGATTCGGAACAGAAAAGTAACTTTTGGACCAAGGGGGTTTAAAACACTGATTGAAGGCAAAATAACCAATTCATTATGATATTATATATCTAAAACAAAATAAAGGGAAAAATTGCTTCAGGCAAGAAGGGCATAACAATTCCACGATTTAAATTACTAAAATTATTTTTATTTCATTTATTTTTTTTAAAAATCTTACATATACATGTTTGTGTATGTGTGTGTCAAAAAGATACTGCAAAATACATGGGGACAACTCCAAATGATATTAAAGAGGATAAGTGAGTTTTCCTGTGTAGTTAATAAAAAGTTTCAATATATATTTTATTTCTAAAAATATTATTTTTTAAAAAATTCATGAAAATTTATTTATTTTTAATTTCTATATTTAAGAAAAAACTGTAATTTTAATTATTTCATGATGATTAAAATAATAAAGTTGATAATATTTAAAATTTAAAGAAAAATACAAAAAAATTAAAAAAACATTATTTTTTTATAGTTTACTTATTTAAAACTGGATAAAATCATTTACTAATAATGCCATGCCATCATAGCATATCGTGGCAATGTATGATAGACGAAGCTAGGAGAAGCTTGTCTCAGTTCTTTTAAAGCGCAATGAGAATAAACACAAAAGGAGGGAGGAAAGAGAAATGTCAATTTGGCAAAAGCTTTACATCCATGGTTGGATTTGTTTCTTCTCTTTTTGTGGTTAGATAGGAAGCCAAGTTGATTGTGGATGCTGATTTTATTTTTGTTCTTATCTAAATTGCTTGTTGCTTGAAAGAGCAGAAATCACAACTCATCCTACACCCTTTCTGTTGCTACTGTTAACAACTGATTATGGACTATTTTATCGAATAAATTTTGAAAAAGAAAACATCTGCCATCAGCTGCAATGGCTGAGTCATTCAGCTGACATTTACGAAAATATTTTTTTTTTGTTTATATTAAAGTTTCCCATAATGAAATCATATAAGAAAATTATTTATCTTTCTCACGAAAAAAAAAAGAAAAAAAAAATCTATAGCTTATCTTGTAAAATTAGTAGATGCTCTCTCAACACTTGCACGTCAATTTGAGCAAATAAAATTAAGAAACCTTTCGATAAAAAAAATAAAGATTCGGATATAATGTATGGCAATTTTAATATTCCAAATTATAAAATAATTCGCTTATTCTTATGGGTACAAATTCATTGTGCCAATCTTAAAAAGAAGTAGCAAATGATTGCAGAGACGGTAGAATCACACCAACTGTAAAGCCCGGGAACCCACGAACAACCGGAACTCAAACACACAAATCAAATACATAAAATTGACATTATTGAGATCCGAGTTGTTCGTTCCATCACAGTAAAAATTCACCTTCCTATTCCCTCTGCTACCAAATTGTCTCACTCATAAAGGTACTAGCCAGTAAGAAGTAACTACCACCGTTTTAGACAAAACAAGAACAAGTTGTTGATCAAACACAACCAAAGGTCACATTCAACAACCTTTTTTTTTACCAACAGAGACAACCCATATATGATTTCTGCTACAAGTGCCAAATCTACCTTGAGTCCCTTCACTTACTAAACAGAAAGCTTAGGACTTTGCAAGTAATTTTGAGACCCAGTTGCCGGAAGTGGCGGTTCCGGCTAGGAATGGCGGTGGAGAATGAAAAATCAGGGTCTGATGGGAAGGTTTGGAGTTTTTGTAGAATGCCATTTTGGCAAACAACTCATACCCCTTCTGCTGCTGCTGCTTCTTCTTCCACATCTTATATGCACAATGTTCATCAGCAAAACCAGAATAATCTTCAGTCTCTTGATAGATCCACTCATCAGTCTTCGACCACGGTTTCATCTATGGCCAAGTCTCTGCTCCCTACAAGGAGGAGGCTCCGTCTTGATCCACCCAACAAACTATACTTTCCCTGTATGTGTCTCTTGAAACTTGTTTGGTCATTGGTTTTTTATTTTTGCGGGGTGGGGGGATCATTTTCTGTTTGGATTTCTTGTTGAGCTAATGTTTTGTTTTAATTCCTAACTTGGCCTGTATTATTTTTTTATTCTCTATAAAGCCTTGTGAATGGGTTGTTGTGTTTTGAATTATCATGGCTAACTTCCCCATTTATGCATTCTTTTTGTTTCCTTGCTTTTTTGGCTTGCCACATTTAAGGTAAGGTTTCTTGAAATGGGTGGAATCAGAAGTATTATTCGATTTTTCAGTTAATATTAGGTTTATCCTTTTCTAATTTAATGTGACCTTGTTTTGGTTTTGAAGATGAACCTGGTAAGCAAGTTAGGAGTGCAATCGCAATTAAAAACACTTGCAAGTCTCATGTAGCCTTCAAGGTGTGGTTTATGTTCCATTTATTATTTGCCATTATTTTGATATTTTCTTGTATTCAGAAATGATGTGTGACACAACATTATCATCATGTTACTTCACAAGGCATAGCGGTGACTAATGCTGACATTGTATTCAACCTACAAAATAGAGAATTAAAAATAATAGGTCAGTGAAGTTTCTTAGAGTCTAGACTGCTTTAACAACTGTGACCAAACTGGAGAAACTTTTCTTTGGACATTGAGAAAAATTTCATCACGGGAGTTTTCCATTAAAATAGTTATAAAATATTGAGGAATTTCGCTGTAGTAAATAAATGATAGGAAGTGTAACAGATCAAGATCATCTTCATATTGGGTTTCCTAGCATAAATTTATAGGATGATATGGAATACTTCCATTCTTGTATACTAATGACTTTTTTGTTGTTTCATCTATTTATACTCTATTCTATTTAGGTTACTACTAATCATTATGTTTTCTTTTGTCTTAGTTTCAAACAACTGCACCCAAGAGTTGTTATATGCGCCCACCAGGGGGTATTCTTGCCCCTGATGAAAGTATAATTGCCACTGGTAATTTGTCCTCCTAAACTTGTTTTAATCAACCTAGTCAAACAAATGCTTTGAATTTGGTGAATCCTCTTACAATTGTCTCACATATTGGCAGTATTCAAGTTTGTGGAGCCGCCAGAGAACAATGAGAAATCAAATGATCAAAAAAGCAAGGTTAAGTTTAAAATCTTGAGCCTAAAAGTACAAGGTGAAATGGACTATGTACCAGAACTGGTAATGTACTATTGCTCCTTTCCATGATATCTAGCATCAACATCATCATAATTTTCATATATATCCTTGCTTGTTTATGTAAGCTCAAATCGAAACTTCTCTTCTATACGCTAATTAAAGTTTTCGTGATTGTGTAAATGCCTTAAAATCAATTGCTTTTAGTGGAAAAAGTTAGTTTAACTGAAGATGTTGATCAAGATCTTACTTTCTTTTTTAATCCATAAATTGTAAAACTAAGTTATTGAGAAAATTATATTTCATATGAATACTTAAGACAGTTTTGGCTTATAAATAGTTGAAACTTAAAAGAGATTCTTTTTTTGTAGATGTTTTCCATCAGATTTATTTATGCAATGACGAATAAGCCAAATCTATCGTGTTTCAAATATATTTACATTGCTTTCGTTTCTTGTATAAATAGGTCATGCATTCAGTAAATGCACAGCAAATTGGAATTTAAAATGTGTGTCACATGATTCTTCTTGCAGTTTGATGAACAAAGAGATCAAGTGACAGTAGAGCAAATTCTGCGGGTTATTTTTCTGGACCCTGAACGGCCTAGCCCTGTAAGATTATAATTCCAAATATTTCATATGACCCCTACCATTTTATGTGAAATCGTAATTGAAAACTTGTTTTTTCTTAAAGGCCCTGGAAAAGCTTAAACGCCAGTTGGCTGAGGCTGAGGCTGCACTTGAAGCACGGAAAAAACCCCATGAGGAGACAGGTCCTCGAGTAGCCGGGGAGGGACTTGTCATAGATGAATGGGTTAGACACCTTTTTTAATGCATTCTTTTGTCTATACTGGATGCTCTCCTTCCATTTTTCTCTCATTCTGCTCCATTGCTCCTTGTGTAGAAAGAAAGAAGAGAAAGATACCTGGCACGGCAACAGGTTGAAGGTGGTGTTGATTCCGTGTGAACTGTAAAGTATTTCTTTCTATCTTTTCTTGGGTCAAGCCCTTAATGTTCTTCAGCTGTATGATCTGAAAATTGAATTTCCTGGTCACTGATTTCATAAGTGGTTGGGTGGCCTAAAAATTTGCTATGAAGAAATAGTGAAAACCCTTCTTTCTTTCTTTTTCAATAATGTTTGTGCTGTTAAATTCGAGTGAATTAATACTATGATCGGCTGTACTTCTACGTCATCATCCATAATTTGTAGATAGCTTCATTATCTTGTTTGTTTTGGAAGTATATGCAATATTCATGCCTTAAAATACATGCCTCTTTGAACGATGGCTCAATATATTTAATTATATTAAATTGGTATTGATATTGATAAGCAATAGTTGTTTATAGCCATTATTAATCAGATGAGAGAAAATAAAATTGGTAGCATCCCAGGAGTCATGGCTACAAGATCACAATCTTCTCTTTCAATTTGTTTATTAGTTGGCGACAATGAAATGAACATTTTATATGATCTCCCATCTCTCCTTTGATTTGGTTATGATATGGCAGCATTCTAGAAATAGGTATGCTTTGGGCTTTGCCTTCTATATCTGGTTGGGAAAGTATTATAAACAAGAGCTTTCATTTAAAAAGGGTTGGTCTTAATATCTTAAAAATCTAAGGCTATTACCGGAAAAAGTTAATAATAGGTTGGTCCAAAATAGTAAGGATTATTTTTTTTATTAAACACTTGGAGAACAATGAAGCCAGAGATCTTATCCTTCTTTTTTGATAAAAACGCAGAGGTTAATAATTTGAATCAAACAGGAAAGTTAATCAATATATAATTAGTTAGCAGCCATTATCATTATATATCTTTTCTAAGGGAACATCATTATATATCTTTATTAAAGTATTAAAATGCTGATTTAACAGGTAATGTAGTTAATATCCAAAAAGTGGTAGGTCCACTAAAAAGTGAGCATATCTCCTTTTTCTAAAGTACAATATTTAAGTGCCTATTACTATTGCGCGTCATGATGTTTAATCATGGGGTTACTATCATTGCTGATGAAGCAGCAGGTATGCCGTGTGAAGTAGGGAGTCTTAGACATGTTATAAAGACTAAAAACTATTAATGTAATTTATTATACAATGTAGTGCTTTATTATTTTGCAAAATGTTAACTGCTGTGGCAAACATACATTCCTATCCAAAGTGAATCACGAAGATCGTTTCATGCATGAATTCCCAAAATATTGGATGAGAGATAAAAAAATCTCTTCTTCTTCACAATTTCAGTTTACAGTGAGTGGAAACATTAAAAAATGATGTGGTATATTTCGCTGGAGAGTGGAATATTTTAAACATAAAACAATGAAACATAAACTTACAAAATAAGTTCTCTTACTAAATACTTGTGTTTTAATTAAACAACAGTCAACTACAACCTTAATCTTTTTAAAAAGTTTATGACATAGAAATAGTGAAATAAAGTATAAGGAGAATTGGAAGAGAGATAGAGACATCAACAAACCTTTTTTTTCGAGAAAAAAAAGAAGAAAAGCTTCTCTCCTTTACCAAGTCATCAAGTGGTATATGTTGCTGGGGAGTGCGAAGGATAATTAAGTTTTCCCGTCACCAAGTTTGGTTTTTTATTGACTGCATCGAAATTTTGTGAATCGGTCAGCATCAGTGTTACTTTAAAATTAGCTTTATAGATTAAAAAGAAAAGCCATATTGACATTACGGGCAAAATTTAAGATTTTTACCTCATTTAATAATTTTCCATAAAATATAAAATTGATTGACTTAATTTTTTATTTTAAAATTTTTATCAAATAAATTAATTTAATGAAATTTTATATAAAAATAAAATTAACAAATATTTTATCATGTTATTTTATTTTAACAGATATTATATTTTAAAAATATAATTAAATATCAAATTTTAAATAATATAAACATAAATGTCTAAATTAAGTGAAATTTAATATACATAATCATAAAGATAATGTAAAATAATTAAATTGATAGATTTGTCAATATTATATTTTATAATAATTTATTAAGAGAGATAAATATTTAAATTTGACATCCAATTTTAATATATCCAAATTTTAAAAAAAAACAGTTAGCTTTATAAACGAGAGAACTGGGTAGTGACCAGTGAGAGTGCAATCATGCAAAACGTGGTTTTAAACTTGAACTCAGTCAAAGTTATTATAAAGGATACAATATATAATATTAATATACACGTAAACTCAGTTAATTTTTCACTGTCAATTGTTAAAGACAACAGCTAAGAGAAATAGCAAGCAAAGGCGGTGGGTTTTGGGTTATCGGAATCACGAAATAATATTGCACAAAAATTGCCTATCTTCATCCTCTTGGCCTCGCAGACCCTTCCCCTTTATCTGGACGTGTTCATCGAAATAAATGTGTGATTAGAAACATATTCAAAAATTTATGAATCTGAATTTAACATAAAATATTAAAATAAATGTGCATTTAAAATTAAATCCACTATTTGGTCCTCATATCTATCTATATGTGTGACTTAAATCAAACCGGATTATATTTTTAATAAAACCTATTTTATTTACAAATAACATATTCAATAATATTTCAAATTACTGCCCAATAACAATTTGACAAGTGTAATAGAGTGGTGAAGACAGCGAGGCAAGCGATGCCCATTCTCAGCCCATAAGCAGTGGCTCATTGGACAGCAAGGCCCATTATCATAAAACTTGAACGTGTCTATGCCACAGTTGAACGCATGGCAAACAGAGTGAGCTGCGACCACTGTACGAACAAAGAAAAGGCAAAAGAACAAACATGACTTAAAGAACGATGCCTGCACTGAAAAGACAGAACTACCCCTGCATAAAATAGTCGTTGGTGGGCCAGAGTGGAAGGAAACAAACAAAATAGATGGGGCCCAAAACTCGTGAAGAATTGACGAGAGAGAGAAGAAAGAGACATTAATGTCAGATAAATGAATGGGTTAATGGATTACAATTGGAGAAGCAAAGGGTGAGTCATCGATGACAATTGTGTCCTTTTCGGATAAGCCCACCACCTGTTTCCTCGAACCACCACTCCACTCTCTCTCTCTCTCACTTTAATATTAAATTTAGTGTTACATTATAAAATCGTTTTAGATGATATACGAATCTTAATTACGCATTAATTAAGTGAAAATATAGATGCTTGGGTGAACACAAGGGCCCACCATCATTGAGTACTATACACAAAACCACATCCTAAGTGGTTCTCATTTCCTCTATAAATAACTCCTTCCTCATCTCTTGCATTTCATCATTAACGTAACGTTTCTTTGAGGCAAACGGAGCAAGAAAAGTAAATTAAATAAAAAGAAAAAAATGAGTTACTTGAACCGTGTTTGGATGGCTGCTACGGTGGCGGTGGCGCAGGGTCACACAGATCCAGGCCACAAGTGCAAGACGGCGCTCAGCTCTATTCACCAGAACCGGAGTCGCTTGCTCTCCGGCGGATGCCTGTCGGATCTCCGGCCGTTGTCCGGCGTGGTGGGATCGGATGTAGCCGGAGCTCTGACGGGGAACTCTGACGTGCCAGATAGAATCAGACAGGCTGATGATTCTCTAAGGAAAGTGATGTACTTGAATTGCTGGGGTCAGGGCTGAAGCACCGGTGGCGTTGAGTACGGTGGAGATGGAAGTGTTCGCCGGAGATGTGAGTCCGGTCGATCTCGGATCTGAAGAGACCGAGTTGACCTTGACCGGGTTAGATCGGATGACTCGGTTGTAGAAATGTTTTGGCTTCCGATTTTGTAAATATGTACCTATTTGTACAGCAGAGATCGGGTTTTTCCCACTCTCGACAGTGGATGACGATGACGATGATGATGATAAATTAATAAGAATGCCTAAAATTACACAAACTTTTTTCTTTCCTTCTTGTTATCATCAACTATTGGCTAAAATTCAGCAAGTCTTTCAATTACGGTGATGCCTTTCTAATAATTGTATTTTTTTTTTCTATATAAAAAAATTAGGCTGAGAACCCTAATTTCTTAGAACAAGGTTGAAAACAATTCCTTTCCGACATATTGGTTTTGGCAAAATTTGAGCATACATATACTTCTTAGGAGCACGAGTTGTGTATTTAGATGGTTGCAACCTCGAGTTAATTTCCAAGTAAAACGAATCTTGATACATGATCCGGAATAGTAAATTTTAACCAAAAATTTCAAGTGTGTGGATGATTACTGCTCAACCAGCGAAGCGAATCTTCTGATTATGGCATCATTTGTGATAACTAGATTAACAATTGACTGATAATTGATCAATTGGTAAGGGGCTGCAAAGCCTAATCAGGGTCCTCATTCCTTGTTTTCCTCAGGCACAATTTGGTAGATAGAGAAAGTGAGTAGAAATAGAAGGAAAGGGCGAACGGTATGGCTAAGAAATTAAATCCACTTTCAAGAATGCTGTAGCTTCATCCAGTTATGGAGTATTTGAAAGGGGGAAAAATGCATTTATTGACTCTTGGTTAAACCAGATTCCATTTCCGTACTTGGAATTTCAAAAATCATAACACAACCTATAACAAAATTCCAGATTCAAATGATCCTTAAACAAGTACCTTGAATCAATAATGAAGTGCCAATCCTTGTAGTTCTAAATTCAAGAATAAGAATTAACTAGAAGAAAACTTACATGTGTTTTGATGACGGGTGGAAAAGAAAGAGAAAAAAAAAGTAGAAAAATAAATTAGATTAATTGAAATGTAAAAATATAAAGATTATTTTTATTTACATTTTAATAGAAATATGCTGAATAATTTGTAATATTTTTTCAATACAAAGGTTATTCTATCTTTACCTTGTGTCTTTATTTTATATTGCTCCATTTCATGGCAACACTAAACCAAAATGTTTTTGGGTTTCACTAAATTTTTAAAATTTCATTCGCCATTTTAATATAACCAAACTCATGAAATAATATAATTTCAGTGATACAGATTTTGGTTCATTGTATTTCATTCGAAATTAACCTAGGCAATAGCATTTTTTTACAGTGACTTTTTTGCAAAAAAATATAATTTTGAGGTCTCTATTGTGAAACCAGTCACAAGGACTAAACTGCAGTATTTGTAACATGATGCCTCCCAGAAAATCTCAGGCTGTGCAGTCCCAAGAGCGAGGGGTAACGAACACAAAACTTTGTATTCTCAGAATCTCATCTCATCTGTGAATGAATTCGGTGGATGATGGCAGTGGCTGCAACCGCAAAATCAACAGCGAGGTTCATTTCACTGATAAAACTTCCTCTATCCCACTTTCACTTCAAGCTCTCCTCTCCTTCACTTTCGACAACAATTAGGTACCCCTCATATCTCTCTCTCTCTATTCTCTTTTCATCTAAACAATAAAAATCGCATCTTTTTAATTCCTAAATCAATTTTTCACTCCAATTTTTTATTTTCCGACTCTCTTACTGCTTTAAATGAAAGTATCTATTCCCTTCGTTGTGGAAAGTGAAGTTCCTAGGGTGGCCCTCAGAACCTCCTCTCATGAGTCATGATTATCATATAATGACATATGCTGCAGCCTTTGTAATTCACAATGCTGTAATAATTTTGGATTTTACTGAGTTTAACGGATGCACTTAACTTGAACAAGGATTGTATGACTATTAGCTGTAACTTTTTCCTGGTGGGAAGTATTTGATCCAACAAGATTAGCTTATCATCAAATATGGAATTTTGCTTGAGCTTTTTAATAGTTCTGTATAGATTTACTTATTTTGATTGAGCCTGACTTATCGTTCTTAGATACTTGTGGTTTAAGGCTTTGATTGGGAGTTTGGAGAGAAAAGGAACGCGAAGGATTTGAGGAGGGTGTTAACAAACCCTCTCCCCAATTTGGGGGAACTTAAAAACATGAGTTCATGAGGGGTTTTAAATGGTTTGTAAAAACTCTTCCTCATATTTAAAAACTCTCAAACAAGAGTTACATTTTTCAGTTATTGGGTATTTGGCACCGAAATATAAGTCTTTGTGACAACTAGTTTTCAGTCACATGGAGCTGTATTGGATTATTGTTGATTTAAACTTCTTAGTGAAAAAATGTATGATTAATTAACTGAAAATTGTTTTGTGGTCTATAATGAATCTGGCCGTTTTTAACCAGTAAAAGTTAATTCATTGGCGCTTGGCAGTTTTCAGGTTTTTCCAACAGAGGCATCTTCTCATGGTAAAGAGAGAGTGACAAATGAAGTCCTGAAAGAATTTCTTGCCACCGTTGAGAATGCATCAGCATCCAGTGAGAAAGTCTATTGCGCATATATTGATAAGATATGCAAAGCTGGAAATCTTTCAGCTGCAAGTCAAATGCTACAAATTTTAAATGATAAGAACATTGGTGTTACCCTTGATGTGTATAATCTCATATTAGCGGAGGCAAGTTGGAAGAATGACATTCAACTTTCTTGTCAAGTTTTCAAGAAATTATTGTTGTCATATAAATCCCCAAGTGCAACCACGTGCCTTAAGTTTGCCCAGGCTTTCACAAAAGTGAATGATTGTGTGGAGCTACTCAGATTTATTGATGAAATATTAGAGATAACGTGTTCAAGCACATCATTCTTCATAAACAAGATCATTTTTGCCTTTGCCAAAAGTGGACAGAAAGATAAGTCCTTGGTGATATTTGATCATCTTAAAAGACAGAGGTATAGTCTGGACTTGATTACATATAATATAGTTCTGGATATCTTGGGTCGTACAGGTCGGGTGGATGAAATGCTTGATGTGTTTTCATCCATAAAGGAAACTGGTTTTGTCCCGGATATTGTTTCTTACAATACCCTAATAAATGGCTTGCGGAAGGTTGGAAGATCTGATATGTGTTTTGCGTATTGTAAGGAAATGATTGAGAATGGAACAGAACCAGATCTGCTTACATATACTGCACTAATTGAGATTTTTGGTCGTTCAGGAAATGCTGAGGAATCATTGAAATTCTTTAGGGAGATGAAACTGAAAGGGGTTGTTCCTTCAATAAATATCTATCGATCACTAATCCATAATTTAAATAAAACAGGGAAGGTTGAGTTGGCAACAAAACTTTTAGAGGAGATGAATTCATCATCAACTTGTCTAGCTGGTCCAGAAGATTTCAAGCAGAAAAGAAGGCGAAGAGATGCTTAAAAGTTTTAGTTTTCAGTTTCATCTGCTTGAGGTATTCTAGTTCATAAGTTTACGTTGGTATGTCTTTGTCTGAGACATCTTTATTGCAGTATGATGCTGACCATCATTTGTGTATGAAATGTTGATGTTAGAGACATGCAAAGAAGAGTGTAATATTAATCAATTCGGTTTCATCATTACTTATTCCAGACATGCAATACATTCTTTGATTTTTATCATCAAATAGAGACTGCTCAATTGTGTAATTTCTGTCATAAAAGGTGTCTTGTGTGGAAAATACATACTTGGTAATTATTCACTTTAATTGGCTCACTGGATTCATATCAAAGGATGTTGAAATTCATTGTTGAGACCACCTACTTTTCAAATTCCCCTTTGTTTATTAAAAAAAGCACATTTGGTTATAGTTCCATGATGCCAGAACATGATCATTATCGGTATTCTCGTTAGAGTACGTGAAATTTGGAAAACAGATAACTTGATTTTCAGTCTAGAGTGATTACGAAGTACGTTTTCTTTTCTTTGTTCCCCTATGTTTTCTAGAAAACAAGTACCAAGTTGATTTTATTCTAAATTTTTCACCTTCAAAGTTTTCACCTAGTCAACCACGCACAACCTGCTTCTACCAACACTTTTTTTGATGAAACAGATGCATGTATGATTTAAGATCTAGCATAAAATTCTCCATGATCAGCTTTTGACCTTGTTCTATTACAACAAATGTATGAAGTTTAAAAAATATGTATAGGACACTGCATTGAAATAGTTATAAACTTTATATAACATTTGTGTTTGACAGGGGAAAAAGGTTAACCTTTCAGGCTTTAACCACGACCACTAGACCTGGTGTTATTGGAAAGTTGTAGCTTGTGTTACTTCTTCTGTATGTTAACTATTCAAGTTTTCACGAGAAATCCAAGGGCAATTTATTCAAGTGCCTTGCTGCAAAATATCAACTATAACAGAAGCCCGTTTATCCAAGAGACGATGACAATTCTCAAACTGTCTCTAATTGAAGGAGGAGCAAAGAGTTGTAACTTCAAAATATCACCGTACTAAATAGTGAATAGCAGGTACAAGAAATAAGAGTAACATAGCAACTCAAAATAAATAAATGTTGTCTTGTTTTGGTGACTTATATACGACTAGAATCTCTGCCAAATATGTATCTTCTTGTCCAATCTGATACGACTAACACCCTTGTGCGCCAGCTCACTTGCTTGCTGAGAATAAAACAAAGATAATAAAGGCATTATACACAAATATAAGAGCCTAATATTGTGAACTTAACAGTATTGGTCATTAGTTATTAGTCATTAGTACCTTGCATATACAGAATACCAAAGCCACTGAGTGCTATGACCCATGGAAACCCAATCTCCAGGAAGTTCTGCAGCTGCTTGCTCTCCACCAAGAGGAGCAAATTGCCCAAAATGCTTATACCTTGATAATATTCAACCAAAATTTCAGTTATTAGACTAGGACAAAACAAGGAAATACCACAAGATACCCCCATTCGTTATTTTATTCTGGTTCTTTAGTAGAGCAAAATTTAATTCAAAATGGTTATTGAAACATATTTTCATATGAAACCATTTTTTATGCTCTATACATTTATGTTTAGTTTTGGATTACGCCCTTTTTAGCCCCAGGAAGGGTAACCCAAAATCATTGTACTCGTGTTTCTGCTCAACTAAAAATTCTTATACTCTGAATTGTCAATTATTTATCTTTTTACAATTTCTTAACCAAAAATACCACACACAAGCACACACATTTCTTTAGTTAGCAACAGGTCTGATGTATGACAAAACTTGCGATATCTCATGATAGTAATGGGCGGATAAATATTTTTGTTGAGGAATGTCATGGCATAAAACTTCGTCTGAAAACATGTTTTATTTTAGTAATCTGTATAAAGGACACTAAAACGTACATTTTCTGAATAATATTATATCACATTTATATGGTTGTTATTGTAATATGCTTATTATATACAACTGAGTTTACCTAAAGGGACGAAACTTATGACGTCCAGATTTTTCAAATCTTAGAGGGCCTTCAGGATGCTCTGTACAGTGATCCCTGCGGTTCAAGCAACTAGCCAGATATGCACCCTGCTGTGCAGCAACCTAGACATGCCAACACATTAAAATTTTCCTCACCATGCATTATATACAAAAAAATATATCAACATAAACTCTTAAGGTCAATAACTTTTTGGTAAAAATAAAGTTATATATCAAATTTTTATATTTTTATCGTAACAAATATTTAAAAACAAACAAACAAACAAAACCGTGATGTTTTTTTTTTTCCTGCAAAAGAGTGTGCATAAGCAAGCTTTGAATTGCTGGAGAAATGATGCATACCTGTGCAGTTGCTGGCAAAGTCTTCAACTGTGAATCCACACGACAAAGGACAGACTTAAACTCTTCCATGTCTATTTCTTCCCTATCATTTCCTTGGGAATCTTTCCACAGAGCAGTCAAGTCAAGCAGATGTTGGCTCTTTATGTAGTGTTCCACTTGCGGATATCTTAAGATAATGTCTTCCATCACATCCTTGAATTCTTCTTTAGTTAAGGTACCAGAGTTGTCCTTGTCCGCAGCTTTAAAAATGGCCAAGGTATCATCCTATAAATACGAAAAATTATCAGGTGCTCGGAGAGCACATGATTCAAGCTACTTATATCTTGTCACGTGTCAAAAAAATTTAAAATATACGTGTTAGATTTTGATTGGTTGAGATTACTATAGTTCTGGACCATAGAAAACTTTCTTTATAATTACAAGTGAATGAGTTAGATGCCAAATACCTTCATTTTAAAAGAAGGTGCAGTACCTACAATATCATCAATTAAAATTTAAATTTCACTTTGATAATATGTGTTAACCTTTAATTTTGATCTTTGTTAAGGTAAAACTTCGATTTTAATTAAACAACAGTATCAACAATAGGTGTAATACTGCACTTAAAATTTTGTTCATTAGTCATGAATGTAAATTGTATTCGGAGGGTCTCATCCATACTGATAAAACTTGATCGAATTAACTAGTTTTTAAGTGTTCCAGTTCAACTCAACATTGGTGAAAACTGATGGAAAATCGATTGAAGTGGTGATAAATAATCGGTTTGATCAAGTTGCTTTAATTTTTAATTTTTTGGTAATTTTGTTTTCAACTAAAGATATTTTTAACAAATAAAGGTTTAATGTTCAGTTACAAAGGTCCATGCATGAGATTCACTGATAAATTATTATTTTTTAATTTCTTAATATTGATTTCTTTACTTAAACAACGTATAAACTTCTATTTAACTTGATTTTTTTTCATGATTCGGTACTAAATTATTACAATATTATATAATATAAATATATGTACTTAATCATCGTTAGTTTAATCACAGTCAAACTAGGAACCGTAAACTATAGAGCTTAGTTCATCCTACTCGAATTCAAGATGGTCAAATAATTTGGATGAGTCGTATAAAATAGTATATACAATAATACACCCATAAATGTAGAAAACCTGTAAAAGCTCAAGAATTACCCTGATTTTACGCTGATTTATTGAAGAGCAATCACCAATAGCATACACAGATTCACATCCCTTCACTCGTAACCATTCATCCGTTGCTAGAATATTCCTCTTACCCTGCGCATAGAACAATCCTAGCTTATACAGATTTCATAAATGTCACTACCCATTGTTCTATTTACAAGAAACAAACACTCTATTCATCAAAATCAATAAAAATTAGTTATATTACATATCATAAATTTATACTCTATTATAAAAATATGCACAACATTTATAGTTTTTATATATTAAATAAATTAATGTACCTACTTTTATTTATACTTTGTTAACATAAGTCTAAGAATATAAAAAGAATTTAGTAATTGACGCATTTAAAAATGTCTTTCTTTTCCTTCTATTTCTTTCACAATGGGTGTCTACAAAACCAGTAAAATGCTTGGAATTAAGCATCACCTGACCAATTTGCTCCATAAAGTCTCTGATAACAGGACGAGTTGCAATTCCTGTGGACCAGACAACCAATCCATGGGGAACAGAACACACTTCTCCAGTTGATTTTACTTTCATTGTGATGTCCTTATCATTAACACTCACAACACGACATCCTGTCTGAACTTCTATACCATCTCTTCCAAACTTCTGTTCAGCAAATGAACTAATTCTTTCATCAAACCTACAAGATTGAATTATGACATTGCAATTAACTTGTGAATTCCATAGCCTGTGTCATGGAAATATTGTGATTTGAAAAGCTAATGTCAATATTTTTTATACATAAAGTTAGCAATACTAGAGATTGAAGAAGTGATCTTAAAGAGATTCAAAGTATTAGAAAATAATAATTGAGAGTATTGTCAGTGTCAATGTTTTCTTACGTGTTCAAGATGTGATCTCCTGATTGAATCACTGTTATCTTCACTATATCTTTAACAGATGGGTACAAATTGACTAAATCTTCTTGGACATAGTCATGAAGCTCAGCAGCAAATTCCACACCAGTTGGACCCCCTCCAACAACTATGAAATGCAAATTTGTCCTTCGTTCTTCTTCAGATAAAGATGGAAGAACAGCTTTCTCAAAGCAATCAATCACAGTCTGTCTAATCTTCTGAGCATCCTCTACCTCCTGTGAGTGATGATATAATACAGGAATTGCACATTGGATATAGCACGTTCAATGCTCTTATGATATTTTCCAATTAAAATTAGAATTTTATATTGATATTTGACAAAATTTTTGAAGTAAAACTCTTATTTTGATTAGAGAATGAGACTAGAAGTACTACTGAATTTAAAGTTTGTCAAACAAAAATATACCTTTAGAAAATGACAGTTCTCCACGACACCTGGGGTGTCAAATGTATTTACTTGTGCTCCTATTGCTACAACCAAATAGTCATAGTCCAAAGAAAATTCGCCATTTCCCACTAAGTTGTTGTCAATATTGGACCCACATAAAACCTTTTTGTTTGCAGAATCAATCTTCAAGCATTCTGCCTCCCAAAATTTAATTTCTCCTTTTCTCTGCAATAGGATGGAAACAACAAAACTCCATTACTAATTTCCAAGTGACCACAGAGTGATAAAAATAATATCAAGATAAAACATGGTCATGACTCTAATAATCCTGTTTTATAAGTTGAGCTCAAAGAAAAGATACTAGTGCCACTTTTTTCTCATATAACACAATTACATGTACATGTGTGATAATTGTTAATAAAAAAAAATCACATACACATAGTTTATTCTATTTTGTAGAGCTTTCGCTTCGTATTATTTACCTTTTTTATGATGTTTCGGACTGGCTCTACAATGCTTCGTGCTTCAACTGTCCCACAGGTGACACTAGGTAATAAAGGTGTGAATGCAAAGTAGTTACGAGGGGAAACAACCTGAACATCATATAAGGAAGCATCGAGATCCTTAAGGAAACTGGTACCAGCCCATCCTGTTCCAAGAACCACCACTCTCTTTTTCTTGGGCACATTAGGATCAATACTAGGAGCAGGAAGTTTGGCATCTGATTGTAATTCTGAGTATGCAATCAAACCTCCACCACTGCAGTTTTCATTTGCAGGTTAACTCAATGAAACATAAAAGTTCATTACCTTAAAAATGTCAAATACAATATAAGTTGCCTGCATGGCAAATAAAGACATTGATGGATGCTTCACATAACACATAGATACCATGATTATCCCCGTACACGTTTGGATTCACGTTTGAATGAGCATACATTTACGTTTGCTTCAACGCTAATAATTTTATATTCTACTTTGAATTAACATTTACAGGTTATTTTAACGTGTTTTCAAACACATGCGAACCGTCTCTGTGATTACCATAGTCAAATATAAAGTTCTAAATTTCTAATAACTACCTACATTCACTCAGAGTTTTCCCTCTAATCTTTTACAATTATAATTCTCTGCATCAACAATGATATTTTATAGATCTGAGTGCATCCTTAGCAACACAAACACTAAGGTCACTCTTACATATTTTTCCTTTGTGATGTTAATAAGCACAACCACTAAATATATCATGTGAAGCATCGTTCAACAATATTCCCACTTTCATCCACCGATTACATTGATCATATAATAGCATGTCATTAAAAAAATGAAAAAAGAAACAGATGGAATTATGATTATGTTGACCTTAGAGTGCAAAGGAGAACAACATTGGAGCAGGAAGGGGAGCTATGGAAAGCCTTGGAGAAGAAGGAAGCAATCTTCATTGATGATATTAGAGAGAATTATGACAGAAGAATTGGCAACAGAACAAAGTTCGGAGCGTCAACTTCTAAACTGTGAATTTCTGTTACAACCTCAAACGCAGATTCAGTTGTCTACCTTACACTTGGACAGTTACTCATGATTAATGAAGGAGTAAACACGTGGAATGTCCTTTTCAATTCAAAATGTCTTTGCACATAGGAACATTTCGTCCCTTTCCTTCCTTTTTTATAGAGAAACTATTGATGCACTTTCTTTTTTGGCAAAATGCCAACGATTTTTAATCTTCTTTTAAAATTAAGATTTTGTGTCATGTTATTTAGTTTGTTGTGTTTTTAAAAATCAAACTATCCAACACTTTTAGATGCACTACTCCTTATCATTTAGGTGTTTCTATTAAGTTATATAATTACTGAGTTTGCTATTCTTGTTACATAATTTTGTGATTATTTTTATTTTAGACTGTGTATGGTATTTTATATATAAAGATATATATATATAACAATGGTTTATGAAATGATGCGTGTGCTGTGATCACTATGTTTAGGCGAAATCGAGTTTAATATTTGACCAGAGAGACATATTAGACTCTCATGATACAAATTCATACAGGTTGCAATGAAATAGTTCCTTCGCCCGCAATTTTTTCTTTTTTTTATAAATAACCACCCAAATCTAAATTCATTTTTCAAGAAATTCAAACGTGTTCAATGGATAAAACTATATCTGACACTTACGAATCTGGGTTTATCAAGTCTTTCGGGAACCCATGCATAGCGGGAGAAGAGAAGAGTTTCCATCGGGGAAGAAAGGCTTTTTTTGTCCACCGTTGAGAAAAAAATTGGTTGAATCAAGTTATGGCCAGTCCAAATTTGGGTCTCAAGCAGACAGTACCAATGTGTGTGTATATATAAATTCATTTTTTTAGGATTTTTTTTACAGTAATAACGTGTATATATATATTTTTATTTTATTTTTTTTATGTAGAATTTTTTTTACTAGTGTAAGTATAAATTTTTTATTTAACTTATATATAATAGATTATAATTTATTATTTTATTGACTGTTAGATTTAAATTAAATAAAAAATTTAAATTAAGTGTATCCATTTATATTAAAGGTTATAGCAACATTTTTTGTTAATTTATATTATAAAAAAGAGAGAGATTTTCTTTACTTGTTTACACAAATTAAAAAAAAATAAATAAATAATTTATATTAAAAAGTATCTTTATAATAATAATAATAACAATAGTTTTATTTTAACAAAAAACAGAACTTTTAATATAATATTTTTTTAATTATATACCTTTGCATTTTTTTTCCAAATATTTTTTTAACAAATAAACCTCACAATGCTCTCTCTTCACCTAAAATCTCACCATATTAAGTGAGGAGTAGTTAGCAAAGTCTCCAATTAAATTTTTTTTTTTCCATATAAGATAATTTTATACACAATGCTTTTTTTTTTTTTTCACTTTTCTCTATTCCTACTTATGCTTTATGCTTTGTTGGTTTCCTTAAAATTAAAAAAGAATAAAAGAGTGTAAGAAAAAAATGTTAAAGCATGTTTGATTTAATTTTTTAAAAAAATAATCTTTAAAAATAAATTGTAGTATAAATTTGTACTATAATTTATTTTAAAAATTAAAAATTGTTTTTAAAAAGTAAAATAAACATACTCTTAGTGTTTAAAATATGTTTAATACTATTAAAAAAATTACAAACCCATTACTTAATTCTTTTACACAAAATAGTGAACTTTGAAAGGAAAGGATTGTGAATTTTATTTATTTTTTATATTTTACCAAAAATAAATAAAAGTTATATTAAAAGTTATGATTTTCTTGTAAAATTTGCCATTATTGTCATTATTATTATTACATACTAGTTAGCATAAACAAGTTTTTTTTATTCTCTGTTTTAATAACCTAGACAGCACAAGAAAACTCATTTTTTCTCTTATTTCTATTATAATTTTTACTTTCTTATTTCTCATCAATTTCTTTTTTACTTATTTTATTATTTTCAATTTCATCTGAAAGCAGTATAAATCTTAATTCTAACTTTTCTCCTCTTTTATTCATAAAAAGCTTCTTCGCTATTAAATAAAAATATAAAAACATCTTTACATTTTAAACAAATAAATGAATGTTGTTATATTTAATATTATAATAATAATGGCTTGTTTCTGTCCTAATCATGGGCATCCAAGGAAACGTTAACTCTGGCAATCATCAGTCAGATACTCTTCTAATGTCCACTTCTCCTCAGTTTTTACAGCAAGAGACACTAGTATTCTCATCTATGCCTAAAGCAAATGCACAAAGTGATAGTCTGAAATGTAAAGAACGTGTCTAGAATTCAAAAATCCCTGCTAACCCCATATATGGAACCTCAGATTAATCTTTACTGCCATTGGAATTGTAGCAACACCAAGTACTTGGGTAAACTACAGCCTCAGACAAGTTGGATTGTAACATCACCGGTGAAGAACAAAAAAAATTAGAACAAGCGCAACGTTTTAACACCTAACAAACAACGCTAATCTACAGAATAAAACAATTGACAATCAAAGAACGAGGCAAACATTAAAACACATGATAAACTGTTTATCGCAAATTCGTTTACAATGGCTCAGAACACATTACAGCTCTATCAATCAGTATTTATCAGAAGCAGAACTGGCATTTAAAGCTGAATAATTATCCTCACAGCCAACAATTAAACCAAGACTTAGAATAAACCAAAATTCATTATATTAGAATGCTAAAAATATTAGCAAATAAAACCATGGCTCATATCAAGAAATTCAACCATTTTTCCGTTATGCTTCATAGAGAAATCTCAGAAGCGCGGATAAAATTTAATCATCGCCGAAAATTACGACTGTAAGAGATATTTTAAAAATGCTAAAATATTAAAATTGCGATGTAGCGGACATTTTTAGAGGCACAAACATTGAAAGATTAAAACCCCCACGTGAATACCGCCGATTCAATTTGCGCCTCTATGACTAGCTTTATTTTCACGGCAAGATACGAAAACAAGCTAAAGGTGTAGTGAGGCGAAATCCAAGCACGAAAAGCGAAAATAGAAACAATTGCGAAATCAGAAATGAGGGAATATAGAATTTAGCCGTTGTTTTGACACAGATCAGCCGTGAAAAAAAAAGGGGCTAAACTGCAACACGAACGGCGACGATTTAGCACATGCATTGGGGCTTTCGCGTCACTGTTAATTCTGAGAAGCCCGGGAGGCATCGTGCAGAGAATTAAACTACATAGAAAGAATGTCTGAACCTAAAATACATCTTCTATGTTAACGGCGGAGAACAGTAGCAGCCATTGCTAAACCCTAATGAAAACTACGACTGAGAAATTGACATTGCTTATGGGTTATATATAGGCGCACCAAAACCCTAAAATTTCTCTCTCCAACCGTTTTTAAAATGATGAAAAAAAATATATCTCTTTCTTCTCACAGTATTCATAAATAATAATGCGTTGTGTTTAATTTTTTTATTTTAAATTAGTATAAATTTATTCATAATTAAAAAATATCTTATTTCGCATTTCCAATTTCAATGATTTAAAAATTAATAAAAATATTAGAGATTCATAAGTAGAATTGGAATTAGATATATCAACGTTCATTTTATCCTATTTAATCTTTAAATAATTTTTTTTAATGAAATAGATCATAGATTTAAACACTACTTTCAATTCTTACATATAAATTAATCCGTAAATATTCACACGCCACATGATTTTTTTAAGTATAAATTTAAAATAAGTTAATTGATAAAAAAAATTATTTGATTAATACTAAAACAATAAAGTATAAGAAAATAAAAAAATTTATTTTTTCATGAAAGATAGAGTTTTTAAAAATAGGTATTAAAACATAATTTTTATATATAATATATATTAAAAATTCTTTAATATTATTCTCATGAATTATAAAATGTTTAAATTTACTGAAAATATTTAAAAGAAATATAATAATATTAAAAAAATATAATTAAAAATTAGTCAAATTGTGCATTAATAAATTTTTAAATCTAATTAACGATCAATATTTAAAAGTAATTATTCATATAACATGTTACTTAAAGTATAATGAAATGATATTATATATATCCCGTTTAAATTAAAATTTATGTTTGAGTATTATATCATAAAAATTAATCAGATAAAATTTTTGAAAAAAAAATTTTGATTGCATGCATAAAGAGACAAATATTTATAAATAAAAATAATAATTAAGTTCATAAAAATATCTATTTGATAAAATTTGAGCTAGACAAAAGTTTTAATGAAGAAAATTTTTTAAATGAGGAAAAAAACTAATTTTAAAATATTTCAAAGGAATGTATGTATATATATATATATATATATATATATATATATATATATATAAGTGTGTGTGTGTGTGTGAGAGAGAGAGAGAGAGTGGTAAATTCTACTTCATTGATCTCATTATACTTTTTGAGGGATTAGTCCATTTTCTTATCATGTGCATGACATATAGTAATTTATTGTTGGGAAAAAAATTTGAATAATGCAAAAAAATAAAGAGCATATTTATTTTAAAAAATTAAACAAAGAATACACATAATTTTTTATCTGAAAAAATAAAAAAATTTAAAAATAAAAACAAATATACTCTTAAAGTTTTTACTTGAATTACGATAAAAATGAAAAGAAAAGAAAAATGTAGAAGTCCTGTTATAACTGAATAAACTGATGAGGTTTTCTCTAATATTTTTTTTAGCTTACACTCAATTCTTATTGTAACTCATTTTGGTGAATTAAAATTACTTTGTGCCGTGATTTTATTTTTCTCGTTCAAAATAAGCGTTTTCAGTCCATTTCGGCACTAAGTTTAAGAGAGTTTTAGTTAAATCTTTTTTTCCATGAAGAATATATTGACGCTTAACCAGCCAGAGTCACATTACCTCGTTGCTTCGGGATGACTTCGATATCATATGGTTCAAAAATAAGGGTAGAGAACTAGCAACGAAGGAACAAGAAAATTGCTTCTCGTCTTATGAATTTTAAATAAATTTGCTTGCATTTAATAATTTATATTTACTTCAAAGCTAAAGGTTGCTGGCAAAGTCATTTTTTAAAACGCAAGATTGGAACGATTCACCATCCATAAAAGCCAAATCTAGCGCTCCTCTACCCCTTCGAAGGGACCTGCAAGAGGTGGTGGTGGTGTTGCCATGCCTGTCAGGGGATGGAAACGTGGGACGCAGATTCAGACGGTGCAGTCAATGTATTTTGTATTTTTGTTTAAATAAAAAAAAAATTAAAAATATAAAATTTTATTTGATTAAACCATCCTGTTCCGGTTAAACAAGACTAGATTCAGAAATATATTATTGTCTTTAGGAATTTGAGAGGAAGAGAACTAACAATTAGTGTCAAATATTCTTTTTAGTCAAACCTTAAAGATTAATCTTTTCTTAATTGCAGTATTATATCGTGGACACTTATAAAGAGAAATATATGTATTTTTTATTTTTAAAAAGAGATTTTTTTTTTAAATACAAATAAATGTACTCTTGTAATTTTTCTTTCATATCATAATTTTTTATAAGTTTAACTCAAATAAAAGGTTATTCAGGGGAAAAAAGGTTTATTTTATATATAGTAAAGAGACTCTCTTAAATAAACTTTTAGATTAGGTCATACTTTTTAAAAATATTCGTCAAATGTTGTAAAAAAATGTTTGTATTAGATAAGCATATCAAACTTAAACCTTAGATTTTAAAAGAAAATTAAATTATAATCATGTAAAATCTAACTTGACTCATTTTTACCTCTGCATGCTTGTTACCATCCTTTCAACGTAGCATCAACCTAAGAAACTTTAAAACAATTCTCATTCAATTACAGTTTAAATTAAAAATTTGTGAAAAAGGATAGTCAAGAAAAAAAGCTTTTGATTAAAAAATTTTATATAATAAGAAGAGATAAAAAAAAAGAAAGAAAGTGAGCACGTAAAATACGATATTATTGCAATAGAAAGATAAAAACAAATTATGTTATAAAAAGCGTTACTTTTTTTTCTTATTTATCAGTTACTTTAAAAGTTAACATAATATTAATTAATTTTTTATTATTCCGGATTTTGTAATACATATTTAAAGACACATATACAGAAATTAATAAATAATATATTTTTATTAAAAATGTAAAAATTAATAATATTAAATATATTAATTTATGTAACTTTTAATAAAAATTATTATTTATGAAATCTTATCATGTATTTTTAGACATAAATTTAAAAAATTGCTGCAGTTATTTATACTTCGGTGGCTATAGCGATTTCACACACAAATTACTAATATAATTTAATAATAAAATAATTACAACATTAAAAAAATCAGAATCAATAACATTAATATATTATAAAAACAATAATACAAAATAAAGTCAAACGTTATGGTAAGCATAACAGTCATTATTATTATTATTTACCTATTTTTCTTCAAATATTAAATTATACTAAAATAGTTGATTTTTATCATTAATTTATTTATTTATTCTTAAAATATTTTAAACTATAAAATTAATTTTAAAAAATTATCACATTAAATTTGTAACTTTTTATTTTATAATGTATTATATTCTGTTTGATATTATTAAAAAAAATATTGGTGTTGTACATGAAAGCAAAACTCCAATTAAATGATAAGAAAAAGGAAAATGTAAAAATTCATATAATAATTTTAACAAAAATGGAAATATTAAACATATTTTTGAATTTAATCAAAACCTTTGTTTTGTCAACGAGTGATCTCAACTCTCACGAACCATTTCAATTTTAAAGTACTTTGACTTGAACAAATCAAGAACTGTGAAACACGTGGCAGGTTTCCATTAAATGGAATTTTCACCACTCAAACAGAGGGAGCCAAATGCCCAATGATCTTCCCCTCCCATTCTTCTCTCCAGTTGCCACAATTTCTCATTCCTCTCCTCAATGATCCAAACAACACTTGCCACGCCTCATAACTAAAAGGGTAATCACGTAATTTCAGTGTGCCGGCACAGCAATTTTCATTAAATATTTCGCCGCGCCATTTTCAAGTGTCACACTGTTACATAACATACATGCAACACTGTCACACCCGCTACGGTTCCAAGATCTTCCTCTCTCTCCGATGAAAACGCCCAACACCTCTCCGGTTTCTAGTTCGTCTCCAAAATCTCGCCTACACAGAAACCGGGAACTGACCTCACGGTTTTCACCTTCCCCTCCAAGCGCAACCACACCCTCTCTGGAATCCATAGAATGCAATTCCCCAATTCGACGCAAATCGTCCAGTCCCGCCGATGGCCGGCGACACAAGATCACCGAGGACCCGGGTTTCACGCGCCACCAACTATGGCCTTCTTCTTCTTCTTCTTCTTCAACGACGGCGAAGAGAGATTCTGGCACTCTCGCCGATCACATCACCGAAGACAGAATCATAGAGCAACTCAACGTGAACGAGAAAGAGAGACATAACAAATCAAGCTCCATTTTTTCGCAGATGGGTAGCAGAGGCTTCGAGAACTGCGCAACTTCTTCGACTGCAAGCAATGGCTTCAAGGAAAATGATCGACCCATTATTGGTGGGTCCACGAGGTTCTCGGGAAGATTCATAGCACCCGGAGAATCATCACCTTCTTCAAAGAAAAACGGTTCTAACAGCGCTGTCTTCACCGGTGAGAATGCTAAATCACTGTCTTCACGGAGAAACTCTTGTTCTTTCTCAAATTCTCTTGATTTAGAATCTGATTATGGTGACATGGGAACAACGTCGAGAAAAGCGGGTAAGGAGGTTCCGTCGAGGTACACGAGTGACGTAACGTCGAGAAGGGCGGCTCGAAGAGGAACTTCAGATTCTAACATTGCGAACTTGGACGGTGATTCCTCTGTTTTGAAGAGGTTCAACTTGAAAACGGCGATAAAGAGGGCTAATTCGCTTACTGGGTACAAGAGTTCCAAGTCTCAGTGGGCTTTGTCACCTGCGAGGTCAGAGTCACCGGCTATGTCGGTTGAAAGCATGGATAAAACGATGTTGTTTTCGAGCTTGAAGCACCCCATTGGTCCTACAAAGGCTAAAGGGGTGGAAAAGTTTCTCAGCTTGGGTTTTGATCTTTTCAAGAGTAAGAAATTATCTGGGTTTGGTTCTTCTCCGGTTGGTTTTGGAATAAACTCAGAGGTTGTTCATCAGCTTAGAATGCTTCATAATCGTTTCATTCAATGGCGGTTTGCAAATGCCAGAGCTCAAGCTGTGAATGAAAACATCTCTCATCAGGCTGAGGTAAGTATATGTATATATATATATATATATATATATATATATATATAGAAAAATGTTGTTCATACTTCATATACTCACTAAGTCACTATGTGTATGTAATTAGTGAGAGATAGAAAGAGGGAAAAAAAAAAGAACTGAAATTTATAATATGCTATGTAAAATGGTAGAAAGAATAAAATAGAGAAAAAAATTAGGTGGAAGTAATGTGTAGTTGTATGAATTGATGATTTCTTGATTAATGACTGTGTTTAGAGCAATTTGATGCGTGCTTGGGATGGGCTCACAAAGTTGCAGCATTCTGTTCTGAAAAAGAAGATACAGTTTGCAAGAGAAAAACTTGATATGAAGATCACTTTTGTACTGTATTCTCAAGTCAGTTGTAAATCTCACTTTATTAAGATTTGCTCAACATGTTATTTCAATGATTTCATTTCCATATTCTGAGGTGATACGTTGTTGTTTTGGCAGATGAAGCTATTGGAAGCTTGGGGAGGCATGGAAAGGCAGCACGTGTCAGCAATTACTGCCACCAAAGAGTGTTTGCATTCCGTTGTGTGCAGAGTTCCTCTTTTGGAAGGTGCTAGGGTAGGTAACTAGGTACAATAGAAACATCAATTCTGTTTTTGAACTTTTTGAACGACTGAACAGGTAAGAACACATTCATTTTGATGGAGTCTGATTTATTAACTAAAATTATTAGAATTATAAGTTAAATTAAAATTGGAATTCACAAAAACTTTATCATTTTTAATAAATTTCAATCAATATTAAAGGATGTGTTGTATCTTATACAATTATTTTTATATTTCTCTTACTTTTTATGTTTTTTAATGCAAACACATCTCAAAAATATTAATTGCAATGTAAGGGGACACCGAAAGATGTTCCACTTTGGTGGTTAATAATTTTGCCGGAAACATTTACCTATTAGCAGTGATAGGAAAATTGCATTGACATAATTCTTATGCTTGCAGGTGAACATGCAATCAACATCCATTGCTATAAGGCATGCATCTGACCTCACAGCCTCCATCAAGTCAATGTTAACTACTTTTTCATCTTCAGTATGTTTGCTAACACTGTGCTAGTCCAGTTATTATTTAATGACAACTTAGATTGAGATCGAAATAATGATTCATCAGCAGGTTGATAAGACTGCTACAATGCTATCAGAATTAGCAAAAATTGTTGCACAAGAGAAGCAGATTTTAGAGGAGTTCTATGATCTTTTCCAGACCATATCAATCTTCGAGGTAACTAAAAATAATTTGTGTGACACTTTCAAAATTAAACTTCATCCTAATTTCTAATCTTTGCTTATGTACTGCTTAGACACAAAATCCTTTTAGATTATTTATGTTTAATTTTATCACAACAAATATTGGCAGCTACAAGAAAGAAGTATGAAGTGCAATGTCTTTCAACTTGAAGATTGGCAAAGGAAATATCTACTAGCGGGGATCACTTCATAGATATTATCTACTTAGACAATGGAAGTCCTGAAATATAGAAGCATAGTTTGACAACTTTTGCTAACATTGCAACTGTTTACATTGTCCTCAAAACTGTAATGATTGTTCTTTGGACAACATGTAGGATCCGTTTACATACCATAGTGTCCCTTCATGGTAGTATAAATACCGGTTTAATAATACATTCTTGTTCTATACGTCTCGCCATTTGTTATAAGCATGTTAAACCCATAGTTTGTGACTTGGTGCATTATTTTGTACTTGCATGGGAAATTGCTTATTTCACTTAAAATTTGGATGAGTAATCTTTATTTATTATTTAAAATGGCTAAAAATCGTATGTTGGGGATTTTCCTAAAGCAACTACGTTCAATCAATTTAAAAATACAAATTTGTTCCTAACAAAAAATTAATTGCACCCTGCCATTTTTCTACTATGACATCCTTATACGCAAGAAAATCCATTAATTATCATTCATTTTCCATAGAATGTATTTTATAGAGGCGGAAAGTAAATATTAATTTAAGAAGTGAATTTTATGCATGGGCAATCACCTGTGCGCACTCCTCCATTGTGTGCTTTGGTTGGTATGTTTCGTGTCTTCCATTAAAAATGAATTGTCCACTTTGCTACTCCGAATTGTTCAAGTTGCAACTTCCTCCTTGCAAAAGGCTCACATGTTCATGTGGAAAAAAAATCTTTTGCAGCAGTAATTAGGATAGAATTGTTGGGACTTGATAAAGTTAAATGCGCGGCTTGTGAAAACAATTTTGATACTCGTGGACTTGATCTGTGAAGGATTTGATGATATATCATATGCTGAGTCCGTTTATATCTTACACAAACTTGGAAACATCAATTCAAATCATGAAAGTCTCTAAATATTGTGATCACAAAAGCTACATAATTTTGTTCCTTATAATTGGCTTGATAATTTCATTTTTCAGAAATTAATAATACAAAAAATCTAGAGTACTGTTGCTTACACCATTCTCTTAAACTTCAGCTCTGGGCATTCTAAGTACAACTTTTATTCATATAATTGATAATTTCAGGTCTACTAATATATATATATATATATATATATATATATATATATTTAGAATTACTTGTATTTAAATTAATAAAAATATGTAATGCTATCACAACATTACGATCACATTTTAATAAATTACACAATTTTCAATTATATTTAATCCTCTTTTTAGATAATACTGGGATGACATAAATTGTACCTGCTAGGATTGAATTAATGTTAAAAAGTTAGGATAGTATACATAATATAAGAGTATAAAATTCAAATCTTATTACAACTACATCAAGAAAGATGACACTTTTTGGTCAAAATAAGTGACACAAATTGTTCAATTTGGATGGAATTTGGTGGGTAAGCATTTCTGAGTCCATTAGGCCATGATAAGTACATAGCCTGTTGGGCTTTCTTTACCATTATTATGAGCCCAGGACCACGAGCTCCTAAATTGCACAAAACAAATATTTCTTTGGTTTCTCTAACGCCTAAGCCTAGTGGTTCCTTGGTCCACAGATTTGCACTGAAAACAGGTATTTTATTTTATTTATTTATTTCTCTTTCTATTCCCCCGACCCCTCTTGTGATAGTGTTTCGGAAACGGAAACGCTAAATTACATTAAATATTTTCTGGGCATGTTCTTGCAATTCTAATACGTCTTTGCATTTTCCATTTTGGGGATTATCTATGCCACCAAAATTACCTGTTGTGAAACTGTCTTCTCACCTCACAACTCATATTTTAAAAAAGTAAAAGATTTCATTAATAACATTTGAGATAAGGTTTTGTTCCTTGGCTGAAATGAATAATCGCCACAGGTTTTAATTAAAGGTGAGTCATTTTTGTTGTCTCACTCCACAACCCATTGTTTGCAGGTGGTAATTGCAAAGAAAAATGTTGAAATCCATTCTGGGTTGCTGCAAGGTATATATATCAGAGAGCAGAAACAGGAGTGCATTGGAATCAATTGAAAGAGCTGCAAAGCTTTTTCCTCTGGCTCCAATAATCAACAAGTTTGAAGATGTGGCCTACAATAGAGTGGGTTACACGCTTGTCTCTGACTTGGCTCCTTCAGAGCCATGTCACTTGACAAATGCTGTGTTGGCAATGGTTAAGGCTGCTTTTGACACCGTTGACTTTCAGATGCACTCTGGAACTCATCCTCGACTTGGTGTCGTGGATCATATATGTTTTCACCCACTGGTTGGTGCTTCCTTGGATCAAGCAGCTAGGAATGCTAGGTGTTTAGCTATAGACATGGGTTCTAGTCTGCAAGGTTAGTAGCATGGCTTGGGGTTGGGAATCACATTATATGATATCAAGAAATAGAATGTTGTTTCTTTGAATTTTCATGTGAATTTTTTTTGTGTGTGTGTGTGCGCTTATCTTCCTCTCCATAAATATTTACAAACTTTAATGATTTTGTTATTACTAACCTTTTATCCAAAAAGAAAATATTTATTGTATTTTTGTATCTGCAATGTAATAAATATTTATTTTTTAATAAAAATTTACTATTTTTTATTATCAAAACTGCTTATTTAATGTTTATAAAGGGAGAAAGAGATATAAAATTTATTCATCGATCTCATTTATTGGAAAAAGGTTATAAGTTGCTGTAAACAAAGTAGAAGTTCATTCTAGCTATTTAGGAGAGTGTGCTTAAACATAATTTGATCAGTCTCAGCACATTATGTAATGATGAATTTATAAAATTGCAGCAGTCTATTGGCATGGTACCGATGACTAGGAGCCATTTATTCCACGGTTGCCACTGTTGAATAATTACAAAGAGACTCTTGTATTTTGCATTTTTGCTTAACTCGTTGTACAAGCTATGCTGCTTCAGAAGCTTGTAAACACACTTGGCATTTAAGAAGATAAAAAGGTAGTGGTATATAAATGCTTAAGTTAACAAAGTGATGATACAAGTTGAACAATATTTGCTAAATTCAGAGTTAATCTTATAGATTACAATACATGGGGGAAATAACCTCCAGTTTTCTCAAGAAGTATATTTCTTGAACGCTTCTGTTTGATTGTTGGTTAAGAATCATGTCTTTATGTTAAATTATTATTAGCTCTCAAGTTTCAATTTGTATGGATATTTCCTTGTTCTCACATAATGAATTTCATAATTACTAATTTGCACACTCATAAAGTGATTATTGAATTGTGCTTAGTATGCCAATCATCTTTGTAAATTTATATATTTGCATGTCAATGATCATTAAAATTATCTGCAGTTTCTACTTATCTATATGGAGCAGCACATGAAGAGGGGAGGACACTAGATTCAATCAGAAGAATTTTTGGTTATTTTAAACCAAATTCTAGTGAAAACCAGTGGATTGGGGGGCTAAAATCAGACTCTGTGCTACTAAAGCCTGATTGTGGTCCATCTCAAGTTACTTCAACAAAAGGTGTTGCGGTCATTGGAGCAACCAATTGGGTTGATAACTACAATGTCCCTGTATTATCTTCTGATATCAGTGCTGTTCGTAGAATTGCAAAAAGGGTTAGTGGAAGAGGCGGTGGACTTGCTTCTGTACAGGCCATGGCACTTGCACATGGTGAAGGTGTCATTGAGGTAGCCTGTAATTTGTTGGATCCAAATAAAGTTGGTGGTGAAAGAGTACAACAAGAAGTTGAGCTCCTTGCAAAGGAAGAAGGTATTTCTGTGGAGAGGGGATACTACACAGACTTTTCACAGGAAGAAATAGTTAAAAGTTACTTGAAGTTGTTTGAAGAGAGAATTTGATGTATAGGGGACTGGTTTACTGTATATACAATTTGCCAAGTATGGTTTTTGCCATTTAGTGAATTTTCCTTCCAGAGTCAAAGTTAATCTGGTATTTCCTTGAAATTAAGATAGAAAAAAAAAATTATTGATGAATTTTTCATATCACCATTGTTCAACTTTAAATTTGTAGATTTGTTTCCAAGAGATACTAAACTGATCCTAAAAGATGTCATTCTAGCTTCTAACATATCTCCCAATTCTGCTTGTCCTTCAAATGTTCTATATAAAAAGATGGGTGGACCTAACCTTATTGATCCTCTCGGTGTGTTGGCAAGTTTGCCACTGGAAAATTTGCTCATCGTAATCCTAGTTTGGCAATTTTACATTCAACTATCTTAAAGTTTTCTTCAGTGGGATAGATGAGAAACAAGGAGTTGGGGGGAGTGGGTCACGGTGAATTAATTTGTGGTGATGTTGTGCATAAAAGATATTTCACCCAGAAAATTTGTTAGAAGCACATTTTGTTTTTGCGTATATGAAAAAAAAAGTTTTAGACACATTACTTGTTATACTCTTTATATAGTTATGTTGTTTAAATATCTAAAAATTAGTATTATATATCACAGTGTGGGTATAAATTTATTTATTTTTTTATCTTTTTATATAAATGTATTCCAAAAACATATTAAAAATGAAAAAAATAATCCTTAAAGTTATTACTAAAAATTTTTTTGGTACCTTTAAATTTAAATAGGTATTTTAGGTGACACAGCGGTAAATAGACATGTAGAAAAATTTGAATTAAAATTTATGAAAAATATAAAAACTAGAAGCATATTTAAAGTTAATAATAAGAACGTTGGATGTCAATGTCACCACCAAATATTACGCATATCCTTTCACATTTTCTGCAATTTGTCTGGATATTTCAATCGAACGTCACCCGATTTATTTTTTTCCTCTTCTTAATAATCATCCAACTTGGCGCGTTAAACTTTATCCCACAGACAAAATAAGCTTAGGTATGCAACTCCAAAACTCCAAGGATTCAATGGCCAAAAAGCTGTAATCTTATTAAGCAATTTAGGTGAGGCCATTACTTTTTGCACCTCTAAATTTTCTACTTACAAGTTACATCATCCCTTTTAATTTTTGTACCATTTATTCTTAAATTAAATTTTGAATTACTTTTTGCACTATTCTTCATCCTTAACCCTTGTCTTGTTGATGGCAACGTCACTGCCACAGGGGTTACTCTCCCAACAATTCAGTGCCGAAGAAAAATTAAACATCTCTGATAACATCACAACAATTGGAATTAACTAATGACAGTAACCCATCGTTAATGATCTCTTGAACCCACGTTGAGAACTATCCACAATGTTGATTTTGCAATAGAACACGAGGCCCACACCTATCATCGTCAGAGAACCGATCCAGAAACTCTCACTCCACATCCGAAATTCGTATTGAAACTTGAAAGAGACCATGTTGTAAAATATCAAATAAATATCTTTTTTTTTATCAGGCATGTTAAAATGTCCATGTGAGATTTGTATCAACAATAATGTTAATATTTTCAGAACAAGTTTTGACAACTATAGGCAAAATCTTTACCAGCTTCAAAAAATGTTAAAAGTGAATTTTTCTGTAACATAAATAAAACAATTAATCCATCGTTGAGTTATAAAAAATAATATAATGATATATTTTAATTTAAATGAAAAAACTCTTTTCTCATTAACCCGATGCTAGGCAAGAAATTGGAAAAGAAACTGCGAATGATATGATAATAACACGTTTCATGCACGTCATATCGCAATTATATTACATGAATTAACCTAAATATTATAAAAATATATAATAAAATAAGTTAACAATTTGTTAATAACGAGAATAAATAAATAAATTTCAAAATTAGATAATTATATTTAAAAAATTAAATTTTTATAGTACCAAAATCTTATTTAAATTATTTATTCATTGAAAGATAGATCATTTTCAATTTAAATCTTCAATACGGTGATAGAAATCTTGGAATATTTACATCTTCTCTCCATTTTGGCAACGGGTCTCTCTTATCAATAATCTAAAATAGTATGCATCAAATACAAATTTCGATGGGCTTACACAAACCATAAGACAAAATTGAGCCTAGTATATTAATATGCTTCTTTCTTTCTTTTTCTTATTTCAATACTTCCTCCATTTTTTTTAATCAAAAACCAAATACTTCGATTAAGTATAATTTTAACAAAAAAATGTTAAGTTGAAGTTTTAATAAAATATTAATTATGTTATTCTAATTCTACCTAAATAAATAGTAAATATAATAATTTATGAGTATTGTATGAGCTAACTTTTTAACAAATAAATAATTAAAATTATTTCATTAAATAATATACTTATTAGTGTTAGTTTATATAATAAATTTTAAGCGTCAATTTTTTTAAAAAAAAAGAGGTTAGGATCATTTATATTTTTTACACTAACTGTCTATAGTTAATGTCATTTTTGCACATTTGATTAAGCAAAATTTTTTCGTTTAAATAAATAAAAAAAAACTAAGTGAAAGCGTATTTACTGTTCAAAATTTTGGTCTAGAAGAAATGTTTTCTAAACAATAAATGTAGAAAAAAAAAATTGAGCCCCTGAAAGTACCGGCTATTATTTATATATTAATAATAACATCACATCTCTGCTCCAAAATTTTTAAGCCTTTATTTAATTATCTGTAAACGATTACCCTGATAAAATAGAGTGATATTATTCATAAATTTTTTTAATTTATTTTCGTTACATCACTTTCTCTCTCTCTCTCTCTCTCTCTCTCTTTATCTATTTGTAGACTGTGTATAAATTTGTATACAATTTTATTCTATAAAAAATAGTTTCTCATTAAAAAAAAATTGCTTAATCAGCTGAAGAGGATCCAATTCAGTGGATTTCCCTTTTAATTCTATGGGCTTTCCGCGTGGAGTAACAATAAAGAAAAACGAGATAAGAAGCGGAATACGTGGTGGAAATAAATGACATGTGCTTTGTCATGTCTTAGAAACAAATGAATTAAAAAAAGGTATATGAATTCAATACCTTCAATAATACAGTTTTGTTGTTCTGTCATTGAAACACGAAAATTAGTATTTTAGTTCAATTAAATTAATATTTTGTGTTATTCGATCCGTATATGATAAAAAAAATATCAAGAAAGATATTCTTTTACTATACAGTTATATACAAATGTTAAAGATTAAAATAATTATATAATTGTATAATCATTTTAAAATATTATATTATTCAATATTTTACTTTTAACTATTCATAATTATATTTAACGATTAAGATTTACTTATTTGGCTCTCACATTAATTTTTTTTTCATTTAATACTTACATATACTCATACTTAGAACTATCTTCTACAAAAAGAAAATTCTTATTCAAATAAAAAAGTTCACACTTGAATTAAAAAAATAAATGTTACTACTTGAAATTAATTATTAATTGTTGATTGTTAAAATAGATTATTCATTGACATCGCTGCTCAAAATCTGATAATTAACAAGGCCATCAACTAAAAGATTTCAGAGAAGCATAATGTGATTCATGCCTTGAGAGGAAAATAATATTATATCTTTTTGTAATTCTTTTAACATTTTCTTAATACATTAAAAAATATTGAATAAAATTTACTCCTAACATTTTAACAAAATGTAGTAATCTCATTTTTAAGATTGAATTTAACTAACGAATAATAGTAAAAATTAATTAAAATATAAATTATTTATCATTTTTTTATAAAGTTAAAATAATATATGTATTTTTCTTAATAAAATTTTATTATTTTAGAATATTTAAAGATATTAAATCATTTATTTATTTAATAGTTTATTTTTAATAAAATTTAAACATTTGAATTAATTTAAGTAATATATATCTAATTTTATTGAATAAAATATACTGTCCAACTATTTTTTTAATATAAATTTCATTTTCACTTAAAAAATTAAGACTCTAATTAAAATTAGTTGTATTATATATATATATATATATATATATTTATTATACATCTTATATTAATACAATATTAAAATTATATGTAACTTTGTTTATTTATTATTAATCAACTAATTACATACTATTTTTTTACCAATTGATTAATAATTAAATTTTGAATATTTACTATCAATCAAGTTAAGAATGAAAACAAAAAACAAATTATTGATGATAAAATTTTTAAAATTAAACTTTATTCCATAATTTTCTATAATTTAACTTTTAAAATTTATAAATTTCATTTATTCGATCATTTTCTATAAGTTAAATTATAAACATATATTATTAAAAGAACTTTAGCTCTTCGTACCTTAATTAATTTGAACTTAAAAAAAGTTGAGCTCCTAAACCAAAATTTTTGTTACACAAGCCTTGGCTTGCTTGCTTCTGGGATAATGGTGTGACGTGGCACCACGTGAAGACGTAAGTTAGCTTGTTTTTGATATCTTTCACCCGTGAAAATGACTAATAGTTCCATACTTATTAGTACACACGACTTCCCGTCTGTAATTTACTTTAACAATATCCCCTGTGAACACGGCTTCAAGCTTCACTCCAGAATAATCGCCATGGATTTCCATTGCACTAACAAGGTCAGAAATTCTCTTTCCTTGTCTTCTTTCGCTTCTGTGATCGTTATCAGACCCTCAATATACTAGTTCATTTTTTGTGGCAATTTTATTGATTAACACATCAAATACATGCTAATTAAAATCTACATATAATCTCTTTGTTCCTTACCCATTCCCCCTTATTTGGTTTATTTCTTTCTCTGACTACTCAACATAGCTTACTTTCTATGTTGTTTAAAATGTTAGCCAAATACATAGAGGAAGCCAAGGAACAACGAAAGGGAAAAAAATGGGTGGGGCTGGGGTGTAGCAGTTTGTGGTTTTGGTTATCTTCTAGTGTTCTTGTTTCAGCTGAATATAATGCTAATACTGGTAAATAGATACACCGGCCTCAACTATAGTTAAAAATAATAATAAATACTTGAACTCAATTAATAAAATTGAGGTTCGCATTTGTTATAATATAATTAAGAAGTTATGTCCATGGACCACTGTACAGATTAGTTTGACGTATTTAAAACCATTGATCATCAATCTCTTTCTCAAAATAAATCTGAAAGGTCGTTCATTTCTCTTGCTTTCTTCAATGCACCTGCAATTTTCGTTCAAGTGGTTTTTGACTTTTGTCATTCAATCATATCTCCTCAATCGTATTCTTCTTCAACCGTGTATGTTTTGTTTTGAATAATTTACAGCTTTGAACTTTTTTTATAATTCTTATTAATTATTAAATAAAAAAGTATTGAATATATTTTATGTTTTTAAGATGATAAATAAATGTTTTTTTATATAATTTTGTTTTACAAGATACACAACAAGATTATTAAAAAATAGTTAAAGAAAAAATACAGCAAACATCTTTTTTAATCCCTTATCTTCTAGAAGCTAATTAAATATCTGTAGAAAAAAAAAAAAACAACGTGTGCGAGAAAATGTGGATAAGAATACACAATAATTCTTTTTAGTGGTCAGAATATTTACAGTAGTTGTTGGCACTGACCCACGTCTTGTATAGGGGACGCATCATCTTGTGTGAGGGTAATAATAATGATAAAAATAAACATGCGGTGCACGCTAAATAAAACTTGCTAATTTGTTTCCCAGCTAACTATAGTAGAAGGATAAAGAAATTGCAGAATTACTGCAATGCATTATTGGATTAACGCCAGAAACTAAGCCAGTGTCGAACGTTACTGTCACTGATCCAGATCCTCTCCCATTCGGGATCAAGACTGTCCAATTTGATCTGCGAATCCTGAAAAGAGTACATTTTATTTTTCTTAAGCAGGCGTTGTGCAAACATTAAAAGGGTCGGTCTAAGACAAGACTTTATCAACAAAACAGAATCCCTGCATGGCTGTTTCTTGTGTTTGAATGACCTGTTAGTATGGTAGATGCTAATGTTTAGATTTAGCACTTGAAGGAGGAGGAATGATCAAATAGTAAATCCACGAAAGGGTTTTGGAACATTAAAGTAATGAAATTGTTTTCCGCTCTGAATTTGATTTTGTATTTCCTTAGTTGGGATAGAATAGGCTGCTATGAGGAATTGCATATTTGATTAAAAAAAGATCACGAATTTCAGATTCGCAAATTTGTTTAGGAAAGTTTCAATTCGCTTAAACAAATATAAAATTAACCTAATTCATATATTTCCATAATTGCGTCCAATTCTTAAGTAAATTGGAGAAGATCCGAATAATTTTTCATTTACATCAAATGGAGTTTGAAATTTAAAACAAACGTACATATTCAAATCCAATGATCCGTATATGATTTTCAGGTTAACCCTCTGTGTGTGTGTATATATATAGTTCAGCTAAAAAGTTTATCTTAGGTCTTTATGAATAGTAAACAACCGCAACCCCTTGAGCTGTATTCATCGTTTCTTTGGTAGAAAGTAAAAGGAGATCAAACTTTTCCCTTCTTTTTTTTTCACTTTTTTTTAACCAAGTAAATAAAAATGTAATATTATCTGTATTTTTTTTTTCCCCTTTTCTATCTAAACAAATTATTAGTATATGTTGTGTAACGTTGGGAGTGACGACAGAGAAAGTTAATTGAATAATAGTAACCTTGAAATGCACCGTGTATAAAGAACAATAATGATTTATAAACATTAATAATGTCAAGACTCGTTTTGGATTCATGTTGTTTCTTACTTTTTTAATTGTATTAGATTATATTATTTATCAGTTTCTTAATCTCATTCAAAGTATAAACACCCAACAAGCATTATCCTGAGAAGTAAACAAAGTAAAACCACATTTTTTGTGAGTACAAGGTTTCATTTCATTTTTATTTTTTGCACTGCTTTCATTATATTATCTTTTAAAATCCCTGTTTCAATGGGGCAAATTTTTTCTCTCTTGCAATATTTGCAGGAGCAAAAGAAAACCGTAGACCAATCAATCTTATTATGCTGCAAGTTTTTTGTCTCGGAAGCACGCAACATTGCAACTCTTGATTCAATCGAACGAGCTGCAAGGTTGAACCCAGAAACCATAATTGTGAACAAGTTTCATGATAGAGCTTACAACAGAGCAAGGTACACCCTTGTATCGTATGTTTTGCATGACTGCACAGGAAGTGCTGTATACAGCCCTTTGCACCAAACTGTCATAGCAATGGCCGAGGCTGCATTCAGTGCCATCAATCTTGAATTGCATGAAGGGGCTCATCCACGGTTGGGCGTTGTGGATGACATTGTTTTTCATCCACTTGCTCGTGCATCACTAGATGAGGCTGCGTGGTTGGCCAAAGCAGTGTCAGCAGATATTGGCAACCGGTTCAATGGTAAGTGCATGCACCATGCAATGGAACACATTGGTGCATCAAAGCATGAATTACATCATAAAAGAATGTTTCTCCCATTAGAACAAAATGTTTGTATTAAAGGTCAATTATCTATAGTGCAAGATTATACATGAGTAATAGTTAAATGAAAATGTATTCATCATTTTTTTAAACTTTTTCTAAGTACATGTGACAAAAACTAGTCAAATTTTATTAAAAGTTGTAACAATTAATGAATTTTGTTATATTATATTTGTAAACTTAAATGTAAAATTTTGAAGAATTAACTAAAAGGAGTTTATTTTAACACTTTTATTTTATAAAATTTATTAAAATGAGTTAATTAAAAAGAATTTATAAGAAGGTTGGTAAGTCATTTCTGTATATCCAAATAAACTCTTTCAGCACCCTCTGATCATTGACAAATTAAAGGGTCATCATGGTAAATATATTTTAATTTATATTAAGAGTTTGGGAGTATACACTTTGTACTTTAGAAGAGGCAAATTTCATGATATGATAGACTCAAGTGTGATGCAGTGCAGGAGAAATTCATGATATGATATATACTGCTTTTGTTTTTATGTGAGTGCAGTGCCAGTATTTCTGTATGCTGCAGCACACCCAACAGGGAAGGAACTAGACACCATAAGGCGAGAGCTTGGATATTACCGGCCCAATTTCAGGGGCAACCAATGGGCTGGGTGGGCCATGCCTGATATCCTACCTCAAAACCCAAATGAAGGGCCCAATGTTGTTTCAAGAGCTAAAGGGATCTCAATGATTGGGGCACGCCCTTGGGTCACGCTTTACAACATACCAATCTTATCCACTGATGTGTCAGCAGCAAGAAGGATTGCAAGGAAAGTTAGTGCACGTGGTGGTGGGCTTCCTACTGTGCAAACACTTGGGCTTGTTCATGGTGAGGATTCCACTGAAATAGCCTGCATGCTTTTGGAGCCCAATCAGATTGGATCTGACAGGGTGCAATATAGGGTTGAAATGCTGGCAGCACAAGAAGGATTGGATGTAGAAAAAGGATATTTCACTGATTTTTCTCCAGAAATGATCCTACAAGAATACATGAATCTAATCTCTGCTAACAGATCATGATCATCGTTATTAAATTAATGATAAATAATCAATTAAAATCAATTTGTGAGATTTTAATTGGCTTTGCAGTTCAAAAAATAAAAAATTGTAGCTTCCTAAATGTTTTTTTTTATTAGGTCAACGTAGTTTCCTAAAGGGTTGGAGGGAATGACAAACTTAGCCCTAGTAATTTTACATATGGGTTTCATGGCTCAGCCGATCACAATGGGCATCCATCAAACCCATATTGTGAATTTCTCTAGTGATCTTGTGCCAATATAGAGGAGGGTCCAAAGCCCAAAACTATTAGTTTTATGTACATTTTTTTTTTCTTCTGAAGATTAAAAACCAACATATGTGGTAAGTGTTTTCAAATGACACGTATGGGCAGCTATAGTATATATCAACAGTATTCCCTTCTATGCTGACAAAACATATTTTATTCAATTTTTTGTTGTTAAATATGCATTGATGCTACATGTTTAGACTGTTCACTACATGAATTGAAGTTTGTACCGTCACCCATCAATGAGAGACGTCGGTTTAGGCAAGAACTTCAATAAAAAGTACTTTAGATGTGCAAGTGCAAGTCACCTGTAGACAATGACTCCACCAAAAATTTGTATAAAGATAAAATTTAGAGAATCATAAATATTTTAATTATTATTTTTCAATTAAAGTAAAATTTTACTTTAATAATATATGATAATCTTTATTAATAATTTTTATTACATAAATTATCATTGATTTTAATAAAAAAATTCATAACACACCACTTAGTTTTTTTCCTTACATATACATAACGATAAGGTTAATAATATAACAGAAAGAAGATTCAAGAGTTGTATGTCAAATCGTAATAACTTATTTAACTGACCTTCACTATCTCTACAGTATACAACGTAGAAAAATGTGTTTTAATATTTGTGTGTTAGAGGAGAGAGAATCACGGCAATGATATGCGGATATGAAGAGAATAATTGTCAGGTTGGATTTGACGGTGAACTCAAGGCCTATGCAGGATATGGTGACGAAATTAATGTGATCAGCATTGAGCGTAATCAACTTCAAACAATGCAAAAGTAAAAAGCTTATTCACAGGCACAGCCAAAGCATTGGGGTGTGTGCACCCATTTGTGGGATGGGTATGGCAAGACCCTTCCATTGCTTTGCATTTCCATCATCATTTTGGCCCTTTTTTTACCCTTCACTACACTACCCCATTTCATCTTGAGAATCATCATCTCCTCCCATTGCATGCAACTGATGTAAGTTACTTGGTGCCGCTGGCATGCAGCACCTGAATGAAAGGAAAATCTGATGTGGAGATAAAAAAGAAAGGAAGAATGGAGGGATAAAAATGTTGTATATATATGAACATTATTGTTGCTACGTTAAATGGGTTTACCACAGTTGGATAATTTTTTTATATTGTTAACTGCACAATTTGGATTCCATTCTGAGAGGTTTACATATCTTAAAATGAAGGAAAAAAAAAGGTTTTTCTTTTTCTTTAATAATTAATAATAAAAAGAAGTGTAGTCACGGTATAGAACTACTGAGCTTAGTTAAGAAAAGCAGCAAAATCTTGTCACAACTTTTTTTCAAAATAAATTTTTTTAATAAGTATAACGTTGTACGAAATGAAAAGTTATATGTAAATTTTTTAATAAAAACTACAAATTTAATATAATTAAATGCATTAGTATTACTGAATACTTACTTTTTATAATAAAAAGTTTATTATATATATTTTTTATGTTGTGTAATATTGTAAATATTAAAAAATTGTTTTTAAACTACTGCTATTTAAGTTGTCACTTTGGTAGTTGTTAGTTGAGGTAGGTGTCGATCGAGGTTGGCGTGTAAGCAGACTACTGGTGACAGTTTATTAAGCTGAATTCCCCTCTCAATTGGCTAATGCTGGTGTTATAGCACTGTTATTCGAACATCAACTTTGTTATATATTTTTTAAAATAGGTATTAAATATTAAATAAAAAATATATTTAATATCTTAAAAATACAAAATATATGTAATATTTATTATTTAATAATTAAAAAATTTAAAAAATAAATTAAAATTTTAAATTTAATCTTTAAATAATTTTCTTAAACATATATATATATATATATATATTATTTATTTCACATCAAAACTTAAAATGGGAGGAACAACATATGGTCACGATGAGGATGTTAGAAGAACATTTCCAAATGTTGCTGGCATGACAAATTTCTCATTGGATTCGGTGGAAGTGGGGAAAATTATCAATTAAAGTCCCAACAAGTCAAATATTAGGTTAGAGGTACCAAACAATTTGTGTTATTCAGAAAGGACTAATGAAATGCCAAAAACTAACCGCAGGTACCCATGCAAATGGATTCAAATCGGTATTATTATAAAGCTGGAGGATCCAAGGTGATCAATCAATTCGATCATGGGGACATGTTGAAATCCTCTAGCTATTAAACTCAGGCCAGGATTATGAGCCACTGCTAATGGCCAATGGAAACTCACAACATGTGATCATGTGTCAAAAGTACCACCGTAGGCACACTCATTCAAGGGCCTAACAATGTTTGATTATGAAAGTGGAAAAGTGTGTCATCATTCATAATTAGTACTTTATTGTTAAAAAATACCCAAGAATAATAAACATGCAAAAAGTTACAAACATTATCTTGGCGATTTTATATTGATGAAAAGAGTGTTGCACTTATTGGAATAGTGATTGGGTTTGTGCATAATTGTTTAAAGGCAAGAGGGCACTTGTGCTTGGTGGCTTAATCAACATGGTCACGATAGCATGCCACCGTAAAAAAAAAAAAAAAAAAAAAAAAGCCCTATTTTGACATTTCTGATCTCACTGTTGCCTAGTCACTTACCATACCATAAAAAATAAAAAAGACTAGACAATAGAATCAGTACATATCCTCCGCCTTTTGGCAATATCATGATGGGACTATAGCAGCTTGATTCACATACACAAGTGCATGTGTCCTACCTTCCTAGTCTGGTGGCCCCCCAATGAAAATTATGACATTATGTAGTTGTTGAAAACTAAAGTGCTACACTAATATTCACTGCCAAGTCCCTTTTTTATGGTAAATGTCCTTGCAATCTTAAATCTCGAATACTCCTCAGTTGAGACAAAAAATGCTGCATTGTGAAATCAGTACTGGACATCATGACAATATTAGAATTCTTAATCAACCGCTGCTCTCAATGCTAAATGTGCTCCTAAACAAAATAGCTCATTGTTTGTCTACAATTTCGGTTGCAGAACATACATAATGGATTCCTGAGTTGCCGCATCAATGTTATGGTCGTTGCCGGCTATCTGCGATTAATTGTTTTCTTGGTACCTAAATTTGATGACATGATTTATATATTGGCGTGGGGTAACTATCATGGTATACATTTCTTCATAAGAGATAATAATGGGCGAGAAAGGGAGCGAAAACTTTTGTTATTTAACCCTCACAAAAGGGTGTTCGCACACATAAAGCTACCACTATATGAAATGGCAACTAATTAAAACAATTTCAGTGCTTAAAAAGCATTACTTTTGACAGTTTCGCAAAGCATCTATCAATATATTTCTTTTCCTTCCTTTTTCTTGGGAAGATTCTCGTGTATCTGATTAAGTGCAATGTATATTCTTTTGATAGACTAGACATTTGTTTGCTACAAGTTATGTGATAGTTTTTTGAAATATTAAGCATTATTTGCGCCATAGGTGAAGACTTTACCAATTTTATCTCAACTAAAAAATAATAGAAGCATTAGTGTTGTGCTTATAAGCTTATCAAAGAAGAAAAATAAAGTGCTTGTGTTTAACAGTTTGACCAGTTCTGTTCATCCACCTGTTTTTCTTTTAGTGTGGGGTAGAATTAATTCCTCTAAACCTCCTTAACATTTTTAACACTATAACCACGATCAACGTTGTGACGAGAGCAAACAATCATTATCAAAACAAAATGGGAGTAATTATGATTGCTTTGAAGTTTATTTAAGATGGAGAATACGGCACCGTGTTGAAGACTTTCATGGTTCATGCCCCCTTTCTTGGTAAACACCATCACTAACAATAATGAGAGACTTTGGATTCTGAATGTACACAAAGTATCTTGAAATTTGAAACATATATATCTGATTACCACCGTAAACGTAAAGATTACCACCAAATTAGTCCACATCATAAACACCGTTTTAAGTTCATTTTCAACTCCTTAATGAATGGGCTTATGGCATAAGGTGTACACAATTAATGTATCTTTCAATTCACCTTGAAAATCTTCTAAACATAGATCTAGTATAAATATTATAATTAGAAAATTTAAAATAAACATAAATTCAATTACATAGATATTTAAATGTAAATTCAAACATACTAACAATACTTTACATGAATCACGTATTGAAAACCTTTTTTCTGTGGTAAAGAACTGAATTCTTTTCTTTTTTTTCCTGAAAAAAGCTTGATTTAGTTCCTTGTTTAAATGCAAGATCAACAAATTAGTACTCTCTTCCCAAAAACAGTGGGACGGTGCAACTTCCTAAAAAGTAAAAATAAAATAAAATTAGAACAACAAATATCGAAAACCTCGACCCCTCCCATCAGAGGGACTTCCTATACACAAAAGCCCTCACCCCAAAGCAATCTCTCTCTCTCTCTCTCTCTCTCTCTCTACTGTCATATCATGCAACTAGCACCTTAAGCCTTCAACCCCTTCTTATCATCCATCACAACATTTGTTTTGCTCCGCCAGCTCATTCATTCAACCCCATCATCTCTCTCTCTTAATATTTCAACGTTTCTATGCCAGATCTCTCGGAGTAATCCTTGGGACAGAAAAAAGCGTGCTTTGTTTGGGTCTCTTTTCTGATCTTCAGGATTGGTTTTTTTTTTTTTTCCATCTGGGTGTCTCTATCTCGTACCAAAACTTCATCTTTTGTACTTTCTGTTTTTGGATTTTCGCCGCGTATCTCGCTATACCCTTTACACTATCTTCCTTCCATACGTACCCCTCTTGAGAAAAACAGAGTCTTTTTGGGAGAGAATGGTGAACGGGTTGGAGAGAGAGGGTGCGTTTGCAATGTTCAGTGATGATGAGCTAAGAGAGTTCAGTGGGGTGAAGCGAGTTGGAGATTATGTTGAGGTAACGTGTGGGTGCACTAGCCGTAGATTTGGTGATGCTGTTGGAAGGCTTAGGGTTTTTGTTAATGGATGCCTTGAAATCACTTGTGACTGCACCCCTGGTTGTGAAGAAGGTCTCTCTCTCTCTCTCTCTATCTATCTAAATGGTGTTTTCACTTTTCATACATGTGCATGTTGATTTCCTATGAGTGGTGGCTTACTTTTGAGTCCTTTCACATTGTTTGGTGTCATTGTAGGTTTGTTTTTATATGCTTTGAGTTGAGGCTTTTCAGAATGGTGGCTGTTACGCAAGTCATTTTTTTCCTTGTTGGTTAGGCAGTTGAAGTGTGTGTGGACTTGTCCTAATGAACACGCTGATTTGATGTTTCTAAACTAAGCGAAAATCTTGTTGTGAATATGTAGAGAGTTCTTAGTAAGCATGGAGCTTTGGAAGTTTAAACATGTCTTTTTTCTCAAAAACCAGAAATTCCAAGTTGGTGTTATATTGAATGAAATATAGTTTAACCATTACTGTTGAGATGAGATGGTCTACTCTAACTATAGGTTTCTTAGAAGTCATTGAAATCTGTTGGCAGAGTAGGCTATTGTAAGTGTGGGTTTGGTAATAATGTTGTTCTCTCTTCATTGATATTTGACATCTCTCTACTTCATCTGTTTAACTAATTGAGTTATTTGTATTAGGTCATTGTAGGATATATCCCCACTCAAGAGTAGTTTTTGTGGGGGTACCTGTAAAGATCCATGCCTTCTGGAAGGGGTTAAACTTTGTATATAATTCTTAAATATATCAGCTTATACATTACCACCATAAATATGCGTTATGTATCTATTATCTACATTGTTTTGCTATAACAATGAAGTTTCAAACTTTTGTATTTAAGCGTAGAAAGACTTGTACCTCTGTAAATGTGTGATTGACTGTTATCATGTAGTAAGCAGTTACATTATTGGAATCTTGTATGCCACGTTGCAGCTTGGTGTCATAGCACAGATTGAGCATTTAAAAAAATTGCTTCAATAATTCTACAGAAAATACTGTCATAGAAAATAGATTCTGATAGTGTTATTCTAGCTTAGGATTGTGATTGAATGTTTGACAGATCAGCATACAGGGAAGAAACTGCATTGAGTGTGCATAAAAATTTTGAATTTTTTATCACTAATATGATATTTGTTGATTTCAATGGAGGAATGCTACTATTATTCTGTATAGTTTTGCTCTGCTGTAGTGCTTTCATGAAAAAAAGGAAATAATTTTTCGAAATTTAATTAATCAGAATGTTATAATTTTTTATTAGTATTCTTGTTTCTAGAATGCTTGATTTGAACCATGACCATTTTATTAGCATAATGATGTTTTAATGTTAGACAAATTGACACCTGCTGCATTTGAGAAACACTCTGGAAGGGAGACAGCCAGGAAATGGAAGAACAATGTTTGGGTAATAGTTAATGGTGAGAAGGTTCCATTGTTTAAAACAGTCCTCCTCAAATACTACAATCAAGTTTCAAAAAGTGCTAATGGATCCCAAAATGGACGTGCTTGTCACCGTGATGAGTTTGTTCGCTGTACCAAATGCAACAAAGAGCGTAGGTTCCGTCTAAGGACTAAAGAGGAATGCCGCTTTCACCATGATGCAGTGGCCGATGCAAATTGGCAATGTTCTGATCTACCATATGACAAGTATGATCAATCTCTTGCTTTACAATTCCACATTAAGCTATCAGTTAAATCATTAAGTAATGCTTAAAATGCTGGTGGTTGATTGGTAGGATTAATGCTCAGATATTTATTTCCAATCTTTACCTTGAATTACTTTTTGTTGAAACCAATTACCATTTAGTCTCTTCCCTCCTCATTAGAATATATATTATTAAAGCTAAATATAACTTTCTATTAATAATTTTAGATATTGACATAAATGGTTTATGACCACTTTCCAAGTTTGGTTACTTTTGATCCTTTTGGTTTTGTTGCTGTATGTAGCGTCTGAAGATATAGTAAGGAATCCTTGATATTCTGCAGCATATTCCTCTACACATTATAGTTGCACTCACCATCATTAAACTACATTCAACTTTCCCGAATGTGTTGGATACACCCTATACCGTTTCGAATTCTTCTTTCTTTCTCACTAAACAATATTTGGCCAAATTGAAATTCACATTTCTCACAACCTTTGTATTTTGTCCGGAATTCATATCAATATTACATAATGCCAATCAGGTGTTAAATTTTGTGTTTTGACAATGCCAGCCAGGGGATTGTATGCCTTTTGTAAAACTAAGTTTTTCTGCTTTTCATTTTTGCTGAATTGTGTTTCAATAATAGTCTGTGGTTGATAAAATAATTAAGGTATGGCAGTAAAGGTAAGAATATGTTTAATTATAATTATAATATGCCATTATGCTAATTAAGCTTGGTATTTATAGTCCTGAAAGAACCATCGCGCGAGCATTATTGTCTGCATTGTCTATGACTGTTGTAGTTAGTTATATGTGATTGCTTTAATCTATTTTTCCTTTTATAAATCAGTTTCATATGTAACATAAATAGGATTGTTGTGGATATATATTTACATAGTTGTCATGCATTTCATGGAAACATTATTAGTATTAACTGTGTTACCTTTATTTCAGAATTACATGTGATGATGAAGAAGAAAGAGCAAGTCGAAGAGTTTACAAAGGGTGCACTCGTTCTCCAACGTGCAAAGGTTGCACTTCATGTGTGTGCTTTGGGTGTGATATTTGCCGCTTTTCAGATTGCAGCTGCCAAACTTGTACTGACTTTACAAGGAATGCTAAAGATTAAGTCCAACGTTGTCGTCCCAAGTGTTTTTTTTATTTACCCATCGCTTCTAATGGACTCAATTACCAGTCCTATTTAAACATTCAATGTTCTCATTCACTGGCTTATTAATATCAATTATTAAATGTTTACTTTGTATTTTATTAACAGTTCTCACGTTGAGAAAATTAAAACTAAATATTACAAGTAGTTCACGAATTAAAGTCTCAAAAATACAAGTAATTCAGATTAAACATTGGTAATAGATATATTGTTAGTCTCTTAAGATATTCTTTAAAGATAATGAAAGATCAAATCCTTTTTAAATATATTTTGAGGAGAAAATTATAGAAAAATGACAAATTACAGTTTGCCATCTCCAAATTCAATAAATCTTTTTGGTCAATAAAATTTACCTCCAAATTCAATTCCAACCAATGGTTCATTTCCCTTGGAAATTTTATGCTTTTAGGATTCAAATGGGATTTCGTTTGGGTTGACAAAACAAAAAAAATAAAATTGTACCACTCTGAGGCCCACGGATCCTATTTCTTTGGAAGTTTTATTTATTTATTCAGTTTAAATAGTATTTTTATCTTTATAATTAGTTTATATTTTATTTCTTATATATAAAGAATTTATAAAATAATTTTTATATGTATATTTATTCTTAATTTAATCTCGATCCTTATAATTAAATTAAACAACGTTAAATAAATTTTTTACGGACATAAGCTGCAGCTACAGGGAAGAGTATCGAAAAGAGTTTTCTAATCCCAAATCTAGTAAAAAACATAAATGGATGACTTGTTGGGTAGAGTTCATTGAACTCTTGAAGATGTCTAGTAAACCTTTACGATGAACTTGCATCTTAGTTGCTTTCCCACTCCACTTGCCATTAAGTGAAGATAAATTAACACGTTGAATTTATTAATTATTTAACGTGATTTAATTTAAATGTAACAGCAGAAACTAAATAAAAAATAAATATACATTAAGATTGATGTACAATTTTTTTTATATATAAAAACTAATTTATAAATGTGAATCAAATATAAAAATAAAAATACTCTTTAAATCTTATTTATTCTCTTTATTTTTTTTTAAGTTTAAAGTTTTGTACAAGAATTATAAAAAATTATTATTCCAAAAAAGAATTAAAGATTATTTGATATTTTTTATTCATAAAGATTTATCATTTATTTGATTATACATTTTTATTTATTGAATTAATTGATATATTAATATTTTTATTTAATACATTAATTATTAAAGAAAGACAAAAAAAAAAGTGTTCATTACTTTTATGAAATGACTGAAAAATGAATAAAAATAAAATTGTTAAAATATAAAGAAGTTCATCCCTAGTGGAAACGCTCGCTTTAACCAAGCAAGAATCTGTCGGCACCAAACTATACAATTCCAACTCTAGTAAAAAGAAATGACAATGGTAACTAAAAAATCAATAATTCATTATGATTCCAGGAATTCCTAGAAAAAGTGAAGCTTGCAGTGTGTGGCCCAACTAGATAAATAACTTCAAATTGCATTTGAGTATATGATAACTTTCATTTGGCTGGTTGCCAACCTTTCCTACACCCTCGATGAAATGATTTTCTCCCATGGTTAGCATTTGCACCTGGATTAAATTGAGGGGGAGCATGCTGATTGCTAGGAAAAGAACTATTTAGCAAATTTATAGGTGGCTGGATTTGGAAAAATGGTGAGTTCAACTCAAATGTTATTTGGTTATGATCCACAGGCCTTTGTCCATGCATGAGTTGTGCACACATATTGTTGGGCTGTACAGCAGGAAATATAGTGGCAGGAGGAAACCCGTGACTGGGACCTAACTGTTGTTGAAATGGAATTGCCGGGACAGGCAACTGATGAGAAAACTGAGCATTGTTTAGGTACCATGATACCCCATTAGCAGGAAATCCATTAGAAAGCACTGCAGAGTGTTGCAGCGGCAGAGTTGTCCCATTTGTCCAAATTCCGCTTGTAGTTAAGTTAGGACCAGCAATTACTGGAGGAAATGGGGGAACTATGTTAGTCTCCCCACAAAGGCCTTGTCGTATGCCTGAAAATGGTGAACAGTGTCCATGATCATGCAATGATGTAGCAGGTGCAACAGGGAGTAGAGGCACTGAACCATCTTTTGGTGGAACTTCAATTCCCCCCCAAAGGCCTTGTCCAATGCCAGCAAATGGTGAAAAATACCCACGATCAAGCAATGATGAAGCAGGTGCAGTAGGGAATGCAGGCACGAAACCATCTTTTGGTGGAACTTTCTTTCTGCTGTTATCCTTTTTCCCAGGATTTTGATGATGTATGCTTCTCTTTGTCATTGTTTGCATTCTCTTGTATTCAGCCTCTTTCTCATCATCTGAAAATTCTGCTTCATCGGACACTTCTTCATCATTCAACCCAGATGCATCATATCCTTTCTTGTAAAGATCCTTGTTATTCAGCACATAATTGGCAAATTCAGGAACAAAAGAGATCAAAGTTCCCGTGCGAAGCCCTTCAGGGACTTCATTTTCAGAACTATACCTCACAATGTAATAAGGATATTTTACGGGTCCAAAGATCTCATCAATTAATCCTACTGGGGTTCGGCTTTCAGTCATCCACAGAATAGAACCCTCATTAAGTGGGTCATGCTTCTCCACCGCTTCCACAATGACTCGAGCACCAAGAATCTGTAAAATGGCTTAGATGATTCAGTTGATTCCAACAGTAATAATTGGTATCCCTTCTAACATATTTCCTCATCATATTATCCAATATAGCATCAGACAAGTAGACAATGGACCACCGTGCAACCTGAAGAAACTAAACTAGCAATCAATAGAGTTTGCACTAGAATTCCTATTTTCCCTTCTTTAATCAGAGATGTGGTTTCCATTCACTTACCGACATAACAACTCCCACTGGCAGCATTTCATGGTGTGGTTCTAAGGCCACATTCACAGCAGGAACTAAAGGAAGAATCTGCAAATTTCACAATCAAAAGAAAACCCAAAAGCAAAATAAAATTACACAACATCTATTTACAAATACAGTAGCTCACATTAAGAACTTCTAATCAGTCAAATTAGTTTGAACTAGTACTGAATAAAACGCATCCTTCATCCTGCATTCATGTGTAACATACATTGCATTAACTAATAATTAGATTTTAAGAATTCCTTATGTCCTAACTTTTTTCAATCTCATAGTTAAATTGCTTCTACAGCTGCATTTGATAATTACTTTATTAAAAAATTTAAAATAAATAATGATTTATATTTCTAATGTAGCACTTCCAAATTAACATATATTTAGTTCGTAGTGGCTAATGAACAAAACGAACACCTCAAGCTCGTTCTTTGATTTATCGGGTCTTTCTGCAGCACAATTGTCGTCGTCATCGTCATCATCATCATTATCATCAGAATCTACAATCTCGCCTTCTTCAAGTACCTCATTCTCATCACTATCCCTGTTGGTTGTGGAGGTGGAACTATCGCTCTCAGACTCAGAGCTTTCGCTCTCAGCATCATCAGTTATCTCATTCTCAACCCTAACATCATCATTATTTCCTTTTTCCCCAATTTCAATTAAGTTGATTTTCTCAATTGCTTCGTCAATACTATTACAGTGTTCCGACCCGGGCCCGACAGCGATCGGGTCGGGCAAGTCTGGCACATAGTCGAAATTGATGAATGAATCGGCGAGGGCCAAATCGTTGAGTAGAAGAGGGTCTTCAACCTCACCCATTTGCACACACTGTAAAATTAGGGTTAGCAACCCTTGATTTTGAAAATAGCAGCAACACCACAATTCCCATATTTGGAGACTGTTTTGATGCTTAAACCCTTAAACCCTAACGCGCCAAAGCACTATCTCATTCAAGCGGAGAATCGCTTCGAAATTTTAATACGACGCCGTTTGCCATTATTGTTGATTATTTATTTATTTATTTTGGTCTTTCTCTATAATCAAATCGATGAAAGCTAGGCTAGCGATAATTCAAATCTTGCGGTTGGTAGTTTTTTAACTTTGGTACATACAAATATTTTTATAATGAAACACAATAATTTATAATAATTTTTAACATTCGCAAAATAAAATTAGAATGATCAACGACTCAAAACACATATGGCATTGGATAAAAATATATATCCAATAATAAGGTATATTGTACCTATTTTATTTAAAGTTGAACGGAATTCTTTTTTAATTAATAAATGTACAATAATTAATTTATTAATTATAGAATAATCAAGTCCATTTTCTCTCTAAAATCAATTCCAGATCCTGACAAGGAGTTCCTTAAATGATAGAACTAGCTGTTTTTTTTAATGAAAACAATGACGACTCAAATATTTGTATTAAATGATTTATATTTATTCTTTATTAGTAAAGCTAAATAAAATTTTCTATAATAATATAAAATTAAAATGAGGTTGTGAAGATTTTATGTAATAAATTGATGAAAGGATATATTTTATTTTATTTTAAAAATAGAAAACTTTAATTAATTGAAAAAAAAAGACTATAAATTAAATGAAAATTTTATGTGATCAGTTGTAATATATAAAACATTAAAGAAGTGTCGTTTGGTTCTCTAAAAATTAAGACATTAAAGTATGCGAAAAAAAAATTATTTCATATTTTTGAAATATTAGTATGATCACAAAAGTTTGAAAATAATAAATTTTTATGGATCAATATAATAACAAAAATTTCAGAAATTGATGAGGCGATAAATGAACTGTTGAGTTAGGCCCATCGCAGGTCTATAACAAGGCCCGCTCCCATGTTTTGGTACAGGCATACAGCTATCCTTATCCTGAATTACTGACTATATGATAATATAAATTAATTAAATGTGTACATTTTGTTCGATATAATTTTTATCAATGTGTGATAAACTAATGGTCGAGTTAGGTCGGGTAATTTGATTGATTTTATTATATTTTTAGCATTTATTTCATCTTAGTTTTTAAATATAAATTTATCTTATAAAAAGTTTAAGATATGTTATATAAAACAATGTTTTTATTCAATCTAAATAAAGTATGTTATCTTCAAATTACCAGCTTTTAGGATAATTCGAATAATTTTTTTCATAATTAATCTAAGTACGCTCAATGAGCATCTGGAAGTGCATAAAGAGGAAATACAATTGAAGCTCAATGGTAGCTTTAATTATACTATGTTTGTACATTATTATAACTTGGTAAGTTATCTTATCATAACATCATGAATTCAAACCAAAAACACTTTGAAACATTAACTAGCTCTTCTGCATTTCCATGTCCACCCACCATCTAAGCTATGGCAATGGTGGACCTGTGTGGTAAGAGGTACACTATCTCATGGCATGGTTGTCATGCTATCTACATGCTCTTTTATGCATGTTGCATTTAAAGTTTAAACTCTTATCCACATGGCTGAAGCTGTACACTCTTCTAGCGTGGTCAAGGGAACAAAATTAGGAAACTAGTGGCTTGGAAGTCAACTTTCCAGCTAATAAACTCACTTCCCAGTCCTACATAGAATGATAGATAGCGGATCATTTGTTTAATTCATGTGAATCAAGTCAACTTTGTCAATTGTGAAATGAATGAATAAACCATGTGCATGTTATAAAGTATTTATTATTTTTTGATATTCTGTTCACTATGATTAGTAGATTCAACTTGAGTAAATTAAGTAATAAAGTTTTATCAAATACCTTATAATACGTAGAATAATTATCACAATTAATTTTATATTAATATATAATATAGTTAATTGTTTTTAATATAAATACCTTTTAACTTTTAAATTATTAAAAAAATTACAACTGTTGATTTAAAAATATATATAATGTTTTCTTGAATATTATAGCAAGTATCTAATTAATATGTAAGTATATATAATAAATTTTTAATAAGAAATAGTAGAAAAATTTGCTAAAATATTACTATTTTAGTGCACTTAAAACGGAAAAACAAAACCAATTAAGATTTTTTATTTACCAAACTAAGATACAAATGGGTGTTTATTAAAAAAATTGTACAATCATTTAACATTAATTTGTACATGTCAACTTACATAAAAAAAAATTAAATAAAAAAATTAGAAAATAGTTAACATAAATAAATTAATTATAAATTATAAAAAATTTATTATTTGACTTCTTTAGTTTATCTGTCTTTTAGTCCTATAATCGTCTATTAGAAAGTTCATTCACTCTGTCTCGTAAACAAGTTTGACATGTACATATCCCGATGACGTTAGACGAAATGAAGAAACATAACCTTGCATTAAACAGGCAGTGGCGGGAGACAAATGTTGAAGAACAAAAACTATGTATAGTTTTTTAAATATTATATTGATGCTGTTTGATAATTAAAATAAGCAGTTTACTTCAATAATAATAACATCTTAATTAAAAATAATATACACATTTTACCTAAATTTAAAACAAATATACTTTTAACTGCTGAATGACCCCTTTCTACTTTTAACATACCGATATTTGTAATACATTATTCTTTTTATTATTATTATTATTGCTTTCATTATTATAATCACCGTATCGTTTTTTTTTTTTTATCTCTAGATTTTAAATAAGAGTTAAAACTGTACCTTTTATGAAAGCTTTGCACATAAAATAAATAAATTTACAAAATTGAGATAATGGAAGCATTACTTAAGAACAAAAATCAATATTACACGATGACATAGACTTTTCACTAACTCCAGAGTGTTTGCATTTACACATTGAAGCAGTGGAATGCAATAATAACCAGATTAGTACATGTCATTAAAATTTTAAATTTGCTCTTACAACACAACGAAACCCGTTATATTGAATTTTAAATTTTTTAAATAAATCTTATAATATTTTTTTTTGTAATTATAAAATTTATACGTTGTTAGTTAAATTAATTTTTATTTATTTATGATGTGCTTTAAATTTTTTTATATGTTATTTTTTATTAATATAGATGGAAAAGATACCGGCACCCCTTCAATTTGTGAGGAATCAAAGTAAATACTCATTTTAAATATTAAAGGTTGAAATATATTTTAAAATGTTAAGAATAAAATGACATATAACCCATGTTTTAAGATACTAATTTATATTTTTTTTGCCGAGAAAAAATAACAAAAAAAAAAAAGAATAAGATACTAAAATCTAGAAGTGTCTATATTCAAAGGAATCAAGAATATAGTTATTTATTGTAATTTGGTTATATAATTAATGTACGTTAGTTTTAATTTATTTAAAAAAAGAAATCAATTGAAATATAATAACGGTGTAAAAGTGTTTTATATTATCGTTAAATTATAAATTATTGCACCAGTTATAATTGTTAGTTTTTGAAATAATTAATTTAAAAAGTATATTTAGTATGTATTTAAATTAGTCAAGACTAAATATTTTTAGGTTAACAATGCCTGAAAATTAGCTTCTTTAAAAAACAGGCATTTAAAAGTTATCTCAAAAAATAATTTAACTGTGTTCTTATAACACTTTTACGCTAAAAGAAAAAAAAATATAGAAAATAACTGAGTTATATGTATTATTAAAATTTTGTTAACGAATGTCCTAAGAATACTCTTTAAGAAATTAACAAATAATAGGAATAAATTGATAAAAACGTTAAATATTATATTTTTTATTTTTTATTTTTTTATTTCCTTAACAAATTTAAACTTTATTTATATATAATATATTTTTATGAATCAAATCCGAATCTTTGATCTTAAAGAAAAATATTTTTAAAAGTTAATTTTTTTATTCATCAAGTGATGTAATTTTTACAATATTGAATTTTTTTTTCTATAATTTGATTTCAATTTAAATTTTTATAAATTTTAATTTGCACAATTTTATTTTAAATAATAATACTATATGTTTTTAATATTCTATTTAGAAGATATTTTAAGTTAATATTACATGTGTCTTAATACTCAAATTTTAAGAATTAAGTGAACACAAGTGCAACTATATATGTCGGAAAGCTGCAATGCAATAATATGATTCCTATGTTGATAATTTTTATACGTAAATTAAGTCAATAAATATATAATATATTATCATCTATGAAAGTGTTGCTTAAATTTGTGTTAAATAGCTATTTTATGTTAAATTCAATATTATCAAAATTATTTATTAACTTAATATGCATTGCTTTATCTATACATTTTATTTTGATCATAAAAGGAATATATTTTTAATCTATAATTTCATTTCTTAAACAACTGTTATATTTTACAGATAATAAGAATTCATTTTAAACAACAATATTTGCAAATTTTATTAATTTCACTCTTTAAAATTAAATTAAAATAGTAAAAAATTATTTTAAAAATATATTTATTGTATTATAATTATAAAAATATAATAAATATTTTTAAAAAATTATTATTATTATTAGTTACTTAAATTTAATAGTTAACTTTAAAAATTAAAATTAATATTTTTTAATTATTTAACACTAACACAGAGAAAATGAAAGTTAACATTTTGTTGTTATTATTATAAGTTCAAGTTGGAGGCTTCTCTTTTCTCACTGTTCTGCATTAAATTCAGCTTCATATCTATCCATTAAATGAGAGTCAGGCACAGTTGCATGCCTTAAAGATGGACCATGTGAACACAGCCATTAACAACAGTAACTCCGCTGTATTCTACCCTTTATTCCACAGATTTTTCACTCGCGCCAAGCAACACTTTCTTAATTTTTACTCATACATGAACGTCACAATCTTCATATTATTTTATAATATTTCGTTTTAAAGTAAAGAAGAAAATTATAATGTTAATATCCTCGTCTTATATGTAAAATGTAAACACACAGTTCATCAGAGTAAAAAAATAATAATTATGTTATAGATCATAATGATACACATATATAAAACAAAACTGAAAAATAGATTAAAAAAGTGTAAACAACATTAACTTTTAGTAGTAAACCGTGTGCCAAATTGGCGTGCTAGTTGTAATAAGCTGCAATATACATTATCTATTTGAGTTTAGCTTTAATGAGGATCATTTATTTATTTTATATATTTATTTTATGTCCATTTTCTCTCTTTCTATTATTTTCATCAAATTATTTAGCTCTCTCTCTTTATTTTGCTCATTCACACTTTCCGTAGGTTGTGTCATAACTCTAACGAGAAAGATCCCTCCCTAACACCACCATCATCTCCCTTATAATTAATATATAATAATTCCTTTAAACCCAGGATCATCTTAATTATAACAGCCGAGAAAAAACAAAACAAAAATCCAGAAATTGATTAACCCTTTGATTAGATGCGTATATAATTATGGAAAAATAAATTAGACATGGTCAAAGTAGTTTGTAAGAAATTGCGTATTATATATGTCTCTTGAGAAGAAGCACATAAAAGTGAAAGATGGAACAAATAATAATTATAAATTGAAGTTGGAATGAAGACATGATGATGAAGATAAAGATTCATGTGTTAGCACTATAACAAGTGGTAAGTAGGAAGCAGTGTCTAAGAGTGATAACAAACCTATATATAGATATTAATTTAGTGCTGGTAAGAACGAAGAACAGCACCACAGAAAGTGCAAACAATGGCTCTCCACGATTTCCAATAGAAAGGAACACAGCAAAACCTGGTGGCGGTCTTCACGTCGGCGACGCTGGCTCCGCCGCCGCAGCGGGAACAAATCCCGGCGGCGGGCTTGCTCCGCTGCACCTCCCTCCTTTGGTCCACCAGAAAACAGAAGCATACCATGTTGTTGGATGCAGCGTCGTTTTGATGGTGCAGCTGTGAAATGAAGTGAGTGGTATTATAAGGAAGCTAGCTGTGTATTTTTGCGTACCACAAGTGATGGTTAAAGTTCGATCATCTTTGGGGGTGGGGTTTGGATCTGTGAGCGTTACCACTGAATAATTGCTCGATGTTTAGTGAAGCACAGTGTTTAGGAACCCGTAAATGTCAGAAGAGGCGTTGTAATAAATAAATGAAAAGGTTCATTGCTCGCTGGGTGGGACCTGTTTCATATGTTGGTGGCAGTTGGTAGGTCCTTTTGATTTTTTGCTTCCTGCCAATTCCCAATTTGCCTTTCACTCTGAATTGGTTATTTAAATTTGTTTCATATCAAATTGAAATTATTTTTAAATTAGTACACATTAGAAAAAACTTGAATTTGTTTATTATTTTGATATGGTGATTATTTTATTTACATATTTATTATTATTAGGGACCTACAGGGCTAAAGAGGGGAAAAAAAGTTCCCGGCGTAAAAACTGGAGACAGCAATGAAGAGACACCTACAGCATTCCTCGTAGAAATGACCAACAAAAATATTATAAAATAGGACACAATATAATCATTGCAATGGTGAAACTGATAATAGCAGACAACGCAATGTATTTATATCGTTTTTATTTTGTTTTTCATTCTATTTACCACTAAGGTTTGTTTTTTAAAATTTTGTGGATATTTTATCAACCAACGGCCAGCAAACTTTTGAAAATGATGATAGCAGTCAACACTCTTCTTTCGTTCCTCATTAACACACCACCACATGTGTAAATTCGGGTCCTACTAATAAAACTCCCATGATATTGGTTAAAAATTAACAAATAATTTTTTATTAAAATTATATTAATAACATTATAAAAATTATAAAGAGTATGTTATTATATTTTTTAACTTTTTAATCACTTTCATAATTAATAAATATATTTTTATTAAAAATTAAATTAAGATAAAAAATATTACTATCTTCAGCAATCTTACTTAACTCGATTTAGACTAGTTAAATATTTAACATAATATCAGACTACTGGTGGTTATAGAAAAAAATAAACCTATTAATGTCACAAAGAGAATCGGAATTCATATTATGAAACAATAGTTAAAAAACCTAATACCAAAGGTTTTTATTTCGTGATACCAAAGGTTAATATCAAAGAAACAAGAATATACTAACAACACATAATTTTAAATGCACTGTTTTAGAACGATATTTTATTAGTTTATAATTATCATATTTACTTTTAAAATGATATATTTACGAAACAGTTCAATTATTTTTTTAATAAATAAATTAATAATAAAAAACTTATTAACATGTGTGTTTAAAATAACATGTTGCTATTATTGTTATTGAAAAATGTCCAATTATACATACACGCGCGAGTTTCATCATGTGTATTTAAAAAACCTGTCACGCAGGTTGCAGATTACAGTTAATTCAATTTCCTCTTCCTATTTATTTATTTATTTATTTTTAATAACATTTCATTTTCGATGACCCGACCTATGATTGAGCCTTCACAATTGATCCCGTTGCCGGAAACTTCAATTTATTTACTAATTGTTTAAATGGAAAGAAGAATAATTAACCGCCAAACTTGTTACGATAATTAAAGTAATAACAACAATAGTGTAAAGTAACGAGTATTTTGGAGTTTTAACATATTGCAAATAAAAATAAGACAAAATTTAAACGAGGTATAATGTGTATTGTTAGTAATAATGCTTAATTAAAATTGAAATCTCATCTTAGTAACGTGTGTCATTTTTTAACATTGAAATGTTAGTTTTAAATGAAGAATAATACCATAGAACTTTCTTAATAATATGTTGTACAATTGCTATAGAACATTGCTATCTCACAATGCATATCCATGAATAAAATACCCATGTTCTAAAAGAATTTACAAGCCAAACTGTTTTTATAATAAAGATAAAAAAATTTATTTTTAAGAACCATATTTGCTAATATAAAATATTTTAAAAGGGGTATCTCAACTATGTATGCACAACTAGAGTTTCTATCTTAACCGTCTAGTTAGACTCATTTCCTAGGCCATACCCAGAGAATAAAACATCCAAACCATTAAAGGGGCAAAAGGAAGTGGCAACAGGAAACCAATATTTTGGGTGCCAATGCCACTATGCATAATTGATGGCCGTGTCATAGAGCTGCCATCATGGCCCTTCTCGTGGCCTGACGCTTCATCTCCGCAGCCTTCCCACTGCCGCGGAAGTACATGTATACTTGCTGCAAATACGAATCAACCATCAGACAAGAAAGCAGCAGTAGAGTCGAGAAAATATATACTGCAATGACTACTAAAAACCTGAATAACCCAGATGCTCAGCAGTGACTCCACGCAGAAAAATCCAAACCCAATAAAGTACAATATCTGTAATAATTCAGCAACAGTATTAGTATCATTTAAACATGCAATCATGCAATAAGTATAATATAATACATAATACACATATACCCCTTCCCTTTGGGACAGAATCATATCCAACAATTGCATGATCTAGAAGCGAAAAAACAATGACAGAAGTAGTACATACCCCAACTATTGCATTGTCGTCCAATATCTCAAACGCAGGCAGAAAACCTCTGTCCAAAACATATAATCGTACAACACAACCATTAATTCGCTTAAAAGTGCAACCACAATGAAAAAGGGAAAGCAATGTCATAATATAACTGATCCAAGTTATATGGTGATGAATACTTGAACATGCCTTCAACCAACACAACGACAATTAAAATAAAAATATTATGAGATAATCGTTAAATGCAGTAGGGACAGAATCACGCGGGGTAAGTTGCCACCAAAAAGATACCCCCTCGGTTAAATTGTTAAATAGTTTAGGTACAAAATCCAGAACAGAATCAGTTAGCTCGACGATAAATCACATAGTCAGAGGTAAAGAAGAAAGCAAAGGCGATTCGTGAATGTGTGGCTAGCAGAATGGGAGCAACATATTCCTAAAGTTCTCATCATCTCTACCATATTAAAATAGCGATTAAAGAAGAACGTCGGGTCGCAGATTAAATAAATTAAAGGGATGCTCGTATAAAAAGAACTCACGCGAGAGATTTTCCTTTGAAGATAAGTGGAGGAGCAATTGCAGCATAAACGCAAAAGAGAACGTGCACCTGGTTGGAAAAAATAGGAAAAAAAATAAGAGCATTTAACAAAATTAGCGCAGAAAGAACGAGTAGAAGTAGAAATTATTAAAACTTACCGAGTAACTCAAGAAAAACCAGCCAAACTTTAGAGCACTATCCGTCCTGTAACAGGAGATGATACAGAAACATTTTAATTCGGAATGATAAATCAGAAAGAAAAAAAAATGAAGGATCCTGAATTTCTGATGATAAAATGGCGCCTGTTCACTATATTAATGCAATGATAAAGCCAAGCTAGATTACTTCAATAAATTTTTATAGCTTAGAAAAATGCTGAAGTCCTGTTGCATATCCGTACCGTAATAGAAAAATTGAATTCAATCAAATTGAAAACTACCTTGTAGCACGATAAAGAGGGCGATACCACATCACATAGGCTCCTGGAACACCGGAAATAAAGTATATGATAGAAAGAAACCAGATTGACAGACCTACAAGGTAAGACAAGTTCGTGTAAACAACAGCATGGCTCGCAATATTTCATGGTCCAATATTTAGTAGTAAAACAAACCTTCTCCTTTGAGCCAAGCGACAGTAACTGCCACTATGTTCCATAAAAGACATAAAATCAAACCTGCAGATTGTTACAATGTTCAAAATTAAAACACGTACAATAACTAAAGTAAGTTATATGCTGATAAAAGGATATTTATTTGAAAATTTTCTACAGAATAATATAAATTTTGGACTTTAACGTACCCAACCATGTTGTAAATGCAACATATTGGATCGTTCGAAGATGTATAGGTATTTCATTTGCAATGTCATGATGAATGATGGGGAAAAAAGGTGGCCAATTTTTTTCCTCTATGACGATTCCAGCTGAAAAAATAAAAAAATGTAAACCACCAAGCTGAAGGCATTATTCCCGTAAGCTCTGTAAGTGTATCTGAACTCAATACCTCGTGCTATAGCATCTTCCCTTCGTTTTAGCTCCTACAAAACATCCTGAGATTATCAATTACCTGACTAACACAAAAGATCTAAATAGCCAGGTAACTTCATAAGATGGTCAAAGTGAACTGATTTGGCAATTATACAACTGCTTATTAAGGTGAAAAAAACAAGACCTGGACTGAAGTATTATTTCGGGCGTACTAACAATAATTTCTTGTAAAGAAAAGTGACCGTGTATCAAAGAAATAACAGAAGCCACTCTTGTTACCAATTAAGACCCTGTTACTTATCAACTTAAACTGATAAAATCATTATTAATTATTCTAACCAATGTAAATAATAGCTTAAAACATTGAATCTAACAAACCAAGTCACTAAATAAAGGTAAATTGAATTTCAAAGCTATCAAACAATAGATCAGGAAGAATAACCTGTTCCCTTCTTTTTAATTCAGCCTCTCTAGCTTGAAGCTCCTTCTCCTTTGCTTTGAAATCCTAAAAATTGAGATAATTAAGTATTTGATCAGCAACACTAATACAGCACGGATTTGAGATTTATTTCAAGATTTTCATAATCTGGTCAACCTTTGGGGTATCAAGAGGAATGTCAACAGTTGCCCCTCGATCATAAGGCTCAGGAGGCAGGGGTGACAGCTTTGAGGAAACACTTCCTGGGTTCTGAAAAAAAACAAAGGTAATGAATGAACAACGCTGTATAACCACCATCACCATCCCCCCAAAAAAGCGAAAAGATAAAAACAAGGCAATATCATTTGTTTTCTTTTGTATGTCTAGTTAGCTTTTTAAGGAAAAGCGCATCAAAGAGATGCAAACCATGTAGAAAGGAAGAAAAAAACAACGTATTAAACCATTGGCTGTTAATTGATAAAATCACAAAAAGCAAAAACAACTCTAATGGCCCCATGCAACCTCCCCTCCTGAATTAGTCCATTAACAGTTTCATTTCATCTTTTTGTAGTCATGCAAGCTCCTAACCAGCAAGATCGCTTAAAGATAGTATTCCAACGAAACCAGGTAAACTTTTTTCTCAGCTCCCTTCCATGGCAACTTTGCACTGAGAAGTGAGACACCCGCTTCAAAAAAATTCTTCCCGCAGATCCTACATTCAAATAACAACTGGATGCAGAAACTGACGCAACAAGGTCCTTCAACTCCCCCATCCTTCATAATGTCTCAAATGAACCTCAAATCACATGAGGTGCCACTCACATTTTCCAGACAAATCACAAACCTATTTTATCTTCTTATTTCTCTCTTCGCTCTACCTATTTCACATTCCGTGGGTGTCAAATCATCATTTTCCTTTGACACCTAACCAAGAGAAACTTGTATTACCCTCACTTCCTCTCCACGAAATACCCTACTGTCTTTGTCCCCTAGCAGCCTCCACACTAACACATTGTGTTGCTTTCCATACATAACTTCTGCTACTGATCTCACTGAAATTACTCTGAATAGTTTATTGAGCATTACCATTAGGTTGACGGTCTTTGCCAACCACTCTCTCTCCAACAAGATGAGAAAACATTAATTCTAGATAAACCTACTACCAATTGTTTTGCACTCCTGCATGCAAACACCTATCATAATTGACCAAAACAAAATAAACGCCAACATGACAATGCCATTACTATATAAGTTACAGCCTCTAATCAGACAACTAGAACTAAGCCCTTTGTCTTGTGGAAACTGGAATAATATACCGGGGCTCTAATATTTGAATTAAATTTTTTTTTTTAAGTTCTAGATATTGAAACCAGTTAAGTAACTAAAATGTATGGCCCATGCTCAATCAAAATACAGATGCTACATATTAGAAGTTAAAGCATCCACACCATCAGTACTTCGTTGGTCTGTCAAAATATGATTAAATAAAGTGTTGTAACACAGTAAGCTAATATAATGGTAGTAGTGACATGGATGGAAGAGCTTACGGTAGTATAGAATGCACCGCCACCATAATTTGATTGCTCTAATGCTTTCCCTCTAACAGATCCATCCTAATATTATTAATAAAAATGCGCAAATTTTTAGATGTTAAAATAGCAATAAAAAATAACAAAGCAAGATCAAAAAAGAAGTTAAATAAATCAACGCTTTAGAATAATGATTGTCAAAGATAAGTCAACGATTAAAATAACTATTTTAAAAGAGGAAAACTTAGCAATACATTCTTTGACACTTTCTTTTCAACACTCGCGTTACTATATATATGAAATCTCACCGAGAAATCGTGAACTTCTTTCTCTCAAATGCCAAATTTATTTTAATGCCATTAATTTGAAGGACCTTTTCCACAAAAAAAAAAGCTATTCATAAATCCTGAGCCTTGCAATCCAACTTTTTTAATACAAAAATGAAAATAAAATCTGAAATCTACAAGAGAACAGATAAACAACTAAAAATCAATTAAACCTCATTAGGGCGGTTAAGATTTTAAATTGACCGCCACTGAGATGTTGCCATGCCATGACATCTACAGAGAACGAATGAATCGCAGAATCATTTCATGAGAAACATTTGTTTTCAAATTTCCAGTTCTAAGATCTTATACCTGAACATAGTTTACGTGCATATTTAGAAACATGTTAAAAAAGCTATAAACGTGAATTCAAGGCAAAAACTACGACCAATAGTATTGAAGTAAACATGAATCCATGGTTATTCAAAGGTGAATACAGACATGCACTATAATATCAAACAAGGCTCCAACAATTATATAATATGAAATAACACTCCGGAGCTACACGACGAATTTCATTCAATTCATGAATGATGCGCAAAAACGGATCAGATGGTTCGAACGGATATTGTAACACGTGATTGGAGAGAATGTAAAAGGAAAAGGAGAAAATATGAATGCGTTAAGGAAATAAAGAGTTATATGTAGGAAACTTACGGCGAAGGGATTAACCTCTTCTTTGGCGAAGGGATTTGTGTCGAAGTTAGTCATGCCAAATACGGAGATCTAGATTGTGATTGTGGAGAGTGAGAAAGATATGTAAATTGAAATTAAGAAGAAAAAAATATGGACACGAGAAATGAGAATGGCATCGAAAAATAAGGGAAGATATTTGTTATGCTGATTGTTCGTAGAGAGGGGACTCAGAATGAACGGCTTCTCTTTGCTTTGTTTGTTAAGACCAAAGGGAAAACAAATTACAAAACTGAAGAGGAACGGAGAGAAAGTAGTTCGCGCGTTATCATTATCAACACAATGCAATACAAAAAGACCAAAGGAGTCGGCGAAAACATTCATGCATCGTTCTATCTTACAACAACCAGTGTCCGTTCATGCAGTTTTTTTATTATTCTTATTATTGCATATTAGCTTACGATATAATAATTTTATGACTTTAATTTATATATATCTGTCTGACAAATTTTTACACTATCAACTCATTATTATGAATAAAAATTTAGGTCAGATCCATTGCATAAAACAAATATCTTAATTTAATGGATCTTATATAATTTTTTTATTAATAATAAAAAATGGTAGAAAATAAATATATTTATATTTTGACAGCATCAAACCTACATTAGGTTTATACAGCAAATTGCTATTTCTCAATAACATACATTGGAACTCGTATAGTGCCATTTTTTTACATATACACAGACATTAATTAGGACTCAAATATCATTTTTTTTTTATAAAGTGTCTATTATAAGAAACAATGTCAATGTATAATTTTAGGAAATTGTTAAGAACTGATTGAATAATTAGAAGTTAAAAATTTATTAAAAAAGTATAAATATTACCAATGTACATCATTTGATTAGGAGTGCTGATTGAAATGGATAAATCCGGTGAATGGAATCAAATTAATTTTTTCCTTTGTAGTATAATCATTTCTAACTCGATCCAAATCAATGAAATCTAATCTATATCTAAATTTTATTTAAACCAAATTTTTATATTTTTATCAAAATGTTTATTTTTATTGAACATTATAAAAAATAATTTAAGACATGCTTCCGTGCAGCCAAATTTGCTTTGAGGTGAAATATAGAATTGAGTTCCAATCAAACCCCAACACAAACAAAATGACGATTGGCGTTTTCCACTAAACGGAAAAACAATATTAAATTACAATGCTTGAATGTGAATTGTACAAGGATTGTCAAAATTTCATCCTCAAGGATGAACATGAAATCACGAGCATGCACAACGAAACTATATTTCCTTATAAACAATAGAGAAGCAATCATCAAACAAATGGGTTTAACTACCAGGGCATGGTTTAACGATCCATGAAAATGATCACATGCAAAATTATAAAATGATCCTGGCATGTGCATGTTGGATGGGTTAGAACTTTGCAGATGAGAGCATCTAAATTGGGCCATCCTTGGATGACATGCATATCTCAACTAACTGAGATTCAGCAAGCAGCATGCAATTCTTTGCACATCTAGTCATGTTCAAATATCACTACCATTTTCATTACTCATTTGAACCATTTTGCTGAGATTCCCTCCTTATCATATTTAATAAGTACAAGACAACCTCTGACATTGCTGGCCTAAATTCTGGCTCTGTCTGCAATAGATACATGAAAGGCCAAGAAATCACTTCCATAGTACAGAGATTAGTAAGAACACTCGAACTTAAGTTCAGACTGAAAAAGCCTACCTGAACACATCTAGAAATGATATCTGCAAAATTTGACAATGATTTGGCAGGGTAATCTCCATTTAGAGAAGGATCAACCATCTTTGATAATGCATCAATGTCATGAAGTTGAGGAATTGCCCATCTCACCAGAAACTGCTCCCCTCGAGGGCGCATCCTGTACAAGATGTTTGGAATACACGAATTAACTTTACCAAAAGACAGAAATAGATGCTAAAGTACTTCGGTTATAGGCTCTCACCTGTCGTAGGACTGACGGCCAGTCAAAAGTTCTAACATAACCACTCCAAAGCTGTAAACATCACTCTGGTAAGTGTAAATTCCAGACTCAAACTCTGGAGCTCCATAGCCATAAGCTGTTAGCAGTTGTCCTGAAAGCTGAATGCATGGAATGTTATACAATGAAAATTACTCTTAACTATAATTTTAATGAAATGCTATTCAGCATTAAAATAATGTAGTTGGCTAGTTGGACCTAGTTCAGATGGAACAACCACATACATGTTTTAAAAAAATTGTGCCTTTCACTGAAAGCTAAATGGGAAATAACCATAATCAAAATTGGCTACTAGAGAGATTAGTCCTCACTAAATATGTGTTTTCTTGCCCTCATAAAGCAGAAACATATTTTTTACAAGATCCAGTCACCTCTTACCTGACTTACAGAACCTTTAGTTATTAATGGAGCCAATCCACAGTCAGATACACGAACAGAAACATCATCATCAAGGAGAATGTTAGCAGACTTGAAATTTCTGTGTACAACAGGTGGTTGACATTGCTCGTGCAAGTACCTTGTCAGTGGACGACAACATTACAGTGTTAGATTCAGAATGTTCCATGTCAGAATGTTTTTCCTAAAAGTCAATACTCGATAGTTAATTAACTTACTCTAAGGCTCTAGCTGCTCCAAGAGCTATCCGAATGCGAGCATTCCAAGACAGTCTTGTTTTGAATTCTTCATATGAATGCAGTGCATCCTGCAGGGACCCATTACTGCAGTACTCATAAATCAGAAGCCTTTGACCATGCTCTGCACAGTACCCAATAAGCTCAACAATATTTGCATGCCGGATTGTGTCAATGCTGTTTACCAATTCAAGAAACTCATCATCTGTTTGGTGATCAGAAACTCTCTTGTCTAGTTTCTTCACAGCAAGTATCTAACAATTCATAGAGAGAGTAAGTTTCAAAAATTGAATCCAATCAGGGTATATATATAATTTACAAGACTGTTTGACCAAAGGATACAGAAATAGAGAAATTTGAATCAAAATGTGATTCAAACATATCAGTAGTTAAACATGTGACAAAATGAATTTTATCTATCCAGATAAAAGAACAACTAAGAGACTACATGGAAAGAAATTAAAGGGGATTGAAGTTCAGAAAAATAGATTATAAGCCTAGCAATGAAATAGACAGGACTAACACACAAGAAGCCAACGTGTCTACTCTGTTACATCAGTTCATTCTATATAAATAAATACAACTAGTAAGCAGCAATTCTACCTTTCCATTAGGAAGCTCTGCCCTATACACACTCCCCAGCATGCCTAAACCTATAAGATTGTCTTGAGAAAAGCTATTTGTATACTGCTGAAGGGATGCAATTGTGAAAGTTTTTGCAAAAGTTGGAGGAATTGGACTTTTTTTTATGTTACCCCCCCTGTGGAAAGAGGTTGGTTCGACAATCACCCTCTCAGTAGGAGGTGGTGGAGGAGGGGGAGGGGGAGGAGGAGGTGGAGAAGGCATTGAATATACATCTGATGCACTCATATCTATCTCATGATCCAACAGTTTTGGTATTGTTCCTATTCTTTGTTCATCCTTCTCTGGCTCACTTTGTGGCTTTGGAATGGCCATTGCTCTCCTTGTCTCTTCTTGATGATCCCCTTTCGGCCTCATAACAGCCCCTTTTGGTACTGTTAAGAGAGGGAAAAAAAAAATTTTAGCAAGTGAAATGGTTAAATTAATGAAATCATCACTAGGAAAAATTAGATGTTAGAAACTAAATTAAAAAAGACCAAAGGTTATATTTTGCCTTTCTCAGTTTGACTAGGTGGTTGGACTAAAGCCCCATTATCCCTATGATTGTGTCTTTCACCTGCATATGCACCAACTTGATGTTGCTTGGAAATTCTGCCAACCCGTTCTCTTCTGGCACATCTCGGGACAAAGAGAACAAGCCCCAATGCTATAATGATAAACATCAATATAGCAGAAATAGATATCCAAACCACCCTTTTGGTGGATTGTTTTGATTTCACAGAATTTGTTTCCTTTCCTGCAGTTGGTCCATCAGTCTGTTTAGTAGGTACATGTCCAGATGGTGGTGTCACAGAAACCACAGTTCCTGATGGTGGAGCTATCACTGGAGAATGAGGTGGATGGGCTGGGGCTACAGTCGAATTGCCTTCAACATTAAACGGGTTTCCATCTTTTCTGCATAATAAAAATCGCCATGAATTATTGAAGAGCCAAAATTACAAATGCATAATGCATATCACTCAAATTTCTGATGTGACAGAAATCAGCAAAGGAACAGAAAATAATAACAGGATATAAGATAGCTGCAGCAACAACAATAATAATAACAATAACACCTTAGAGTCACTGGTCCAATGTCCCAATAGTGTATATTGACCACTGGAGGCAGCATCTAATTGGTTACTTTTCAGAAATACAGTGCTAAAGAAATTATAAGAAAAGGAAAACAAAAACTGCAAAAGCACTTTAATTTTCTTCTGTCATTAATTCTTGCTTTTTGCTTAATTGCAGCACTGCACTTCTTTGTAATTAACAGGATCACAGATATCTTCCCATTTTTCTAACTCAAGAAATCATCTCATCTAATCATAATAAAGAAGAAATAATTTTAAGGATTTCACCTGAAGTTAGGGATGTTCAACAACTTTGGAGGTATTGGTCCAGCAAACTGGTTGTTCTCAACATTCCTGATCATATAGGGCAGAATAAGCACAGATATAAAAAGACATCAAATTATATATGAATTTCAATTTTCCAGAAGCTCTACAACCCATATGAACAACAATTCTCTAAACTAGTAGGTCAAAATAAATAACCAATCCCTGCATTTTCATCCGATTCAAATTTTGGTCCCCATAATTAATATTTCTGAATATTGATCACTATAGTTTTATTTATTTTTATTTTGGGGCTTGCCAATAAGGTATTTGTCTCTATTTTATGACAAATTGACCTTTATTTTCCAATTATTAACAAATATAAAATCATTGGTCACTAAGGAACCAAAATTCAAATAAGTAAAACTATAAAGACCAATATCTAAAAAAATTACTTTAGGAACCAAAATCCGAATTGGATGAATCTAGAGGAATCTTAACCAAACTAATATCATAAAAAAATTATACGAAACATGGTTACGAGAAGTACAAATCTTGCAGTGGAAGGTCTTGTAAAACACCAAGGGTCCCAGACAAGTTATTGTTCTGTAAATGTCTGCCAAGGAAGAAAAAGTAAGATTCATTGATAGAAAGCAGAGAAATAAGTTTAAAACAACATCTTATTAAGACAAAGTACTCACACGGAGGTCAGAGCTGACAAATTCTCCATAGATGAAGGCAATTCCCCACTCAAATTGTTATTAGATAAATCTCTGCAAAGCAGTTTGTGGTTTACTAAATGAGTTTTATGTGTAATAAAGCTAAAAGAATCTTCATTCCATTTTATATATACGTTATTGAAGAAGAATTTGGAATGAGTCCTTACAGATTGATCAATTTTGTAAGAGATTGAAACACATCTGGTATTTCTCCAGTTAAAAGATTGTCGTTAAGAGACCTGAAAAGAGATAACTCAATCTAATTTAAATAAACCAGCATAACAGTTAACATTAGCTATCATTAGATTTTAATACAGAAATAGAGGAAGCAATAAACTCACATGTCAGTCAGTTCAGCCAATGTGGATAAAGATGTCGGAATACTTCCAGTGAACTGGTTATCTGAAAGAAAACTGCAATAATACAAACCATAATGTCATATAGCACAATGTGATTGGAAGAGAATTACGAAGGTAGGTACCAACATACAAGTTTTGTAAAGTGGCTGGCAAACTGGATGGAATACTTCCCCCAATGTGGTTGTTGTTTAGAACTCTGCCCCAAAAAAAGAAATAAAACATTAAAGGTGATGCAGAAGAAGCATTTAAGAAGAATGGATGTTGAAATTCATGAACTGAGGAAATGCAATATACATGCACACTTGCATTAACACATGGCCATGCATATGCTCGTGGACACAGAATAACAGAAAGATGCAGAGAATGCAAGTCAGCAAGAATAGAAGAGAGACAGCGTGTGCTATTTACATTGCTTTGATAGAAACAAAAGTTCCCAAGCTGTCTCCCAGTTCTCCTCCCAAGTTTGCACCATTCAGAACTCTGTCATAAATTAAATGATAAGAGTTAATGGTCATTTCATTTTATGTCGCAAGATACCAATCAATATGAAGAATCAGGGAAAAAAGTGGTTACATACATTTCTTGTATGACTGAACCATTACATTGAACGCCTTGCCACCCTTGTCCACATGGGTCTCCCCCGCTAGAAACCCACCCAGGAAGAACAGGGTTGCCCAATGCAGTGTATAAGCTATTAATTGCAGCAACTGATCCAATTACTAAAATTTTAGAACTCTTACAATAGACCACAGATAGATGAAAACAATATTCAAGAATGTGTTAAGAGTATTCCACTTCATAAAAAGGCATTATACTTCAATAAAATAACCATGACAAGTAAAGCAGAAACAGAAGCAGAACGGCAGGGTTATATAATTGTGATTTGGATGAAAAATGGTTTAGCCTAGCAAAAGAGGCACAGGAGCACAATTATCAACCCAAAGCATCAATGCAGGGAAAAAAGGTAAGGCAGAAAAGGTAGAGAGAATCATTACCATCACTGGGATTAGTGTCTGCAAGTGAAAATTGGACTAAGCAGATCAACATAAATCCCAATAGTACTTGTGCATGGATCTTCAGTCCGCTATACTGTGAAGCAGATCTCTCTTCACCCATTTTCCCCAGCTCAACCTCAATCTTCGCTTTTCTCCTCTCCGTAGAAACCAATCACCAAACCATCGTCCCCACCCAACTGAAAAATCACCAGCAAAAATCCAACCCACCAAAAAACCAAAACAAACCCATTATTCCACAAGCAAAAAAAAAAGCGTAAAAAGTTAAACTTGTGCTGAGAATTATACATGGGCACGAGAGATGAAATCTGAGAAATGAAATTAACTTACTTAAGAGAGAATCTAATGAATTTTGGGAAGCAATGCTGAAAATCTCGAGATGAAAACTAAGACTAGAAAGAGAAAAGAACGAAAGAAAAAGGGGGTTGTATTGTAGAATCTGTATATAAACTTAACGGCTAAGATTCAGAACTAAATTAGTAGTGTGAGTGAGGGGAGAACGTAAGCAAACACTGCATAGCTAAGCTTTTGGAATATAATAATTCTGGGAAGGTGGTTAAAAATAATGGTAAAAACCCAAAGCTTTAGAAAAAGCTGAAAATGAGAGAAAAGGCAAAGGGATGTGGAAAAGCTGCTCTGAACTGAAAGAGGTTCTGTTCTGAAACACTCACTCTCTAAAAACAAGAGAAGTGAGAGTGATGTTGTTTGAGACTTCGGGGAGTGTATTAGAATTAGAGTATTAGAATAAGAAATTAGAATGACGATGAAATTACCATTGCCACGCTCCCTCGTCGACGCGTATGGTTTCTCTACCATGCCATGCTGCCCATGTTTGATGTTTAATAATGTAGTGTTTGTGTGTGAGTGTGCCTCTTCTTGTCCCCGTGTTGCAACCAGGTCAATTATTTGTCAAATTAGCGCATGTTCTTGCATTACGCACTTTGCGTCTGTGTTGTTTTGCGGATAGGAAATTGCATTAATGACAAAGATTCGCGATGGAATTGTTAGTATAGACAATCATGTATGATTTACATGGTACTACTTGTCATTAATTTTTTTTAAAAAAATAAGGAAGCTAAATCATTATATGTATCATGATAATTATTTAGATAATTTATTATGAGATTACTGTAAAAATACTATTTTCAATGTCAAATTTATTATGATAATGGTATATATTCTCGTATTATGTTAAAAATTTAGTAAAAATTATATAAAAATAATCACGTAAGTAAAGATTTGATACTCAGACTTTAAAAGTCAGATAAAATTAAGACATTATATAATAAAATGTGTTAATTGTGTGACAGTTGTACTTGTATGTTAACCAAATGCAGAGCATAGTCAATTTTAAAAATTAATAACAATACATTTATTTATTGAATGGTGATAAACATTGTAATTTAATTAACAATATAAAATGTTTATATTAACAATTAAATATAAAATATTATATTATTTGAAATTATTAGCAGTTAATAGCAGTTGCAGTGCTTTAAATAATATTAAATTTTTGATACTCTAAAAGTGTTTAAAAGGAGCAGTAGTATCATTATACTAAAAGTGTTGTTTAGTTAATTAATGAGAATAAAGAAATTTTACATTAACTATTAGAATTAAACACTAACTATTAAAATAAATATAGTTGGTACTTTAAAAATATTACTTAGAAAAATTTTAAAATCATCATTAATATATTTTTTACAATTTAAATATATCTCAATATATTTTTTTTTATAATAACTTTACTTTTAAACCTTTGATCGATATTTTTTTAATCACTAATTAAGAAAATCCGTACATTAAATAAGTAAAATATGTATTTATATTAATAATTACATAAATTTTTTTTAAAATATATACAAATATGTTTATTTTATAATTTTTAATGGAAAATTAATTCCTTAATCAATTATATATACTCATAATTAGTCACCATTGTTAACTCTGTTTTGTGTCCGAGGCGCCAGTTTCTCTATGGCCATCACGTGATTGATTCAATGATTGTTGTGGGCTTCGTCTCAGTAACTTAATAACAACTGAAAAAAAAAAAATATATATATATATATATATATATATATATATATATACATATAAAAGAATTTTTAGATTTAACTCAAATATTCTGCTCTTATTTATTTATATATATATAACATAATAATAAATATATTTTATTATTAAATTAGAACATTTAATAAAATATAATATACACAATCATTATATTTATATTATATATATTGAACATAAATTAAAAAATGATATTAAAAATAAAAATTATTTTGTTAAAACGGCAACTATTACTACTAGAGACTTTCCACATCAATTAGTGGAAAGAATAAACTGGACTTTATATGTACAGTGTATTTAAAAATTAATTTATTTTGAAGATATTTTTTCATTGATTTTCTTTTTTGAAAAAAGGAAAAAACTTTACACATTGATACAGAAAATAAAAAAGAGGGGCCCATGGGAAAAGGAAGGTAGTTTTGTAGCTTTTGAAGACTAAGTAAGAGAGAAGATTATGGGTGTGTTATGAAAAGAAGAAGATGAAGCACCAAAATGGGAAAAACAATGCATATCCAAAAGCTGGGTTGGTCATTTTCTCCACCCCAACTCCAGCTGTCATTCAACATCCCACTCTCAATTCTCTGCTATGCACCACTCTGTCTTCAGTTACAGGTATTTAAGCCTTCAAAATTTATGTATATACAGTGAGTTGAGAACCGCAAGTAAATTATTTGAGCTTTATTTGTTAAATCTCCAATCAAGTTCATTTGTTTTGATAAACAATCTATTTATTCAACCATTATATATGGGCACATTATGACAAAAGAGTGTTAAATTTATCATAAAATATTATCATTATATTATTTTTTCATTTGAAAATATTTGCTACTTTGTTTCTCCTTTTATTTTTATCTTATTTTATATTATAAAAACATATTCAATAATTAATGAAAAAACTTAAAAATATTGTTGACAAACAAAAATAAAATTTAAATGAGGTAAACAAGTTGTTTATTTATACAATGTAGACGCGATCGCAATAGTAATAAAAGAGAGATGATCTTACTTTGAAATTAACATTTGCTTTCTTGAGATGAGAAAGTAATTGGAAAAGTGGAATAAAGTTATAAAGGTAAGGGAAATCAAAGGAACATTTGGATGCTTTTTTAGTATCCGATGAATGCCAAAAGCCCGAAACCAATGGGCATCTTTGACAGTGCCATCGTCGTTCCGTGTGACGCAGATGTGTGTCCGCCATCCAAGAAGACAAATTGCCGCCATTACAAACCTGCAACGTGTAATAATAAAACATTTATAATAAATTTTTATTAAAATTAGATATATTAATTTCCATAAATAAATTTTTTATAAAAAAACAAAATTATTATATTAAAATTATAAAAATATAATAAATATTTTTTAATAAAATTTTACTATTATTAGTTACTTATTCTTAATTTTAAAAGATAAAATTAAAAAAAATTAAAATTATAGTATTTAATAATATTAATATGTTAAAATTTTTAATTCGCTTGCAAGTTATGATAACAGGAATATTAACCTCAATTTCAAATTTAGGGAGAAGTTTAGATAATTTGTTAATTTCAATGATTAATTAAAAATAAAATATTTTTCATAATTAGTCCGTTGCCAGATACTTGTGGAATATGAAAATTTAAAGGACTGTTCCGACTCAAGATATATATGTAAATTATGTTAATTTTAGTTTCTCATGTTCTACTTTTAACATTGCCAAATATTCCTACAACTAAAGTTTAATTAATTTTAATATTAGCTTGCTATTAATTACAATTTATTTTTTAATGGGTTTTAAAATTATGATAAATATCATTTAAAAAACATTTTATTAACTAAATCATACACGGCATGGTCAATATATAATTATATACTTATTATTTATTCTCACGTAAATTTTTTAGTTACATTCATATTTATTTTTGATAATTAATATTTATTTATAAATTATTTTTATATAAAAAATCACGTTTTAGTACTTATGTATTTTTATTATGTTTTAGCAATTGTTATTTAATAGAAATTATTACTCGTTAAGTTAGAGTTGCTTAATTACGTCAGTATTTTTTAAATGATACCATAATAATATAGATCAAAACATAATAAATTATTTATATTAAAATTAAAATGTAATTCTGTAAGCGCGTTAATTAATTTTTAAAGTAATAATAAATATAAGAATTAGATGTGTATTTTAACTTTAATTTTAATAAAACATATTTTCAGTGATATAAAAGGCATTAATATATAATTGTGCATGAGTTTAAAGTTAACAATTGTTAACTCAGCATCATCAGGATCTATAGCTTGGACTATGTTTTTTCCTTATTTGAGTCATTGACTAACTTGGATCAAACCAAAAATATTTAACAGCTTTATAAGGACACACATGCCCAAAATCCCTAAAGAGCACATGGAGTGTTGTAAGATAGCAAAGAAAAATATTCAAACACTTCATTATTCGTAATTTATGGCCATCATGCACCTGTATTTGCTTTTGTTTTATGAGTATGCAATGCTCGTATATATGTTTATATTTGTAATTATTAAAATAGACACACCAATGCTAATGAGTCAAAGGTATTTTTTAGAGCATATGTGTATTGTCTGCCGAAAATCATTAGCAAACACCAATTTAATAGTTTCCTTTCTAACAAGCGCTCAGCAAAACTGCATCCTTTGTCTGATTGTCTCAGTTTTTAAAATAAATTATAAAATAAATATTTTCATTTTAAAAATATAGAATAATTATTAAAAAAATGTATTAGCAATTTTTGATAATGAAATATAGGGTTGTCATTTTCTACTCTGGTTGGCGGTTTAAACTTTAGACAATGAGGGGGTGGCAAGATGTTAATTAATACAATTATGTGGAATGGTATTTGTGTCTCATGTCGCTGTCATGGTTCTTAATCTTCACCCCTTCCTTTCATGCTATTTTCTAAAACACTTGGTCAAGATTACATTACATAAAACACTTCCAATTCACCAATGAAATGCAATAACACTAATTATAACTCGTTATCATATTATTTCCTCATTAAAACTTTCCTTAATTAAAACATACTCTTTGAAAACGAAGATAACAATCTCATTCAAACAATCAAATACACACACAAACCATACTTCAAAATTAGAGTTGCTGATGGGATCAGTGGAGGGATTTTGCTTAGTTCAGCCACGTCTACCTCAGTGTGTATGTGTAAAATTAAAATAACAGTTGATATGAATTTAAACTAATGTCATTTTATATAAACTATATACACGTGTTAAACGAGTAAAAATCAATTAATAAATTTAATTTTATTAATAAGAAAGTTAATTGCAGTATCATTTAGACCAAGATGAAATTGCTAAGCATAATAATAAAAAATTCAAAAAACATCCACGGACTAGAATAGAATGGAGAGTTTTTGAAAAAAGAAGAAAACTATGATTTCTTACAAGAAGGCTATCGTTGTGATATTAGGTCCATATTTGGCCCAACATGGCTAGAGGCAACGTTTAGGCCCATATTAAGTGGGGGGTTGGTGTAGGTGTGGATCGTCATCAACTCATCATCGTTTTTCTCTCTCTATCTGTGCACGCGATTTGTGACTGTGATTGTCAGAAGACAGAGAGAGAGAGAGGGAGAAAGATGATGTATTCGCGGACTAGAAGCGTTGTTGGAAACCTCAAATGGGCCGCGAAATCCTTCTGTTCGTCTTCAACCACCCCAACCACGGCGGCGCCGTCTCAATTCCCGCAGACTCTGGCAGGGCTCCGGGCTCGACTGGCGGAAGAATCGCCGTCGCTTTCTGACTTCATTGCGCTGAAATCAGGGAACGCGTACTCGGTGGAGGTTGGGACGAAGAAGAGGCCTCTACCGAAGCCGAAATGGATGAAGGAATCGATTCCTGGGGGAGAGAAGTACGTGCAGATCAAGAAGAAGCTCCGCGAATTGAAGCTTCACACGGTCTGCGAGGAGGCACGGTGCCCTAATTTGGGCGAGTGCTGGTCCGGCGGTGAGACCGGCACTGCCACCGCCACTATCATGATTCTCGGAGACACTTGTACTCGAGGTTGCAGGTTATATACTAATCGTTTCTTTATTATTGTTGTTATTATTGGTGCTTTTTGGGTTGTTTATTTTTTTAAGAAGGTGCTTGTGAGGAAATGGTGGTGTTCAATTGTGAATTAGGACCTCTGTCTAGTCTACAAAATTTGGTTGAGTAACCATTGGTGTGTTAGTTTGATTGGTAAATAGAGTAGATATGGCTCCTGACTTGAACTGCAAATATGATATGGGGTAATATTATGGACCTGTAGGTGCTGTGCTCATCTGGTGCGAGAGTCATCGGGAGTGGGGAATTTGTTTTAACCATATTTTACCATTTGAGCTGTTTACTTGCTTATTACAATGAATTATGTCCATTCAAAAGTATGCGATGATGAGCTGAGTGAAATGGTTCCTTTTGTCTGGTTGCTAGCTTGCAGTTATGATTTATGACCCAATTATTATGTTAAGCAAGCAAAAAACTATTCTGTCTGAGTTTGAATCTGTTCTGCCTTAGGTGATTTTTTATAGTTCAATATAGAACATGGGGTAATTACACTGGGTTCTCTTAAGGTTAGCGCTTATTACACATAGCATCCTTGTTGTTTGGGAAAGTGTACACATCCCTAGCTTCCTGTACTTCTCTAATTCCTGACACCCTTTTTATTTGAGAAATTGTTCCCATCTAGCCTACTTTATGTAGAGTTTTTATTTTCATTTTCCCTTGTTAAATAACAAAGTAAGGGAGGTAGGTGTAATTTCCCAAAGAACATAATAGGCATTGGATGTAATAAGCACCAACATCATAGAGGATAGTGTAATTACCCCTAAGACCTGTTGTAGTCTTTTACTTGGAGTAGTTTTTTACGCAAACACTTCCGTGTAGTCATTTTATGTTTATTTTCAGATTTTGCAATGTTAAGACATCAAGAACTCCTCCACCACCTGACCCTGATGAGCCCACCAATGTGGCTGAAGCAATTGCATCATGGGGTTTGGATTATGTGGTTATAACAAGTGTTGACCGTGATGATTTACCTGATCAAGGGAGTGGTCATTTTACTGAAACAGTGCAAAAACTGAAGGCACTGAAGCCTAGTATGCTGATAGAAGCCTTAGGTATGCATTTTGAATATTTGTACTTTCTGAAAATAGATTAATGTGGTATATTGTTTTAATATGTAGTTCTAACTTCTATCAAATAGCAAACACCAACAAAGCCTTATCTTGATAGTTGGACATAGTTGCAACAACAACGAAAGGATCAATATGGATGGCAATTGTAGCTAGTGAATATGAAAGGAGGGAAGCATGGACCCAACATGACGCAGTTAGGATACATTATATATATATATATATCACAAAATAAAATATCTCAAAGATATATGCTCAAATCTTTAAGATAAAGTAAAAAATATATATATATATTATACTAAAATTATTGAAGATAATATATTATCTTATTTTAGTTATTCACCACAATTACTACTAATTAATAGGACACATATCAAAGCATGTTGCTGGCATATCGATGACAGAGACATGTCAGACACCACTATGGAAACTTTCTAGCCATGTTCGTGCTTCTTAGGTAGTACCTATAATGCTAATTCTCCTTGCAGTTTCTGTTGATGATTTTAAAGACATGTTTTGATATAGAACTATTTCTGTTTTAATATTATGGATTTTAATAGAATTAAAAAAGAAATCTTGTCGATCGGGCATAGAAAATAGATTTGAAGGTTTGATTTGTATCTTTAATTTTTTATTATAGGGTTAAGTATTGTCACATATTTGTTGAGATGGATTATTATCAGGGGGACTATGCATAATTATAAGCCTTCAAATACTGCTCAAAATTTCTTCCTGTGATGGTTGTTGAAGTACTTTTTTGTATCAGTTCCTGACTTTCGAGGAGATGCTGACTGTGTTGAGAGGGTTGCCAAATCAGGATTAGATGTCTTTGCACATAATATTGAGACAGTTGAAGAGCTTCAGAATGTTGTGCGGGATCACCGTGCTAATTTTAAGCAGTCTTTGGATGTTCTGACGATGGCCAAGGATTATGCTCCCGCTGGAACCCTCACCAAGACTTCAATAATGTTAGGTTGTGGGGAAACACCTGACCAGGTTGTGAAGACAATGGAGAAGGTGAGAGAAGCTGGTGTTGATGTGATGACATTTGGTCAGTACATGAGACCTTCAAAGCGCCATATGCCAGTATTTGAATATATTACACCTGAGGCCTTTGACAAGTATCAGACTCTTGGCACGGAAATGGTAAGTCTGAAGCATTTGTTCACGTGTTTAGGTTAATTTATTTTGAGGAAATAATCATTTATTTTAGTAATTTCCTAACTGAGATTTTGAAAAATAAAGCGATTATTTCCCAGAATTAATCAGTTACCAGAAGTAATTACTTATAGTATCTGTTGTTATTTTTTATCATTTTGCTGGCTTTCTTATAATTTCCATGTTCTGTGCATTTGCTGAAGTCTTTTGGTGGTTGTTTTCTGTCTCATTCTACATAGATATTTGAGTCACAGCATACAACTTCAAAATACGGGCTTCGTACCAGTTTTTATATATGTTCCTCAAAAGTTGAGAAGGATAAAATCATTTCCAGAATTATTTTGGCACATTCAGTTTTGTCTATAAAATTATCTTTATCTTGCTAATCCATGGTGAATTTAGCATTGTCATTCCTTTACTTATTCTGTAGCAGTTAGCACACCCTGGTGGCCCTGCCCATAGAGATCTATTCTAGCACTACAACTGGCATACATCACCATGCAGAGTGCAATCATGGCACCGTTTTTTCCTTTTAATTGTTTTATAAGCATCATGTTGATTTGTGGAAAAATGCTCAAGTGTAACTTGATCATGTGTTATGAATGATGTAATAATTCTACCTTGTGATAGGGATTCCGATACGTGGCATCTGGGCCCATGGTGAGGTCATCATACAAGGCAGGTGAATTCTATATTAAATCCATGATTGAATCAGATCGTGCTGCATCTCTCCCTCAAAGCTGACTGCCTCTTGATCGAATATTTTTTTAATTACCCACTTCTTTAATGTGCATTATAAGTAAGAAAGAGCACAGGTGTACTACATGCCGTTGATGCCTATGCCACTGTAATATATGAGTAAAATGCTATTAGTAGGCTTATACAATCTGTGATTTTTTTCCCTCCTCCCCAACCGTAACACCAATGAGTGGACTGGTTCTGATTTATTTGGATAATGCAAATTTCATAGGTTAATTGTATATGTTTTTGTTTACATGAAATCATATTTCTCTTTTACAGATGCAATTTATAATAGTTACCACAGTTATTAAATATTTACTTTTGTTCTCTTGAGAAATCGTTTAAAGCTGTAGATTTAATTTGTTTGAAATGTTTATATTTTAAAAGTGCTACTCGATTTGGGTTTGTTTGGTACCCTACGCTCTAACTTATCTCACTGAATTTGAATTTTAAAGTATAATTTGGGACTACTTGATAGCAGTGTACAACAAAGACCATATATAAATCTGCCGGCAAATTGTCCTGAAACCATGTTTAGTGTTACCGTTACAATCATCAGGTGGTAGCCTGGTAGAGCAGTGAGGTATTCTTTTTGTGGATTGGGATTTATGACAGGCTGGTTAGTGTCTGTCATTCAACATGCTGTGGGGACTGGTGGGAAAACTATTGAAAGTTGGAATACTTTGAGCAATTCTTTTTCGGCTACAATACATTCCTCAAGCATATAAAATCTTATGAATATGGAAATTTTGGTGGTACGTTTATACGGTGGGGTTCTGCATTCTTGGGCCGTTGAGTATCGCGGTAGAATGCTAGGTCGGGTGAATCCTGGTGGGGTTCTGATCTTCAATGTAAGATCATAAAGTAACAAACGGATCCAATGTATTTACGTTGCAATGTCCACTTGAATTTAGTTCAACTCTTATACGTGGTTTGCTTCATAATAATTTTAGCTAGCGATGTAGATATTAAAGACTTGAATATGTACGACCTTGGTTATTTTTTCATTTAAAACTTATAACATGCTTAAAAAGTTGTAAGGTTTCCTAGATCTTAGATTATGCATGAGTAATTCTGTAGCCGGTCTTCTTGTCAAGTTAAAGTGATGAGTTTTTTCTTACTTTTCAGTCGTGGTTATTATACCAAAAAATTGTAAATTTGTAATTTTAGGAAAACATATTTTACAACAAAATGGGTAATTGGTTTTTCAAAAATGATAATAGTTTTTATGAATTTAATTAATAAATCATGCTTTACTATAATGGTAATCAAGTATACTAAATTCTAAATGATTCAGAAATTTTTAGATATATAGTTTAACAGTAAAATTTTACTCATACTTAAAATATTATAATATATGTTAAAGTAACGTAATGTGATGCCTTTTCAATTACTGAAAAAATTACGTAATGAAACATTAACTAGCTTTTAAATTACATGAAATTTTGTAGGATTAATCTACTAAAAAACTTTCAACACAGTGATTAGATTGGTAAACTTTAGTAAAAAAAATATTAAAAAGTGTCATTTAATCAAGTTTGTTAACAAATTTTCTTTATAGAGTGTATCAGTTTTATAACATCAATAAAATTAAGCTAATATTAATTCAAAACAATAAGTTACTTTTGGAATGCCACGCACATAACCACCTCATTTTTCGTGCATTTATTAGCTTTCTCTACCCACTCATTTTTTTAAGGTATCTATTTTCATTTTGTTAGTTTAAAATCAAATTTCTTCCTTTCTTAATTGACAATTCAAAACTCAAAAGGCATCCATCTTTCTTTTTCTTACTTTCTTTAGCATGACATTGACAGCCTTGTCCAGCATGTTTGGCTTTTGAATCATCTTTTCCCATTTTTCTTGCATAAACTATCAGAATTGCCTTTTGAATCCACCCTTTTCAGTTTCTTGCATAAAATTTCAGAATTCACTTTAGAATTCATCTTTTCCATTTTCTTTAAAAAAAAATCTTTACGTCGGGGAAAAAATTACGAGATTGTCAATTCTGTAGTGAATCTTGTTCACATAAAGTGTCCACTAAATATGCCGGAAAAACTATTCATTCTGAAATAATATAATTAAGTGTTGCCAGTTAATTAAGATTTCGAGTATTTAAACCAACGTTTGCTGAAATTTAAACATTTTTCAATAGCACAAAAAATCATTGATAAATATATAATATTTTAATTTTAGTGAATAGCTTTGGTGAAAAACTAGTGGCCACAGGTCAGACAGATAGTCCAGTCATCACTTTTCCCCGCATAGCATTCTTCCATTTGGAAGATTTAGAATTTGAACTCTTCCCAGTGCTGCAAAAACAATTTCAAGTTTCAAACTACAATTTCCTTCTTTTCATTAACCCAACACACGAGTAGATTGGTACAAACACGGACACGTTTGTATCATAAACAAACTTGAATTGGTAAGACATAGCCCATATCATAAAATGAATTCAATATCTAACGGTTAACATGTCAACATAACATTGATTTTTTAAAATTATTTTGATACTTCTCATTTTTCTAACTAAAAAATTAAAAATAAATAAATTACTTAAATTCTCAGAGTAAATAAGAGATGTAAATATTAAGAAATTTATTGTTTGTTTTCAAGAAAATAATAATAATAATGTGTAAAATTTATGTCCATCCTTCGAAGATGATTCGTCATCATCAGTTACAGCCTTCGTTCTGGTTGTAGTATAAAACGAGACATCTTAATATAAATCGAGCGAGATAATTTTTATCCGAATATAAGTGTAAGGCAGGATTATTCCAATTTATCCTACGTTCTCCAGAGTTTAAATTTAAGTAAATATAATTATATTAAATATTTTAAAAAAATTGTTATTCACAATAATTTAACTTAACTTGAATACAATTGTTTCAGAAAAAGAATATATATAGACTTAAATAAATCGAGATAAATTTTTAAGTAAGTGTATTTTTCTTAAAGTAAAATATAAATTATGTATATTTAATGTTTATAAACTAATTTTTAATCTACTCATTTCAAATTGACTTGCTTTTTGTAAAAAAAAATGTAATTTAAATAAAAATAATACATTATCATTTTTTTTATTTTTTAGTCAAATTATTAATTTTTTTACAATTTTTTTCTCTCCACCTTGTGAAATTTGACATGAAAAACATGTTGATATAAATTATTTGGAAAAAAAGGTAAAAAATGTACCATAAAATTATATCATTGTCGATAAACTGTACACCTTTATTATAAATGTCATTTAACGGGCATGTTAATTGCTGAACGTCTTTATATAAGTTTTTTTAAGAGGCAAAGTGTATTTCCTATTACTAGTTTTATGTGAAAATATTAACATAATCCATTCCGTACATGGGATTGAATCGTGCCAGTTGTATAATCTCCATGCGAGATGCATAATATTTCAGAGAACTAAACTTTAAAAAGTATAAACATATTAAATTCAAAATATAACACATTTATATTTTTTGTTTAACATGAAATGTATGGGTAAATTTATTGTCACACTTTTTAAAAATATTTTTGTATATATTTATTTTTTATCAATAATTAAATTAATAATAATAATGTATAAATAAAATATAATGACAAATATTTTAAAGTGACAATCACTCTAAAATGTATTAGATGTTTAGCTTATCATCATACTTAGGTCGCAAGCAATGATACATGCACATGGAAAAATTACATTACTTCAATGTTGCTTTCTTTTAAATAACAAGAAAATTACTAAAATAATAAATTGTTTTAGTTGCAAAATTCAATTTACACTTGGATAAACACAATGTTAATAGATTCTTAAATGCTGTTTTACCTTCATCTCGAGCAAGATCAAAGCTATTTAAACAGGTCCAAACGTTTTTTGTTCACTCAAGCTCACTTCTACATTCTATTTCTACATTCACCTCAGTGGTCCTTTCTGTGTTGCTCCTTTTATTACTCTTCGCAACCTCTCTCGAACTTCAATTTTCCAAACCAACCTACATTTCAATAGCCGTTTAACCACTTTTCATATTCTTTCCTCAAAATTTTCAAAATCAAACCAGCCATGCAATATCCAACATTGTCTTGTTCCAACCGCTACTATACCATTGCCACTTGAAATCTCTTCAAAGCTTGGTCTCAATGGGTTGCTGCTTCAGCATCCCAAAGCAAGACCAAAATGGACCCAAAAATCAACAACCCCATCTCAGATCCCACGAAGCAAAGTGCAAAATCCCACCACTTGTTGAAGAAGAATCTGTGAAGGAGGTGCTCTCGGAGACACCCATTTCCAAACCACAAGAAGTTCCAATTTTGCTGCCACAAACGAAGACCCAATTGCCCGTTATTCAACATCAAAAGGTACCCATCAACAAAGCATTGGAATCGGAGGAAGTTTCTCTCTTTTCGGAAACATGCAGCAACAGCGAGAGCTTCTCCACCACCACCACCCTCACCGAAAACAAAGAGGACGAAGCCACCAGCAAGCGAAGCAACAGAGAGGGAACCCGGCACCGGAACCGTTCTTACACCGTCGACGGCAATAGAATCGGCGGGAGAGAAAAAAGACCAAAATCTCTGGCGAAAATGCCGGAGAAGAGGATTCCGGCGGGTTCACGGTCAGTTCGTCGGAGTGACTCCGACCATACCCGCCGTGGTTCCGGCGATGGTTCCGACCGTAGGTCGAGGTCACCGTCGTACGCCAGGACGGTCGGCGCCGGTGTTGGCCGAAGTCATCTCCGGCCGCCGGGAGCGTCTTGTCGGAGATTGGCGCCGGCTAAGGTTGTTAAGGATGAAAACGATGGCGTTTCATTGGAGGAGTCACTTGAGAACCCGCATGTTTCGATGGAGTGCTTTATTTTTCTGTAGGTTTGGAAGCACGTTTGTTTTTTTTTAAGGTTTTGTTTTTCAGATGGGCATGTTTTCCATTTTAGTAGCCGTTTCGAGTGCTTGTTAGAATGTTGGATTTGATTGTTCTCTCTGTGGGACTTCTATCTCACAACATTGCTATGTAAATTATGTACATCTTCAAAGATGTTTCTCTTTCTCTTTGTTTTTTCTTCAAGTTGTTGCTTTATTTCTTGTCATGACGGTGAATTTGTGTAGGAGATGCAATAATAATATTATTCAGATATTTTTCTTCTACAATATGTCTTTAAATAATTATTGAATGATAAAATAAAATTTTATTTTAATGTATGTTATTTTAATTTTTTTAACAAGGGTAAAAATGATGTAAAAATATTAATATCGAAATATCAATATTAAGCAATGGAAATGTTTCACCTCGAAATTGGGCATCTTGTTTACTTTATGGGGGATGGGGAAGCAGAGGCTTCTTTTGTCCTTGGTTTTGGGGTGGATTGTCTTCTATTATATGCAAGCGTGTGCTGTGACATGCCTTGTGAGGCTGCAACCTGCAAGCGTGAGAAAAAGTGCAGATTGAGACGCAGAGTGACAAAATATGTAAGCATTCCCCCTCCTCTCCAACTGCCAAGAATTTCATTTTTATTTCATGAAAAATGCACACCAGTATTAAGATATTTAAAAACGATTGAATCATGCACAGACAGCAGCCCAGGAGCAGAAAAACAGCCCAAGTGAGGCCCAATATGCATGGATTAGTGTAATGATAGGCTTGAGCCGAATCGAACCTATTTATCTAGACATTTTCTTTTTATATGTCTATCATCTTCTTCTGTTAGTCTTTTACCTTTATTTTATTGTCTCTATTTTATTTTCTGTCACACGTTTTTTCATATTACAAAAGTATTTAGAGCATATTGCAATCACATATACGTCACTAGGACAGTACTGTGTAGTTTCATGGATCTGAGATTGTCTTCAATGTAACTCTATTTTGTTAGACTCTAGACTAGTCTAAAAGAATTGGGAAAAGGGAGAAGAAAAGTCCTTTATATATATGCAGCTCTCTTGAGGTTAATATGTAAAAAGAAGTTGGGGTTTCTTATTATTTGTTTTTAGATTTAATTTAATTGTGTTTCAGTGTTTTAGGTTTGTTAAATTCTACATTGATTTGAGCATGCGTGTTTGGTGGTTTTTTCTTTAAGCTGTGCTGTTGTAATCTTTAAATTTATCAGCTTCATTAAATTTCTTAATCAATAATTCATTACCAAGAAAAATATATACATAAATAAGATGTTGGCAACAGAAGAAAAAAGAGGTGTTATACCGTGTTTGATCGTAAAAGTAATGTAGAAACAATAAATTTATAATACTTTTTTATTTTATTAATTTTATTAAACATATTTATAATATTAAATGACCGAATTGGTGACTTATATATAAAATAATTGAATATATTTATTTATACGAATTTTATAATAAAAAAAAATGGTAATAAAAGATGGTAGGAATTAGAGTTGGGGATACATGTTTTAGCCTGATTGCTAGTTTGTATAATCTTCTGCAAACTAAAGTGTGCTGAATGCAGGCCGATAATTTTTGTGGGTCTATTTTTATTTCATGGATCAATCTGGCGTGACACATTTAATAATAACAATCTATGATAAATTAAATTTATGTGAGCGGAATTGGCCCATATACCTATGCTACGACTAAAGTGATATTTTTAACATACATTATAAATTTTTATTGTAAATAAAAAAACATTTTTATTTCATATGAAAAATCTCATTAGACTAGATAATTGCATTGTTTAACGTGTCAGTTGATATAAAGATGTAGTCATGTAGAGCAAACACGACAATAAATAAATAAATAAAGTGCATTTTTTATACTCAATTTTGTTAGATACAAGTTTATGGATGATAATGATGAATATATACATATTGGACTTGTTAATGTAATGGATAATTGTCTTCATGTTATGCATTAAATGCAGATTTACACAATGCAATTTCCTATGCACAACCACTCATTTTGGTTGTGTTTATCTTAGGTCTATGCCTCCATGGAAGAAATAATTATTCACATCGACCCGTAGCTTCTATCCCTGTCAATGAAACACACCCACGACATTACTGTTAATGTTTACCGGAAGAAAAGTCAGGAGAGAAAAAATTAAAGTTGAAGGAAATATTTTTAAAAATTTAATTTTATATTTTCATTTTTTTAATTAAATAAAAGATGTATCATTCCTTTATTTTATTTATTTTTCTGTCCAAATAAACTAATAGAGCATCAGTGGACACTGGGTATCACGGTTTCAACAGTGGCACTTAATAATTTTTTATAAAATACAAAAATAATTATTTCAATTGTTGAATTAATTTATTTTTATAATTATATATATCAATTTTTTTAAACTGATAAATATAATCGTAAAAATAATAGAAGATAATTTGATGATTAAATTTATATTTTATAAAAAATATTAAATAATATAAATATTAAAATTTAGCATATAATTTTTACTATGTATAGTTATTAAAAAAACTGGACAGCCACCAAAAGAAGAAGAAATGAATCAATTATCAGAAAATGACCCTACTATATAGATACAGGATTTTAGACAGGGACAGAGCCATAAGAAGAAGAAAAAGGGCAGTGCTGGACACCATGTATAGAAGCAGAAGAGCAGAGTCACGATTCATGATACATAAATATATCTGTACGTCTTACATTCAGAGGAAAAATAAAATGGTTGTTTTTGGTGCCACCCTAGATTACGTACTGGTCAGCAATCACTGCTCAATGACGTTGTTTTCATTCATAGAAAACTTGTCATATCAGTATTATTATTAACTTAAGTGGCCATGTATTCTTACTTTTAAAAAGTTCATCTACCAAAAATATAATAAAGTTTTAAATTACACATACCCAATATATGTAGGATTTTATATATATATATATATATAGTTTTTAGAAATTATATATACTAAATATAGTATTTTTTATAAAATTATAGAAATATAGAATGTAAAAAACACAAATGACAATTTTTTATATAAGTACAAAAATTAAAAGATAAAAAAAATATGAAGTCTCAAAAATTAGTGATGATGATTTAAAAGAATATATTAAAAAATTAAAAGTTATTAATAACAACTTTTAAAATAATAATAAAATATTTAAAAAATAAAAAAATAGGACAAAATTTGATATTGTTAATTTTTGGTAAAAATAGTTAAAAGTCACAAACGCGATTTTAAAAAATTATATTTTTATAATTTTTTCAAAAAATTGATATTTTTGTAATTTAAAAAAAAATTGATATTTTTGTAATTTAAAAAAAAATCATACAGCCACGTATATACCCGCTTTAATTTAAACAAGTTTGATGAATGATATTTTTTTTATGATTTTAAAAGATAAGAATATAGATTTAAAGTAAATGTTTAAAATTTTAGTTTATCTTTTAAAATTTTAAAATTAATAACAATTTTTTTTTAGATTTAGCATTTTCAAAAATAATGATCTGCTATTTAATAATAATTTAAAAAATTATGCTGTTAATATATATAGTTAAGTTCATGTATGCACATATAGATAATTTTTTAAAGTATATATAATGTAACTCGAGTTTTTCTGAAGATTTATTTTAATTTTAAATCACGTAACTATCAGTCAAATACACAAATTTATACGTGAGAGTAATATTTAGAACCTCTTCTCAAATATTTTTTTTTAAGAAGACCAAAAAAACAAAAAGTTTTGTTGTACAAGTGGATATAATATCATACATTCACAATTTATGTCGTAAATCTTAATCAGAACTGACTCGAAGTGATATAATATCCAACTAAAAGTTTTATCATTATGCATAAGTAATAAAGAGGTAGTGATGCTGGGCATGCCTCATTGGTACTTGGTAGATACTGATGAATTTTTCCCAATTCTTTTTCTTATCCACCGGATATTAGACAAGCCCTAAATGCATGATTCTGATAGGAGATGAGATAGCTGGTTAAACTGGTGAAGTGTCACAGCATTGAAAAACGCTTCAAAGATGTTTTTGGGCAGAATCATTTGGGGATAATTAATTGCACGATATGAATGGCAATAAACATTTAAAACGTCGTTAACAACAAACGCAATCGGCCAGTACTTGATAATCAACACCCTTCTCTTTTGTTTTAACGGGTCCTCCGTCGTCACATCAAATTAGGACTGTGTATGCTTCGAATATGACTAGCCTATGATTTTGTCCACTGTTCATTAATTTCATTTCAGATTGTGTCACATAGATAATGCATTAATCATTGAATAATTAGTCTTATGGGTACGGTTTGAAAGTTTCACAAAGCTTGGCTGTTTGCAACTATAATTATATCGATTTTTTTAATCTTATGCATGCATAGTTTAATGAGCCAATTTTTTTAATGTTTTTTTTGTGATTTCAATGTATTTTTTTTTTCCTATTTTAGACTCCTTAATTAATTTATACACCTAGTATATAAGATTAAAAAAAAATCCTATTTATTATAGAATCACTAACAGTGCACCCTCTATTAAAGTCAACAGCCTCACGTGAAATCATAATCATATACACGTGGGCCGTTCGTATTATCGTGGTCCACTCTTATGATGTGGTCAAGTTTCGGGCAAATTGCTGTGATGAGTTTCTGGTGATTATACTAGAAAAAAACCATAGAGAGAAGAAGAAGAAGCACAAGCATGCAGTAGTTTTGTATTTATATAAACAACATAATTGTAAATTTCTTTTGGTTTGTTGGTAGAAAAAAATTTAACTCCCAAGGCCATTGGATTACATGCACCGGCCAATATATATATGAACAAAGCAATGTTATTTAGAATGATCAGAGATTAGCACATCCATGGTAGAGTGATTATTAATTAGCCGTTCTTCTAACATATGTGAACAACATGAGCTAAGGAGAAATTCTGAAAAGAAGGAATCAAAGACAGTGTGTCCTCTAGAATTA